CAGCTTCTACCCTTTGCTAGAGACAGTTTACACCTTTGCCTGGCCTATATGAGAAATCCCTTGCTCTTGAAAATGATAATGTGGTTTAGTCTCCCTTAGTATGAGGTCTACATCTGGATGCATCACTGCCTCTTGGCCAAGATACAGTCAGCTGGCTCCATCCTGGCCCATGAACCTAATCTTGCTTGTACTTGATTGATGCTCCAGTTTTATGCAAAAAGTCACTTTGAATATTTAATTTCAAAAATTTCTTGAACTGGCATCAATTCATTCATTATCCCCATCACTGTTGGCCTTATCCTTATTATTATTGGACATTATTTCACACACACACTCTCTCTCTTTCTGCAAGTTACACACAAAGGTGTTCAGAAGAGGGTGTATGTACAGACTATACAAGGAAGCAACAATTCAAACAAAGGAGAGGCATTCAAGACTACACCTAGGAAATAATACTTTTGTCAAGTCACTGACTTTTCCCATGATACATCTAATAACTTCAGGCAAGAGCAGATGGACAATAGATCTACCCTAGAGATTAACTGCTCTTGTAATAACAAGAACAATGAAGGGAGATTCCATGCCTATAGCTTTCATTCTCCACTTGCACATGTTAATTATTTTCATGATTAGTGGCAAGTTGATGCAGAACACTCTTGGTGTTAAATTACATCCACAACCTTTCCAATTTGATGACTTTATAGCAAGAATATTGGATACCCAGAGCTCAAATATCTTTCCATTTATGTTATCTGTTATCAACACCATGCATTGATCGAGGATGATTTTTTTCATTCCACAAATGTAACCAAACATTGCAACAGCATAGCAAGCTCCAAGATCAGAATGCATTACCATTCTAAATTATTCAGGTATCCCTAATGCACCTAGCATTGTTAAAAGCATCCATGAAAAATATTATGCAAAACCCAAGAGTTGTCAGATGTGCAGCCTAAAAACAAGAGAGACCAAAAGGGAACTGTGATATCTCTCTTACCAGAAGCAACTTTCATATATCCATCATGAGTGATTGGACATCAGAAGCCTCCAGAATCACTCATCTGATTTGTACTTTTAAAAAGAAAGAAAGCCTGTGGCCCAACTATTTATGCACTTTTAAATTCAATTAACAACTGACAGTGAAACTTGGAATTCATTTCTCATCACTATCCCAAAATAAATACCCAGGCCACCTACAACTTCAGAGCATAAAGCAGGGACACCCAGAGGCGCTATGACCTCACCCTTCTAACACAGGTCATCTATGACATCAGAGATGCTCATCCAAAGCAGGTTACCCATCAAGAGAGGTGAGGCAGCCAGAGGCCAAAGAGAGGAATTAAGAGTGAGAGGAACAGAAAATAAATAGGGGGTGCTGGACTTTTATGAGATGTGTCATCTGTGAGCATGTCTCCAAAACAGCTCAAACTCAGAAGTCACATATGTAAACAGTTTCATCTATTTATCACAAAAGGCTCTAAAATGGCAAGCGAATGAATAGGGTCACATGAACCCCTCACGTGTTGAAAGCATCACCCAAGCCATGCATCCAACATTCATGTGAAGGAGATGTGTGCATGCAGGTTTCTCGATGCAAAAGGGAATATAGCCCCTTCACATACCAAACATTTGGAGGAGGGGGTGTGGCTCGCAGTCAGATCTGCCAGGGGATGGAGGTACAGACTCATACAGCACAAACTCATGACCCTCTCAATCATGCTTACAGTGTGTGAGGGATTCCCCTGAAGCCTATAATGTTATTCAATAGTCCATGAAGTGCAAAGCATTATCATGCAGTTTAATTCAATAAAAAGTTACTCATGTATCTTAAGACTCAAAAGCCAAGGCCCCTTAAGTTTCCACTTCACACTCCAGTGCCTACCATAAGTGCTTAATTCTTCTTCGACATAAAATGACAACCAAAGAAATTGACACCCAGGTTAGTAGGTGTTAGTAGGTGGCCAAGGGGGTGGCATTCTCAGGCAGAAGTGAGGGGGGGAGCCCTGTTGTGCTAGTGGAAGTTCCTGCATGGGTTTTCCAGTAGCAGGACCCATTAGGTGAATCTGTGTTCCCCAGAGACTTAAACTACCATGTGCAAGTTTTCTAAAAATTTGAGTCATGGGCCTATATCCCAAGTCTCTTCGAAATGCCATTGGTGGCACCTGAGTCTACCAAGACTCACAATTATGTTAGAGGGACATGGGAGGGAGGTGTACCACTACAGCTCATGGGCTTTTATATAGCATTCACTATTTTAATGGCAGGCAACCCTTGCAAATACCATGGTAGATCAGATTGCTGAGATTGACATTTCTTTTCACAAACACTGTGAGTTTAATTTCTTTAAAATTGACCAAGTTCTCATGATCCAGCATCACATCTCCAGAGAAAGACTCCCATTTCTGCAAGTTCTGTGAAAATGGGACAACCTATTTCTCCAGACCTACTCTTCCATCTTTCATAAATCTACAGACGTAACCTGCAACTTCTGGCTCTTCCACTCCTTTAGCTCTTTGCATTTCATTTGGTCACTACAGTAATTCTCTAATGAAGATCTATTGCTAAAGTTTGCTTTATTCCTCTTCCCTCACAATTCCTTTCATTTTGCATTGTATGTTTTAGGCTGTACGTTTGAGAGCAGGGACTGTCTGATTTTTATACCATTCTGCAGAGCCTGAACAGTGGAGTGAATAGAGTAGCTAAATAGAGTAGTAAACATAGGAGCACATTCTGTCCTGGGCCCTCCCCTCGAGAGCCTGCAAGCACTGGGCTCTGAATAATGGCCTTTGCACATATTCAAACTGATCCTTTGTCAATTTGTCACCGCATGCCCGCTGCAGCAAGGCATGATCAGAGCTCCGATTGATCAGAGGTTGTGTAAATAAATCATTGGATGAGAGTAATTCACACTATTTGGGTCAGTATCTGGTTGATGAGTTTATAGTAATCCCTCTTGTGCAACTTTGCACCATCAGACTAAGGAGTCCTTCTTTGCTTTTAATTCTCTTGCACTGCACCTTCACTCCTTATATGTACAGACTTGCATTGCAGAAGTCTGCAGTTGGCTGCGTCTATGTATAGCAAGCAGCAGCAGCAGCAGCAGCTCTGAACATTTATTACCTTTGTGTACATTCCATTTAGCCTGATGACAACACTGTGAGAAAATGTTGAGGATGCAGCTGTTTTATTCTGCCCAAAGAATGAGGGGTCATAGATTTTTTTCCCTTCCGCAAAACCATTTTGAGTAACTACAGATCTTTTTCCAGAATAGTAAAAAAAAATAAAAAATAGATACCTCCACTGTCATAATGTGAACATAAATCTGAATGCATTCATTTTATGGGCCAATACTTTGATGGCTATCCTATTATTTTCTAACAAAACCACTTGCTGGCGTGTCAGCCAAAGCCTTCCAATTTAGGTGCAGTGAGGTGGAATTTAAAATGGATATTAGGCAGACTTCTTCCCCTTCTCCACCAATGCATAGCACATACAATATTTTTAAGGCACATAGCACTTATTGAACCAACCACTACTAACCCTGTGAAGCAACTGTGAAGATAGCCATCTTCAAATATCTAAAGAACTTTCACACTGAGGATGGAGCAAACTGATTTTCTCCTGCTCAGGAAGGTAGGACTCAAACCAATGGATTCGAATTCCAAGAAAGGAGATTCCAACTAAACACCAGAACTTTCTGACAGTAAGAGTTGTTCAATAGTGGGATGGATTCCCACAAGAGGTGGTGGACTCTCCTTCCTTGGATGTTTTGAAGCAGAAGTTGAAGGGCTACCTGTGATGTATGAGCTAGTTGAGATTCCAACATTGCAGGGGACTGAACTAGATGAGCCTTGGGTACCTTCCAACTCTACAATTCTATGAAACTTTTGCCTTGTGCCTTTGTAGTTTGGCGAGTGTCTGGAGTGGGATGGCCAAATAAACCAGGATTAAGGAAGGGTGCTGGGTTCACATGTAACACCAAATCATAGTTAAAATCAACGAAGGTTTGAAAGCCAACAACATAGCTTCAAATTGTTTTCTTTACTGTCAACAAACCACATAGTTTGGCAGGGTTTACACAGACAATGCTAAACCATGGGAGGAATTCAGTGAAGTGCTAAGGAGATTGCTCTATCAGCATGAGCATTTCTGCTTGCTATATAAATTATATTTATTCTAGTGGTTCAATAGGAGTCTCTTTCTTGCCCAAGTTGACAAGCCTGTCAGTGAATGCACTTGAGATGTTCCCTTTCCGTCCACTGCCAAGAATGGGAGAAATAAGTCCATCTCTGCTTCCAATGCAAAAAGGCAAGAGTCACTTCCTACACTGGATGGCTCTGAAGGAAAGATCAAAGCTGAACAGAATGATGCGTCCCTACTTCTTCAGGTTCACTACCTGAAGGAGAGCCTTACCAATCAAAGATAAGAAAAAGAACTGCAATGCAGCAAAGGAGCTCTATCCCCCATGGCTTGGAGGACCCTTCTGATAGCTATTTCTCCCCCCCCCCAAGAAAATATCTATTTCGAAACACAGGTGCCCTATTTCCCATTTCTACCCAGGAATGCATGTTTGAAAGTACCCTTAAGCATAAAATGAATGCATTTCCTCCAGTGAGGTTACATTGGCTACTTATTGGTAGACTGACTTCATGAAGATTAACCGCTTCTGCACAAAATCTCTTGAGCATATCATCTTGTATTTCGCAGCTGTGAAGGCGGCCTTTTTAGGCTGTAACTTCAGCTCCAAACTATGCATCTATCTAATTGGGTAACCTACCGTACAGAAGCACAGGCTTGGATTCAAAGAAAATCAATGTTAAGTGATTTGTGCTGGGTTTTCCTTTCCAGTCCAGAGATAAAAAAAGCATGCTGGGTTTCTGTGAGTTATATTTGAAGACTGACAGCAGAAGAATGCTATGGCAAGATTCTAGGATGTCCAGTTCCATAACACTAATGACTAGAGCTCACGTTCAGCAACCACAGGGTGAAATCATAGCACATTTTCTTTAATGTACAACACTTTCTTTAATGGGTCAAAGAGGACAATACATACAAACAAACTCAAGAGAACCACAGATGTTGATGGCGGTAAGATGATGGAGGGAGAAGAAGGGTGGACTCATTTGAGTGGAGATGTGAAGATCTAGAAACAAAGTTCCAAGACGGATACATCAGCCCAAGAGTTTAAACATGAAGATTACCTTCTGTAGATGTTTGTATCTATCTACACTATATATGGCAGTGCTTGCAAGATCTATTAGCATCAATGAGACTTACAAGCAAGCAATAGTCACAACACTGAGGAATACCAGTAGCTATAAAATGTGTTCATGGGAGTAAACAGGACACCTTGGTTGGTGCATGTGTGTCATAAGTGGCTGATAACCTCCCTGACCCATCACTCATGTAGCATAGTAAATTCATTAAAAAGGCATAGTGCTAGGGACAAAACTAGGTAAAATTTTACTCCTATTCATTTGTTGCTTGATCTACGAACCATCTGAAACAGTGGTTCCCAGCCTTTTTGGTATGTTGCCCCAGAACCCCAAATTTACTGGAATTTGTGGACATGTTTATAGTACCTACGAGGTTATTTAGTTTTGTTTTTGGGAATGTAAGAACATCAGATGTCTGGTTGTAGGTTATTTCTTCATAAGCTACAATTTTTTTTATTGTGAATACATAGCTACATAAGCAGTGTTAGATAAAATGGAAGTATGAGGATTTTAAATAGTTTTATTGATATTAAGTCCATTTTTGCGAGAATCAGGATGTCAGAGTCTGTATTTTGCCAATGAGTAGGTCGGTGCAGGGTTTGCTGGTTGTCAGACGTAGCTTCAGATCATTACTGATACGTAGCTCGCTACTGTATTTCTTCTTCAGAGCAATCACTGCTGAAAAGCTTGTCTTGTTATGTGCTACCAAATGGCAGCATCACAGGCATCACTTAATCTGTAATCACTTAATCAGGATACTCAGTGGTAACTGAGCAATTTTGGTAACATGAAGCCAAAAATCTGATAAACCCACTTCTGAAAATTTATCTTTGAGGGTCCTATCATATGACAGTTCAATGAGTTGTTCTTTTAGCACAAACAACTGTGTGACATCAGCTGCAAATGGGTTTCACACCCACTCAGAATTCTCTGTTTCTTCAGCACAAAAGTACTGGACAAAGTTTGACTAAGCAAACGTCATCTCACCATTGGCTAAATGATTAATTAACCCGAGCAGCAGATCAAGCAACACTTCACCATAAGGTGCTCAGATAGGGAGATGTTTTGAATGACTATTTGCTGAAAGCAGCACCTATGCATGAGAGGCAAGCTGTAATGGTCACTGCTACGGGATCTGCCACCAGCTGCCAGAGAGTTTTTCCCAAGTGTTATTTGTAAGACTTGAGCCTTTCTGACATTCAGTTGTGTCAACACAACAAAACAAAACAGTGTAGGAGATATCATACCAGTTAAGAACCAAAAGCAATAATTATTTTGGGTTTACTTCTAAAGGCCACAACCCATTTGCACAGGATTTATTTGCAGGTCATGAAACGTGTTGGGAACTACTGATTTAGGCTACAGGGTATTTCTTACAAAGTAGTGGATGTTGGTTCCTTTTGATGGGTTTTTCACTAACTGCTAAATAGTAAGAGCAAATTGTTTTGGTTTCAACTTTTTTCTTTGGAAGTACATACAGCCTTTTGCAAAAGAAAACTACTTTTAAAAAGAATACATTAATTACAGTTTTAGGAAATATTTTTCATTCCCACTTAAATAAAGTTAAAAACGGGACATTTCCCAAGTGTTCCTTCACACAGAGATGAATCTATCATGCAGGTCAACATTCACTGCATTGTTCACCTTGTTAAAGATGCTACAACTTTCAAAACTAACTCAAGTATTCTAGACAAATTTTAATATACTGGAAACCTTGCATGGCATTCAATGTAGCACGAACTCCCTCAATTCCATCAACACAAGGATTTCTGCTTGCACAATGTAACTTCCACCCTCTCCTTCTCCTGTGTGCCCCTTAAATCTGTTCTGAGCAGAAATCTGTTCCCCAACACCCTGGAAGCATTTTGGGGAGGGTGTGGTGTACACAAATGGAGGGGGCGCAATTCCATTGTGCAAGTGAAAATCCTTGAAATTATGGAGATGGATACTGCCCCTTGAGCAGTATTGAATGGAAATGGATGCAGGATGGTAAAGCATGGCACAATAGACAAGAAGTGGGAACATTAAATTGTAATTTTAGCAGTGCATATTTACTAATGAACCTCTTACATAGTTCTAATATTGATAGATGTCTTAGTAGTAAAACTGATTACATCCAAATATTTGCAAACAACATTTTCCATGAGCATTTGACTATTCCAAGGATTTCAGATACTTATCATTTTATAACGGAGATTGAAAGAGACAGTACACAATATGACTAGCATCAGTGGAATCTTGTACTAACCTAGGCAAGTGTTCTCACTTATGGTAATTGCATTACATGGCTGGAATAAATCTTTCCAATATTTCCTGAGAGGTAACGTTATTAACACTCTCAGGCTAGAGATCTTTTATAGGACTGAAATTTGTGGAAGAAGTCAGACCATACATTAAAAAGTGTATTTTAAATCAGTTACCCCATCTGAAAACGTACTGTAGTTAATTACCTAAGTGATGCTGTTGTTACTGCTTTAATTCAGGCACACAGCTCTATCCAACACAGCACATATATTAGTACAGGCAGCCCCCCATTTGTGTATAATTGTAACCCATTGGAAAAGCCTGCAAACAATCCACTGCGCCCTTTTAGTGACATTTCAGTAATGTCTATATGACGTGTCTGAGTCACTTCCGGGTTCTGTGTGATGCGCATAGACACGATCACATGCATATTGGACACTCATAAATGGAGGGCTGCCTGTAGAGAGAAATTTATTTTCATTAACAATCTGCAACATATTCTTAGTCACAGAATCATGTGTTGGTAGAGGCCTTGTAGCCTACTGAATCCCTTCTCCAGCTTAATTTAGGAAATCACTAATTACAGATTTAAAAACTAAATCAAATGTTTGCAAAGTGATTGATTTCCTTTACCAATGGGGCTGGTAGGAGGCCAAACAAGTCTAGAATAAAATTAACAAAAAAGCCAAACAACTTTTTTAGGGAAAGCATGCACTTTATGCTTGACACAGTGTAACTATAATAACTAAGTAGTGCAAATTGTTCAATATATTTAAGCTCTTAGTTTTCACAATGCTATTACTCTATTCTAGAGAAGTGAACTTTTCAGCTGATCTTTCAGTACAAAGGTCTGGGTGCACAATCAGCTTTTTGCTTGTCCTCCTGGGATTAGTGGAGATGTTGCCGATATCATCATATATGAGCCATTTCAGTCAAAAAGGGGGAGGGGACAGGATGTTAGTTTAAAAAGACCCCCAGTTTAATTTAAAGACTTTCTGCAGACAATTAACTATTCGGGGGGGGGGGGGGGTTGTTTACAATTACTAAGCCTAAAGGGTAATAAAAAGGCTTTATTGATAATTGATTTCAGTTCCTGAAGTTGCCTCTGTTTCACTCCTGGTACAGTGGTGCCCCGCAAGACGAATGCCTCGCAAGACGGAAAAACCGCTAGACGAAAGGGTTTTCCGTTTTGAAGTTGCTTCGCAGGACGAATTCCCCTATGGTCTTGCTTCGAAGACGAAAATACCTTGCGAGTCTTGAGATTTTTTTTTCGCTTTCCCCCCCCTTTATCTAAGCCGCTAAGCCTTTAATAGCCTTTTAGCAGCTAATCCGCTAAGCCTTTAAGCCTTTAATAGCCGCTAAACCGCTAATAGCGCTAATCCGTCAATGGGCTTGCTTCGCAAGACGAAAAAACCGCTAGACGAAGACTCTCGCGGAACGGATTAATTTCGTCTTGCGAGGCACCACTGTAATTTTAAAGCACAGGTGAATTAGCATCACAGAAACACAAACAGAATATTCAAGCCATTGTAGATTAAGCTACACGAAATTTAAACAGCTTCTAGATATCTTTGAGAGAAGTTTAAGTTTGCCTAACTTCACAGAAAGGATGGCAAAAGGAAAATGATAGTTAGATGACAGTTTCTCTGAGCTTGGGGATGCAACTGATCCATATGCCAAAGAAAAGTGTCTAATAAAAGACTGCTTTTCTTCTCTGGCTGTTGTTTCCTTATCTGCACTATTAATGACCTATTTGCTTATTTCAGCTAAATTACTGCAGTCTATGCACTTTTCCCCTCCGCTCACAATCTCTGCTGCCAAGGACTGAGATACTACAGTAGCCTTTTATCTATAAACCATCTTGAAGACTTATTGGCATTGTGACCATTACTACTGTTATATTTGCAGGTTTAAAAGTTCCATTTCAAATAAGAACCCCATGGGGATATATGGATCATAGTACAGCCCAGTTGACTTACACATAGGGTTTTTAATTTGAATCAGGGCAGGTTGTGTATAGGGGCAGCATGGCTTTCAGGTACTGAATGCAAATTCTTAAAAAACTGAGCCCAAGTGGGGAATGAGTATTCTGAGTGTACAAATAACTCCAATAATAATAATAATTCAAATGCAATTTGGAATATACATTACAGTTACAGAGAAAGACAATCTTAATTTAAAAGCAGATAATGTATTTGGAGAGTAGAAAAAATGCTGGTATTGTATCCTGCATGTAATATTTGCTACAGAAGGATGATGCAAATTGGTCTGTCGGTGACTGGCTCTTTTCCTATCAAGAATTAACAACCTCACAGAATGGGTCAACAAATGACAAAATGCAGAAACAGGACTGATTCCAACACTATTGGTGCACAAGTGAAACAGGTATCCCTTCCTCTCCTTCCCTTGTAGCCTCCCCAAACCAGTTCTGAAAGGTTCCCCAACTCCACAAAGATTTTTGGTGGGTGGCTCCAGGGTGGAGAAGGGTAAGCCTGCTCATGCAATGCTGGATTCCACCCTGAACGAAAATACTCATTGACTTAACTGACTGATCAACATCTGACACAAGTTCACACTAACAACGCCTTTGGCTGGGAGACTTCTTTCAGTCAGAGTAATCTGTTAAGTTTGTACTGCTTATAAAATGTGCCTCAGGTATATGTAAAACTGCTGTGAAACGTAACAAGTGTGTGACTGTCAAATAATGTAAGTTTGGAGGTTTAAACTCAGAAGCAAACTTCTCTCTATCTTAATCATTAATACACATCTTCCACCTTTTATTTTCCAGTAATCAGACACTGCTACATCTCATTACATTTTACTGTACAAAACTTCTGAACCCTCAATCAGATTATGCAAATCGCTCAAGGGCAGGAACCCACCTCCACAATGAACTTTCAATTACTGGCATATTAACCTTGCCCCAACCTCTTGGAAACTGCACTTGCTTTAAAACAGTTTGTCCTTGAACCAATTCACTAAAATTAAGAGCAGCTTACTTTGAAAGAACAGAATCTCATGACACCTGAAAGATTTTTATGGCAAAAGTTTTCATGGACTAGAGTGCACTTCATCAGGTGCATTCTTCAGATGAGGACTGTAATCCAGGAAACCATATGCCACAATAAATTAGGGGTAGTCTTTACGTTACCATGAAACTCTTGTTGTTTTTGCTACAAGACAGTAAAAGAACTACCCTTCAGGGAAATAATGACACTAAAAGGCAAGGAGACATTTCTACCTCCACAAACAAATGCTAAATTATAAAGATTAGTTCAGTCAATTTTGCATGATGGATGGATGAGGGAAAGGAACCAAGCACATTATACCTAGAGTCCCAAGACCAGTATCTTCGTAGCATGAGGACAGCACCCACTCTTCTTAGGAGTGTTTTATTGCCACAGACTGCAAGCAAATTTAAGGAGGGTTCCTGGCAAAGACAAAAGACTTCCCAAACACCAAAATCTGGCACTCAGTACATTGAAATTACTACAACAACAACAACCAATAGATATTAAAATATTGTGCTTTTTGACCATCATTCTTTGATGTATTCACTTGTGGCTAATTAAATGCATAGTTTATTTATCTTTGAAGTGGTTTGCAGCAAACTGTCTGCTAAGTGAGACTGTCCGCATGAGCAGTGGTTTTTGAGTTTTATTACAACAGTGCTATAAAATCCATCTGTTACATAGTGCGTAACTTCACTGAACAAAACAAATGTGCTGACCTATCAAAAGTGATGTAACAAGCACCACATTCTAGCTGAAACAACTTGATAAAACAATCATAGCCCTTAAAATGCTTATGTTTTGATGGGGGGGGTGTTTATACAAGATTTAGTGTTCAATAAAAATCCATTTCTTTTCTCTCTTTTTTTCCAAGACCTCTGCGCATTCTGTCATCTTTTTATATTTCAAGGATATAATTAAAAACACAGCATATGTACTCTGGGAATATGTAATTCTCTATTAGCTGACCAATTTTGGTAGCACAGTACATAGAGGTATATTGGCATTTGAGTCAGACATTAGATTAGCTCGTAGTTTGTTGGCTACCCCAACAACTGGGGGTAATCTGGAACCTATCCCTGGGAAAGAGCTCGTATAATGAGCAATCCGTTTGCCTGATGTTTTATCCATGCAGGGTGGCTTAGGTACTCGTTTACAAATCCAAGGATGTTTCAAAGCTTGGGTAGGAGTCATCCGTGCAGAAGGATCCCAATTAAGACATTCTTTCAGGAATTCTATAAACACGGGGTCATCACAGCCTTTTAATGCTGTGACCCAATCCTTGTTGCCTGGAGCACCACGCATTTTCCCCCTACGTGATCTGCTGCCATTAAGAGTCATTTTCCCATCTGCCTGTGTCGTTACAGTGCAGTAACGAGGATGGCCTTTTGAATTGATGAAGTTTTTGGCTCGCTTGGATTGGTCTAGCAGCTTCTGTGGGGGCATTCCAAGGAGCTCCATCATACAAGCTAGCTGATCGCCTTCATCCTCCCCAGGAAAGAGAGGGTAACCAGTCAACAGTTCCACAAGAATACAGCCAAAACTCCACATATCTATGGGCATCCCATAACGGCTTCCCAAAATGACTTCTGGGGCTCTGTAGAATCGAGACTGTATGTAAGTGTAGACTCTTTGGTGCTCAAAACAGCTGGATCCAAAATCAATCACTTTGATTCCACTCCGCCCTTGTTGTTTTAGAAGAATATTTTCAGGTTTCAAGTCACAATGTATGATTTTGTTTTTATAAAGAGCCTCCAAACATTGCAGTATAGAGTGGGCAAACTTTCGTACCAGCTGCACACTGAAGCCTTGAAATTTGTTTCTTTTGATCAGCTCATAGAGATTCATACTCAGGAGTTCAAAGGTCATACATATGTGATTCCTAAAGGTAAAACTCTCCAGCATGTGAATAACATTCATGCCACCAGTTTTATCTTGTTTTTTGAGATGCTCCAAGATCCGTATTTCTTCTGCTGCTTGCCGGTGAAACCTCTTTTCGTTACGTACCATCTTTAAGGCCAAATGCTGGTGGTGTTTGTGGTCATAAACTTTAGCTACTTGGCCAAAACTGCCTTTTCCAATTATTTTTAGTACTTCATATCGGTAGGCAAGATGGTCGTGAGGCACGTGAATGTAGCTGCCTTGTTCATCATCATATCCACCATTGTTTGGGCCTCCAATGACTCCTTGCCTTTTCTTTGCATTTGCACCCACAAAATAAATTTCAGGAAAGTTCAATATTTCTTGCTGCTCATAGGCTGACAACTGCTGTTTGTATTGCTTCAGTGCTTGTTCTGGGGACTGACTTCCGGTTTTGTGTGCTTTTGTCAAGCTGCCACTATTTTTGTTGGTACTTATGCTATCAATGCTTTTATCTTTTGCTGGAGTTGGAAAAGACCTCTCAGAGGCATTTATTCCTGAAGACTGGAGAGTACTGCTCCTTCTGTTGCCAGAGTCTTCAAATAACTGCTCCACTTTGACTTGGCTCCCTGTCAGAGGATGGTCCTTCATTGTGATTGGGTTAGTAGTTACCTATTAGGATGAAACAAAGCAAATCTTTAGTTTCCGTTCTCATTTTAACAACGGGGAAGCAAAGAAGCAACAAGACAAGCTTTTCAGATGGCGCATTTACAAATACACGTATTCTGATCTAGTTCAGAAGCAACCGATCGCACAAGCATGCACAAGAGCAGCTATGCAACACCTACTGTTCAACCCGACATGTGGGCAGGTGCTGAAAGTTTAGCATTAAATCAGGGGTCACCAATGTGTTGCTCATGGGCACACATAAGCACACAAGTCCACAGAGCTTTTCCTGGTGTCTGCAGGGACCCACCCCACCCCCACTTAAATTGGTCTTGAAGCAGCATTCCATTGTAGTCAACATAATAGGTTGCAGTGAGTGCTCGGGTTCTGCTATGCGTGTAGTGCCCATGACAGTTTCCCCAGTTTTTAATGTGCTCATAGGACCAGGTTGGCAACCCCTGGCATAAGCCAAGCCATAGCTGAAGTATGCATATTTGCCATCTTAGAACCACAGGAAGCCAACTACAAGGATGAAAAAATACAAAACACCACAAATAGGCACACAGAGGGGATGCAAAGCAGAAGCAGGTTATGATAGAAGCCTTTTCACAGGGCAAATGGAATGGCGGCCAGGGCAATGGGTGAATTCTAATTTTGTTACCAAGGGCTCCATGCTACTCTCATATGTCTCTCCACAGTTCTCATCTACTTTATTTGAAGCTGTATAGCAAGGCAGAACTGAACACATTTTGCATCTGTCCTAGAAAGGAACTTTTGCTATCCTGTGCCAATAAGGGACTAAATATTTTCCGCAGTGAAAAGAGCAAACTGAAATTGGTAAGAAAACATAATAAAGGAGTTTCTCATTTCTGCAAGATTTCAGTGTAATATATGAAGGTAGACCTAAAATTCTATCCAAGGAGAAAGGCAACAGACGCACTTAAAGTTCATACTGCTTTTAGTTCTACACTGCAAGGAAGTTACAAGCTGCTGTGTTATATTGTACAACAATTGTGGGAAGTGCAGAAACATCTGCTTTCCATTCTAGTCTTTCATCTCAAAATAAAGATAGCCAATCCTTGAAACTGAAAATAGAACTTCCATTTCAGTAAAAATATACACATGTCTGAAGATAACTGGTGAGTGATGCTATCCATTTCCTGTATAGCAAGTTACTGTCTATCATCCCAACATAGCAGCAAAATAACAACTCATGGAAAATAACTTGCATATCTTTCCGCTGAAATGCCAATACACAGTTTATCCCATTGGCTCAGAAAAAGAAAAGTTTTAAGAGATAAAGCTCTCTGGTTCTTCCTGATTACTACTTAACTGCTATATCTGCCTGGAAAATGTAGACAGTACATTTTGAGACACACACCTTTCCAGGAACTCATAGAAAATATGGTCCACAGAATTAGCATTTTAGTAACACATTCTTCGCTGGGCTTATGGCTGAACTGCAGAGAAAGAATGACAGACGGTGTAAAATTCTGAATAAGAAGGCTACTTGCAGCAAATAATTCAAAATGACACTAATTCTCTCAGTAAGAAATCCAGGTTTTAGGGGAAACTCCATTTTCAGAAATGTCTGCTTTCCAATCCAACGCTTGCCTGAGGAATTCCAGACAGATTCTTCTCTTCATTTTACAGTAAAGTTAAGGAGCCAAAATGAGAAAAGCAAAGTGGAATTGAACCTTAGTGAGCTGCAATTTTGTACAACATACAGTGTTTATCTGCAACCTAAAAGGTCACACCTTGAAATAAAAAGGTTAATAAGTATAGCATTTAAAAACTGATACTTGCTATGGATTAACACACAATAACAAAGAGGCACATGTCTGAAAAGACATTCTGATATCACTTAAAGGTGAAGAGATTTGGCAACTGACAAGCACAAAAAGGTGAAAGTTTAAAGCTGTATGGTGCCACAGACTGAACTATTTCAGACTTTTCCCTCTGACTAATAAATGAGGAAGATTTTTGGACCCATCTGACCCAAGGATGGTGGGTAATGTGCCTAAAAACTATAGTACTTGGAAGCTGGCAATGAATGAGTTCAGCTTTTGTGTTCTGTAAACCCAAGTTTCCAGCTTTCATGCTCCAAAATATAAAACTTGCCAAGTGTCAGAGAAGCATTGTTTTAATGGCTCAAAAAACCAAACAGGATTTGTAGAGAGGAATTTAATATAGAGTGATAACCACTTTTCCAGAAACAGAAACATATTTACGTGGCACAGAAATGCCGCCTCTTCCTACAAACCCAACCTCAGGACCTAACTTCCTTTCCGTGATCAAAATCCCATATTTTGCAAACATCAGAGAACCATGATCAAGTTAGTTTTCCACAACTATTTTCCCAAAGCATGTAAATGGACATATATGTTTGAGGTGAATTCCCTGCTACATCCTTCTTCATATCGGCTATCTATGTTGCCTAGGAAAGCCTCCTCCCTTCCAAAAAAAAGCAAACTCCCAGCCACTGACCACCTGATTCCATGACATAGCTCTTTCCCCATTCTCTGCTCTGAAAGAAATGCATGGTATGATTAAGCCTCATACCTCGTAGGGCAGTATTTTGTTTCACAACACATTCTCTGTTTTGACAGTGATCCTACAAGGAAATAAACTGAGGTCATGCTGATAAGAAGAAAGTTAGAAAACTATTTGGGTTTGGTTTGATTGGTTTTTAAGAACCGAGGACTAATGATTAGTCTTTTGTACGAACAGAGACAACACACACACACACAGGCTTGCAACAAACTCCCACAGGAAGACATTAGCTTGAGAAAGCTCTACCTCTCATTTCTCTGCACTGCTCTGAGTATGGACCTGGGCCTCCCGACATCAAGCAACCATTTAATGCACTAGAATTCAAACAGCTATGCCACTCTTTGCCCAATTCCCATTACTCAGTCATTTCCTGCTGGTGGGGAAAATGAGAAGGGAAATAGAAAGAATTTCAACTTCTATGAAGTATTAATATCCTTATAACATTCACCCATTTCGTAGCACAGTGCCCGACAGGTAACCTTTCTCCTCTCTCCTGAACAAGCTACAGTAAAAAGCATGTCTGCTTTCTGTTGTTTTCAGAACTGTCAAAAAGGCATCCAAACACAACAGTGGAGCTCAAGGGCCTCTTAAAACACACATTTTAAGACTGTAATAGCAGCCAGATTAGCCCTCTGCTTAACTGCTAGATCTCATCTACTGGACCACAATTATTACACAAAGTAACCAGTAACAATCCAGAAGACCTAGAAAAATACTTTCAATATATTACAAAATGTAGAACAGGAAAGTCTGTTTCAGGTTTCAGAAAAAGTCCAATGTTCTATTATGAAAAGTCTGCAAACAGACACACATATTACATGCACTGTGTACTCTGAATAAGGCTAGGCATTTTCCAAAACAAAATCTATTTTGACAAATTTGTCAAATATGAGACAACACTGAAGGAAAGGGGTGCAGGGACTAAATGGGCCCCATCATACACTGTCAATGAAACAAAATATCAAAATTTAACTATGATAACTTTTAAACAATGCTTTGTTTAAGATTATTTGGGAAGTACAGTGGTACCTCTACTTACGTTTACCTTCAGAATATGTGTGTGGCAAACCCGGAAGTATTTTTCCAGGTTTCGCCCCGCGCAAATGCGCAGAACTAAACCGCGCTGCGCGCATGCACCTCCAGATATGAACACCTCGGGATTCGACAGGAGCTCCGGAACAGATCCCGTGCACAACTGGAGGTACCACTGTACACAGACATTGTTAGTCTACGTCGGGGTGGCGAACCTCCATTCTGTTGGCCCAATTAGGCGTGCCAAGCCATTTTAGGTAAGCCATGTCCACCTATCATGTGACTGTACAGCACTGTGTACGGTATTCCAAGTGCAGTTGCACCACAGATTTGTATAACAGCATTATGATACTCGCAGTTTTATTTTCAATTCATTTTCTAAGCATTCCTAACACGTCGCCTTTTTCACAGCTGCTGCAAACTGGGTTTGACATCTTCATTTAGTTCTCCACTACGCCAAGATCTTGTTTCTGCTCAGTCACTTCTAGTTCTGACCCCATGAGCATGTATATGGTGTACATCACTTTACACTTTTTAAAACATTTAATTGCATTTGCCATTTTATTGCCCATTTACATAGTATTTTGGAGCTCTTCACAGTTCCTTATTGTTTTAACCACCTGGAATAATTTGGTATCATACGCTTACTTGGCTCCATCACTGCTCAATCCTAATTCTAAATCATTTATGAACCAATTAAAAAGCACAATACTGATCCTGGGGGTACTCTACTTGCTACATCTTGCCATTGGAGAACTGTCCATTTATTCCTGCCCTCTGCTCTCTGTTTCTTAACCAGTTACTGATCCACAAGAGGGCCTCTTATCTTATTCCATGACTGCTAAGCTTGGTCAGGAGTCTTTGGTGAGGCACTTCCAGAACTACATACAACTGTATCCCATAGTATTAATTTATTTAAGATTAACTCTCGATAAAAGAGAAGAGTTTGAATTCTTAGGGCAAAATACTCTTTGCCCCAGACTCCACAGTAGCTGTACTTAAAGTTCATTGACATTTCCCCTTAAATTCGAGCTCACAATTCTGCAAAATTAATGCTATTCTAGTCATGTAAATATTTTGTGAGCATTTCCATGCAGTAAACTTCCTTCACACCAATACATTTAAATAATATAAATTTTTCAGCTTGCAAGATGTATCAGTTATGCTATATTTTTAGCGGCCTTAAGCTATGGGATATTGAAACAAAGTCATATGGTCTCAGATACACTTGTGACCACTTATATTGCTGTTGTATCTGTGTAACTTAAATGGGATCAATTCTTAAACCAAAAGTTGGAGACATGCAACAGCAACATAAAAACTGTGTGTGTTCACAGGCACAGATATATGGTAAGCCTGCTTAAGCACTCCTTCTAGAGGGAAAAGATGGGTACGGTAAATCATCCTATAACAAAATCACCCTTCTGACTCCCCAATACAAAATGGAAGAGAGAATGGGCAGAACAACAGAAACAGTGTCATGGTTCACAGCATAGAGTTTCAGAATACAAAAGAAGTGGGCCTTACTAGGGGATGGCAGAAACATGGTCAGACTCACCTTTTGCATGTCTTACCTGCAACAGGCATGTCAGATACAAAAGTGAGGGAGTAGTAGAACTAGAACGTACATGGTACACTCTACTAAGCAGATGATAACCCAGCCACAGGAGACGAGGATGCACTGCACCAGCCCTATTCGGCTTGCTTAGAGACCAACCATGGTTTGTTTTAAAACAGAATCCTTGGTTTGTACAAAATGCTAAGCCAAGATTCTTTACTGGCAAAAACCAAGCTTGGTGTCAGGAGGAGGGAGAGTGCATGAGCTCAATGCTTTACTTGGGCTTGGAGAGGTTTGTGCATTTTGTGCATGTAGCACTACAATATAGTTTAGTGTTCCATGTGACTGTAGTCACTGTGTCCTTCCTGAGCTACTAGCTGTGTATACCAGGGCAAAGAGGGTACATGAGGAAAAGGGCCTATCACAGTGAGCATGCTTACATGATAAAGGTTCAATTCTCATTTCTATATAGGGCCTGGAATGGCTCACATATAACCCTGAAGAGTCACTTAGACAATACTGAACTAGATGGTCTGAGTATGATGCAGCTTTCTATGAGCCCTAACCCAGCAGAATAGCACACATTTCACAGGCAGGAGCTTCTAGGTAAAACCAAGATGCAATCTTCCTCTGGAAAACAGTGCAGTGTCAGAGGAGTGTTGCATGAGTCAATTGCCTGGCTTTCAGATGACGTAGGTTGCCTTTTGTATCACTGGTCCCATCTAGTCAAACATCCCTCATGCTGGTTTGCCCAGGTCTGTTCATTATCTCCTCCACCTCCAAACTGCCTGTCTCACTGATCACGGTGGCAGTGACCAGGCTGCCTGTGAGTGCAGAGGAGACTGCCAGTGTGGTGCAGTGGTTAAGAGTGGTGGATTTGTAATCTGGTGAACCGGGTTCGCTTCCCTGCTCCTCCACATGCAGCTGCTGGGTGACCTTGGGCTAGTCACACTGAAGTCTCTCAGCCCCACTCACCTCACAGAGTGTTTGTTGTGGGGGAGGAAGGGAAAGGAGATTTTTAGCCGCTTTGAGACTCCTTAGGGTAGTGATAAAGCGGGATATCAAATCCAAACTCCTCCTCTTCTTCTTTTACCCTCACTGGAGGTAAAATGGCAAGCGGGTGGAAATGTTGCATCTCTTCAGACCTGATAGCAAAGAATTCCCCAAAGACCCTTTCATTTAAAGTCCCTTCCTGAGGCTAGCAGAGGACAGAACATACTCTGGGGTGTGGAAATGATCCCAACCTGCTCACCTCCAGTAACAAACAAATTGACAGCTATAACAAAAGGCAAACATTTTACTAAACAGCATCCAAGACACATGGATGGGGTTGGCAGACTTTTATGAAAGTTGTAGAAGACAACAGGATAGCAGGTGGTTTACTCTGCAGTGCCATCCGTCACCAGAGTGTGCAACTGTCCATTATGCAACTTATGCACTGGAAAAAGTGAAAGTTGGCAACCCCACAGAGAAACAGCCAGAATCATACAGGTTACTGAGGCCAGTAATGCTGAAGGCCTCACTTGGTCTGCAATGGTGCTGGGAGTAAGGAAGAAGCTACAGCTTCTGTTCAAGGTCAGACTATGGAGCGCCAAGGCGGGGGGGGGGCACACACAGACAATAGAGAACAATGGTCAGCAGCTACAGTACATAGTTCCTGGACCGCAATGCTCACCTGGTGGTTTTGATCAAGTGTGTGAGAGAGAGTGCTGTCTCCCTTCACCCAACCCCCAATGGGGAGTGGATTGCGATCACCAAGACAATACTTACCTATCTCTTGTAGGAAGTTGCAGTGTTTTGTTCTACTCCATGCCCTCAACTGCAAAAGGGATCATGAGTGTTTGGCAAGCAATGGTTAGAGTGCAGTTCCTGCCATTCATCAACAGAGAGCTTACCTTCATGTGGGGGTTCATGGCCACTGGCCTCCCCCTCCCTTACTGAATGTACTTACCTCTCCTGTGTGGGTGGCAATGCTACTAGCTGTGGAGGGAGGAAGAATGGTTAGCCAATACACAGTAAACAATACTGAAGTGGGGTGGCTGGGAGTGAGGGGGGCACTATGAGGCATGGTACCCTTCCAATGCTTAACTGTGTGGTGTGTGTGCATCCCTAGGTATAGTGGCAGAATCAACATGCATCTTGCTGTTTGTGTGTGGAGACTAGAGACAAGAGTACCTATAGGGGCTGCAAGGTGTTAGCAACCTGCTCTTCCTAGAGGTCTCCTGATGAGGCTGTTTGTGTAAAGTGCCCTTTCTCCATAGCTCCCATTACTAAAGTTCTCCCTTGCATGCTCCAAATATTCCTAACAAAGCCCCATGCTCTCATCAGAGCTATAGCGCCTGTCAGGATTTATATACTGCTCTAGGTGTGATGTAATTGAGTGCAGCATTATCTGCATCCTATGTCTGTGAAGCTGTGGCCAGAGCAGGAGGGTTATTGTGTGTTTCAACTCTCCACTGAGTTGAATGGGCTCGCCATTTTTATGTCAGTGTAACTGATGTAGGTGCCAGGAGCAGAGTCAGAGAGTTTATGATTCAGATGGCTCCTTTCCAACATATCCTACACCACCTTTATTGGTCCCTGCATCTGCAGGATGTCACACCACAACAGAAGTAAAGCTGGTTAATTTGTGATATTATGCCAACATAACCCTGATGTTAGTACAATGTTGCCAGTACAGATAATTCATGCCATTTTCTATGGTGCTCCAGCTGGCGTAAGTGTGCTTAGACTGTGGGATGTCAGAAGCCACTTTCCTATAGTTTGGCTTGGCTTAATTGGAAAGCAAGGAACTCCCTTTCTCCCCACTGGAACCATCCATCAACACATTTCACACCTGGTTAGAATTCCAAATCTTGTTGTTCAGGTTTAGTAACCTGACTTTCCTGAGACAGCTGGGATGCAAAGAACCCTCTCTCCAGTAGAATGGCCAGCTGGATAATGATCAGATGACTTTTGGCAGACTGACCCACATTACAATTTTAACTACAAGTTCCATTTCCAATCAGATGACTTCAGAGTAACCTGTCACTCTGCTTCCAACACTTCCTCTTGCAAGAGCTGGACTACATAGTTTACTTAGCCCATAGACTAGCTGTTAGCAGCCAAGAGAAATGAGTGACAACACATGTGGTGTGTTGTTCAGATCAGCTTTTTGAATACTCCCAATATAGGTTAGCCTTGGAAGATTGCTTGTTCTCTTAATATTGCGCTATTTACTTCTGAGCAACCATGCTCAGGACTGTCTGTAAGTACAATAGGATTAACTCTTTAGAGCACTAAGACTGCACTATTAGAAGACAAGGGCATTTCCAGTTTATTGTAGACTCAGTGCTGCTTGTGCACATAGGTTTCTCAAGAGTGTCCATACAAATTTGTCAGCATCAAAACACCAGTCCACAGTACTACAATTAATCTGGATTTCCCTCACTGTGAAAAATCCAGTAAGCAAAAATTGCCCTATTATACATTAGCGGTCATCACTGGTATGGAAGTTAGTTGCATTTTTGTGTGTGGGTTGGGGGCAATTTGTCATGTGTATGATGTTTCAGTGGGTGGCCCCTTCTGTTTGCGCGTCACCTAATCACAACCTAACCAGTTATTGTTTCAGGCAGACCCTAATGCCAAACAAAAACATTTATTTCCAATGACTGCCACATGCTGAAGGCATGCACAGTTCAGGAATTATTCTCTGTAGACCTCCACCCAGTAACTTTGGTGGATTACTTCTGAGATTATAATTGCAATGCATATATCAGACTTTTTAATTATTTTAAAAAAGTAACATGGCAGTTGTGCACAAGACCTCTAACACTCTTTGCACAAAAACTATACCAAGTCAGGAAAATGGCACTTTTTTGCAAGAGCTGAGTACTAATTTTATTTTTAATGGAAACAGATGTTGTCCCCCACAAAATAATACAAGCCTTCATTTTGCTCACTGTGAAACATGAGAACTAAAGCAAGTAACGTTTGGTCTTACACTGTTGTGCACTTCCTGGAAGATTTGTTTTTATTGCATGTGCGCATGGTGCTGAAAAGAACCTTGCACACATGCTCAGAATGGAGAAGTATTTGAAGGGTTGAGGGGAAAGGCAAACAAAAAAACCCCCATAAAAACCCATGGTATGAACCTTTAGTTAACTGACTACATTCAGGAATGTTTACATTAGGTAAAGTTTAAAGCAGATGCTGGTTGCATACATTGGACATTTTTTATTTCCTTCCTAAACCTGACTGATAATACGAATAACATTAAAGCTATTTAAATATTCCTCACTTTCACTTGGGTCAATAAGGCAAATGCCTTTATAGATTTCAATATAATTTTAGTTATACTTTTTAAAGAAGCAACTACATATGGCAGCTCACAAAGATTTCAGAAACAGGATATTAAAATTACAGAATTATCAATGGACATTTCCCAAGAAGCAAGTCCCACTAATTTCAAATGGGCTTATTCCCACATAAGTGTACAGAGGACTGTACTTCGAAAAGCAAGAAATCCATGACTGAAAGGATTTATAAGAAAACAGCATAAATAATCTGAACAGGCACATGGGTATTTGATTATTTTTTTAAAAGGGCTCAAAATCAATGATGGCCTAGAAAAACAGTATTCTCTTTTATATGCATTCGTAAATTATTTGAATGTGTGTATGCACACACATACACGCACTTGCCAAGACAGGGGGAGGGCAAGAAGTATTGTTAGGTGTCACAAGCTGACAAACACCCGTTTCTAACAGTCATGATCTGACCCAATGCATTTGCTTTCACATCTCTATGTCACATTCTAATCCATTACTCCCCTCTGGCTTTTAGCCACAAGTTTCCAATAAGCAATCATGGCATGATAGAATGCTAAAACTGTACATGCCAGTTTCTTCTCTCAGTGATCAGACTATGCAGGAAATCTTTGGTTTCACTCAGAATAGAATTCCCCTGTTGCTGGAAAGTATTTACACATCATCTTACAGTTAAGATCATTGCCACAGCTGGATATAATTGATGCAACCCAAATGAGCCACTTCAGCAAGCTTCCAAAGAAATGCAACTCTGATTAAAACATCTATCGTGTCTATAAAAATAGAATTCAAGTGACAGGGAATAGTGGTGTTCTAAAAAGAAACAGGGTTCCTTATTTACTGGGAGCACATGAAGAAATAAAAACAACACCCATAATACATAAACACAAAAGTACTATTTCAGCCCTATAAATGCCTAGTTGCATTTAAAAGTTAAAGTATATTCAGATACACACAGGTGCAGTCCTAGTACTCCTGTGCCAAGTATAAATGCAACAAACACAGCTCCCCAGATAACACAGCAGACTTCTGCACCTATAGTGTGATCTCTCTCACTTCTGACCAACAAAGAGAGCACAAACACAATTATCAGTTCTATTATCCATGGCTTGCTTCTTCACCAATCAGATTTTACTTCTGTCTTATCCTAGAGAAAGGTGATTTATTTAACAGTTCGAAGAATAGTCACAGAAGAGCTGCTCTTGCAACTTTTACTCTGATGTAAGCTGCAAGAGAATGAATTCAATAATAATATTTTGAGAACTCTGGGTATAGGGCAGTATAGAAATTCAATAAATAAATAAATAAATAGTTTATTTCTAACTTTATATATTGATGTTTCCCCTGAGGAACACAAATGGATGTCTAGAACAAGCTTGAAAATTTAGAAGACAGCTTTTAAACATATTTTTCGTCACTGCAGAAAGGACCAGAGAACCTCTAAAGGGCTAGGTGTACTGTCTGCACAGAGACAGGCAGGTTTTTGGCACTTCTTAATTCAGCTCTCTTGTCAAGAGATGTTAAAGCTGCTCTCTGTTCCCTTACCTGGGCATGCCTGTTGTTGTCACCAGGCCCTCTCCCACATCATGAGCACCTCCTGGGGCTATGCTACAATAGGGGAGGGGGAAAGAGAAGCAGTAAGGCAGGCAGAGCAGCAGTGGGGTGACTACCCCCAGAAAACTGAGTCGCAAGGCTGTACTTGTTAAGACAGGAATGAGTTACTGACTAATAAAACACACATACATTAGTATCATGAGTTGCATCCAGTTATTAAGTAACATTCTAGATCATGCTAAACAGCATATCCTATGGCCTGGAATAAAATCAGTAAGAACAAAACGACCTTCCTCATGGATACAGCTGTATTAATGTTTTGCAACACTGGAGACAGAATCCAAGAAATTCCTGAAATTACTTACATTAGGTCTCCCCAGTGACGGAAGTCCAGAAGGGGTGCATTCTTCATTTGTAGGATCTGTATATCTAATCTGATCTATTCTCATGTAGGAATCGTACAAGCCATCTCCAAACCTGGCTGGAAATAACAAGATGGTCAGTAAAAACTAACACCAATTCATACAAAAGTTATTTTTAATTTATTTTTCAGTAAGCCACTTAAGGATGAAAAAACGAAACAAAAAAGCAGCAACTATAACACAGCTAAAAACCGGTTTCTTCAGGCTAGATCAGATATTGGAAACCTGTGGCCCTCAACGTGTTTTAGGACTCCATAGCTCATTGTCCCCACCAGCATAGCCAAGTCAGGGATGATGGGAATTGTTGTCCAGCAACATCTGAAGGGCCACAGGTTCCACATCACTAGGCTAAATGTTCACTTAGCTTTAGGATTTGTTTATGGATCAAGCTCTCAAACCAGGTCCATTTACAACAAGTATCAAGAAAATCTTAAAATCTTTTAGCTAGCAATGTGTTTTAAAGAAAATTGTCTGAGGAGTACACAATTCTGTAACATCTTTATTTAAAGGTTGCAAAATAAGCCAATAAATAGACAAAATTCCTTCTAAAGTAAATGAAAGTGCAAATGTGTTGCCCAACACTTATGAATCACTGTCTGCTTAATGTGACAGAGAATAATAGTTCCAGAAAAACAAATTACTACACAAATCAATACGTGTATTGGGTCACAAACACAGTTGTCTACAAATATTATATTGCTATGTAACTGTAAAAACACCACCTTCAACATTACTTACACTAAGGCTGAAATCGGTAGAACTTGCTTCCAAGCAAACATGCAAAAGAATGAGCTGTAAATATTACCTTAATTTTCTACATTTTTGTTTTAAACTGATCTCCAATTAGAAGTTATATTCCAACCAGTTATCCTTGGCCTACGCAAATGGTTATATTTTCACGTGAATGCTGCATTTATTGTCACCCCACCCCATAAATGCCACAGACCAGAGTTTGATATTGACATATATGCATAGCTATAAAACAGTACAGTGGTACCTCGGGTTAAGGACTTAATTTGTTCCGGAGGTCCGTTCTTAACCTGAAACTGTTCTTAACCTGAAGCACCACTTTAGTTAATGGGGTCTCCCGCTGCTACCACACCGCGGGAGTACGATTTCTGTTCTCATCCTGAAGCAAAGTTCTTAACCCGAGGTAATATTTCTGGGTTAGCGGAGTCTGTAACCTGAAGTGTATGTAACCTGAAGCGTATGTAACCCGAGGTACCACTGTATTCTATTCCTGAAGATGCTGTTTTAACAAATGTGTTCTATAGACACAGTGAAACAAAAAATCAATGGTGTGAAGGAAAAGAAATAGGTTCCTCACCCTGCCTTACTTGATCACTAAAAAAATTGCCTTTCTTTTAAAACTTGGATTGCAAGCCTAACAAACAAAATAGTTACATGGGGAGTACTGCTGATCTGAACAAATGAATGCGCCTTGTCCTAATTGAAAACAGTTAAAAAGAAGTCAACTAAGTTGCCAACGGAAAAATGTCAAAATAAAAATTCTTCCTTATGCAGAATTTGGCAGTGACTTGAAGGAATCTGGCCTGTCTGCGTCTAAGTCTCTTAAAGTCATAAAGAGTATTTTGGATATGCGTTCACACACAAAGTGCTCTGAAACATGAGACCATTTCAGATCCATACTGCTCAACCTTCCCCTGGCGTTAAACTCGCCCAGACCTAACAAAGCAATTGTTACAGAACCTTAGAAAGAAAGAAATCGACGTCGTTTCCTATGGTGAAGCACAATCCTCCCAACTCAGGCCAGCTTGTCCGTTAAAATCAGACGCCGGCTGCTTTGTCCCGACTGGCATTTTAAACCTGTCGTGCAATGGGGAGTTTTCCCCTGGTCTCCTGGGGAACCCGTCCCGACACGCTTCCCGAGGCTCCATCCGCATTTTTCTCTTTCTCTCGACTCCATCCACCACCACCACCCCAGCGAAAACACGCAGGGCCGAATCCACTGCTAGTCCTACTCAAGAGCAGACCCATTGAAAACAAGGAGCATGGCAAACCCAGGCCCATTATTTCCGAAAGGTCTACCCTTGAGTAAAACTTAGTTGGATGCAACCCACAAGCTCCGATTGCAATCGTGTGCATGTTTACTTGGCGGCCAATCCCGCAACGAGACTTAACCCACAACAGGACCGGGCTTTTAGCATTTTTGCCGACGGTGCTTTCTCCGTCGCGACCCCTGCAAAAACAAAAAAAACACCCGGCCGGCCCTTAGCTTCAAAACAAGCTTGCCGCAACCTCATGCCTGCCTCTTTCTCTCCCACCATCCCTCTCTCTGGTGCTAGATCCCCCCCCCCCGCCATTCTCCTCCACAATATGCCACCCGCTGCATTATACTGCGGATCCAGATCCCCTAAAACGGATGAGTTATCCTTTAAACTCCTCGCAATCGATCTAACGGAAGGGCGCAGGGTGGAAAAAGGAGCAACAAAGAAGTGGATTTCACACACTCGCACGCACACACAGGGCAGGACGCGGGATCGCTTGGAAGACTCTTTTTCCTTCGTAAAACAACGCAACAGCCCCCCTCCCAATGTAGGCGGATCGGGGGGCCCCCACCTCAAAATCCCCATTGCACAAAACGGGGGTGGACGAGGCAGGCGCAACGTGGCCTCTCTCCGAGGAAGCGGGGCCAGCGCGGCATGTGCGTTCGGCTGCATATGCAATAATACAGATCGATACTTCGCCTCTCTTCTTGTTCTGTTCCGCGAGAAGCCCCGCAAGACCCCCCTCTCCGAGTCTTCGAATGGCCCAAAGGCCCTCTCGCCTCGAGGAGTGGAGGGATCCATTCCAAGTCGGGGGGGGGTAGGAATAAGATCCGAGGTAGAGACCCTGGGAGCCCCATTTAACCTCCCCGCCCGGGAGGGGCCGTTATTACCTGCAGTGAGGGGACCCTCCGGCTTCCTGCTCAGCAGCATCATGGCGGTAGCGGGGTGGAAGCCCGCGGGCCCTGCGCCCCATCACCCTAGCCAGGCCCACACTCCGGCTCGCGCTGCCTGCCTGCCTGGTTCGCTCGCTCGCCTCTTTCTCCTCTGAGGCTGTAGCACGGCGGGCGGGGCCGCGGCAGTGCTCAGGGCGCGGTTGCTAAGGGAACGTCTGCTTGGCCCTCTATGCGCTTGCGCGGTGAGAGGAGGAGGCGAGCGGGGACAAGAGAAAGGAAACGGGAGCGCGCCGAGGGGGGAAAGGGGATGAGTGGGGAGAGAGAAGGCGGCGACCGGGGGGGGGGGCGTTTGCTGGCAGGCGGCTTGGTAAATAAAATCATTTGAGCAACCCAATGTGTGCGTGTGTGTTTTAGGGCCACGCCTTAGGAACCTTGCCGGGACCTCAAAAAGCGCCTCTTGTCTGTAGCGAAGCCACGTCGAATGCGAATAACAACACAGAGCCTTGTGGCACCTTGAAGACTAACACGTTCATTATGGCATGAGCTTTCGTGGACTTTCACTGTGGCTGGCGCTTATTGCAGCATGGGCTGCCCTAACAGTTATTATGCCGCAAGCTCTTGGTCTGACACAAGTGTTCTTCTAAACGAAGCTGCCAGATCTTTTAAGGTGTCAGCAGCACCACAAGACGCTTGCAACGCGTGGGTATACGTCTTCACCCATAAGTCTTCCAAGAAACCGTGGTTTTATTATTTTAAGGAGGAAAACCACAGCTCGGTGGTATAAAGCAACTGCTTTGCACGTAGATGGTCTCAAGGGCAACACTCAGCATCTCCAGGTCAGGCTGGGAGAGACCCCTGCCTAACATCCTGGGAAGCCACTTGCCAATCACGGTAAACAATACTGAGCTAGATGGACAAGTGATCTGGCTTGATAAAAGGCGGCTTCCCCTGCTCCTGTTTTATCTTTCTGCCTAATAAGCAGTTCTGTGTAACTCCCAAGCTTGAATACTTTCAGCAACAGGCCAAGTGTATGTCCACCGTGACACTAGAAGATCCAAAACACATTCAATCTGACAAACCAGTTAAAACTAGGCTACATTTCTTTCCAGTGTAATTGTATGCCTGCCCACTCTGAACATTTGAGTTTGGTGGGTCTAAACCAGAGAGCCTAGGGCTTGCCAATCGGAAGGTTGGCAGTTCAAATCCCCGCGACGGGGTGTGCTCCCATTGCTCAGTCCCAGCTCCTGGCCACCTAGCAGTTCGAAAACACATCAAAAAGTGCAAGTAAATAAATAGGTACCGCTCCGGCGGGAAGGTAAACGGCATTTCCGTGCGCTGCTCTGGTTCGTCAGAAGCGGCTTAGTCATGCTGGCCACATGACCTGGAAACTGTCTGCAGACAAACGCCGGCTCCCTTGGCCTATAGAGCGAGATGAGCGCCCCAACCCTAGAGTCGTCCGCGACTAGACCTGTCAGGGGTACCTTTACCAAAGTGTGCATAGGATTTCAGCATTAAGCTGTGTTTTAAACAAGCTTTGGTTAGGAACTTACTTGTAACAGAGGATTGTTTTGTTGAGGGGAATATACAATGCCTGACAAACTGGGCTCCTGGTTGTCTACGGCAAGGGTGGGGAAGCTCAGACCCAGTGGCCAAAATGTGTTTCTTGGATCTCTCCCCAGGCCCTCCCTGTGTTCTTGAACTCTGATATGCTTGTCTGGATGGAGGAGAGAGGGGGATGTGTGTAGATACTAGCCTACTGTACAAATGCAAAATGTACATGTATTGCTTCATCAGTGAGGCAAGGTGGGGTGACTGCCTCAGACAGCAGGATCCACAGGCAGCAGATCCTGATGTAGATCCTTATCCCTCCCACCTTGGGGTTCTGATTTAGATCTTCACTCACCCCTTCCTTGGCAGGGAGGGGAACACTATCTTGTGGTTCACCTCAGATGCCCAGGTGTCTTGAACTGGCCTTGGTTCCACCCACTTTTGCTGACATATGGCCCCTGGCAGGTTGGTGGAAAGGGAATGCAGCACAACATGGGACATACATTATGTCAAACAAAAAGTGTCAGGTGCCCCACCCTGTTCCCCATAAGTCCTGTCTTTTGATATAAATTTGACATTGCTTGATATGGATTTCATTTAAATTTGATATAGCTTCATATACTTTTTAATATAAGTGATGTCCTACAGGATGCCAATGGTGGGTCATAAACTCCCTCAATGCAACCTGCTGTCCCAAGGTGTACTGCACAATGCTGTCACCAGTACTGAAGATTGAACTGCCCATCTAGATAGGGGCACCATCTTGTTCTTCACCTCAGGCATCAATATGTCTTGGGTCAGCCCTGGAGGAACACCCACACATATTTTGCACCTCACTCCAGTTGGTAGGCATCAGGATTCTAATATTTGTTTTGTTTTTATTTAACAACATTTGTACACCACTATATTGTAGAAGCTACTAACATGAGTTTGACCAAACTGCGGGAGGCAGTGTAGAAACCTCAAACCAGCTTACATAAAATATATAATATACATTGAAATTATCAATAAAATTAAGAAGTTAAAAGCAAGCAGACCTACAAAAAATAAAAATAAAGCAAGCAGTTAAAAATATATGGATAGTTCAGTTGCTTAGAGTGTGGTGCTAATAATGCCAAGGTTGCAGGTTTGATCCTTAGGGTTTCTTCCAACTCTACATATTAAAATACATTCCAACTTTACATTACAGGTTGTGCCTAAACAAAAAAGTATTTAGCAGGCACTGAAAACAGTACAGCAGAACAAAATAGATTGCAACACCTGAAGTCTGTCCACTGTTTATAGGTTTACACATTACAAGTTGTCTTTAAGTTACGCCTATGCCAATCAAAATAAAACAGAATGTGTTGAATGCAATCTGTGTGCAGCCAAGAAAAGGTTTTGGGGGGTTTTGTGTAGAGCTTCTGTGCTTGGTTATAATGAGGGCTTGGGATGCAGAGAAAATTATTTGCTGACACCCTGCTACCATATATAAAATTCGATTTTGTACTAAGAATGAAAAATATTGACATAATTTCAACCAAACTGCAGATAAACAAACTTTGTGTTCAATATGCCTTCCTTTCTCATGATACCTAAAGTGAGTTTTTATCCATCCTTCAGTTCTTAGAATCTTTCTTTCTTTTTGGCTGAAAACTCCAATTGATCTCACGGTTGAAAATTATTCCTTTTGTTGACTAATCTTGCATCTTTAGACAACAACACTCTCATTAGCACTAATAGGTGTGTATCAGAGTTTAATTTGGAATGTTACCCTCCTTATATGAAAGGGTTTATGAATAAGGCTTTATATGAATATCCCATGATCAAATATTTGGGTTTTCTTTTCAAGGATATCGAATAATTTTGCAAAAGCAATGCTGAGAGCCATCTGGTGCTGTTAACAGGGATCACAGCCCTCCTCATGTCTCTGGGGCATATGTGCTGTACCATGCCATTTTCCTTAAGGAAAGCAAAGGTCACAAGAAATATTTGCTGCCTCCCAACCCCAATCACATTTTAGTTGTTTAGCAGGTTTGCCATTTATTGTATTCTAATTGCTTTCTATGCTTTGTAGTCTCACAGGGAATGGTCAATTAAAAAATATATTGTGTAGATTCATGTCAAAACCACATTTTCCCTCCACGTGAATTATTCCAGTCCAGCTGTGCTCTATCTTGGACTATGGAGGCAAGTCAGTCAGGTTGTCCCTTGAGATGCACGGCTGAGGTTTGCATTTCGGTTACCTCTCAAATAATTAAGAATGCATATCTGACACAAGTTGTGAAATAGCTTTTTCCTACAATAGTAGAAAAACAAAGAACCAAAAAGCCTAATATTGGTATTGCCTCAGTATGGATTTTGGACCTCATAAAGCCTATATTGCCTATTTGTTGGCATGACAGATTCTCATATCGTCAGTGTAAAGAAAAGCAGAAAAACTATGTCATGTAGACTACAGTGAAGTATATTTGGAATTCTCCATGAAGCTCATTGGGTGACTTTGGGCAATAAAATGAAATGAGGAAGGGGATTGTGTATACTACTTTGAACACATGGGAGTGCTTAGTTTGTTTTTGATTGTTAGTTTGTTAACATTAATATCGTTTTGTGGATTATGTCTGCTGTAAAGCTTTGTGAATTTTATTACTTATCTTGCGGCTGTGCTGTTTAGCCTGTTTTTTTAAAAGTTGTTTTGTTAATGGTGCTTTATAGAAGGTTGTTGTTTTACTGAAGATTTGTTAATTATTTTATAAGATTTATGTTGTAATTGTGATGTTCTACTATGTTCTTATTTATTGTATGTAAACCGCTTTGTGACTCATGTGAGTAAAAAGTGACATAGAAATAATAAATGAAAATGAAATGAAGATGGGATATAAACAAGCAAATAAGTTGTATAATTAATCCAGCCTTCCTCAACCTTATGCCCTCCAGTTGTTGAACTGCAAACTTACTGCAGATCAAGCTAGATGGCCCGTGTTCAGGAATGGTGGGGGCTGTAGTCCCAACAATATGTCGAAGGCAGCAGGTTGGAAAAGCTCAATTTCTCCTCTGCTCAAGATTATTTTGAAGAAGGCTGTCCAACTTTGTTCCTTACACAGGAGTTATTGGTGAGATGTGATTTTCAATTCACGTTACATTACACTGAGGCGAACATACAACAAGCACATTGTAGGCGTATTTGCTTCCATTTTTGCTTCCTTTCTTTATGTAGAAAGAATCAGTTATGCAAATATTTTATACAAATTCAGTCTATGGATATATATATATATATATATATATATATATATATATATATAGTATTAATCAATAATAAACACCATGCTGTGATAGCCATAGTATTTCACCATACATTCCATTTCAAGGTAGAAATAGAATAAAACCAGAACATTTACTTATCTTGTTTTTACATGTACCAGATATTAATGAACAATCTTCAGAGTATGAGAGTTATTCTCTGGTTTCCATCAAATAGCTTCTTCCTAGAATATTGTACACATTTTTGCTTGATGTGCCTGGGCTTTGAATCATTTTTTTAAAGCAAATCAGCAGCAGCCAGACAAATGTTGAAATAGCTTTAAATTAAGAGTTAAATGTTAATTGCTCTAATCTTGCAACCGGGTACAGCTAGATAGTAGTTTCAGAGATTCAGGGGCTTTCATCCTTATGGATATGCAGAAGGCTACTGGCCCACACAATCCTATGTCTATTTACTCAGAAATAAGTCTCTCTGAATTTGATAAGACTTGCTCTTTAATGAGTGTGTTTAGGATTGTAGTTTGCATAGATCATGACAGGTAGGAACCTTAAACATTTGCAGTGCAATTCTATTCATTTTAACTTTGAAGTTCCACTAAGGTCAATGGGGCTTATCCCCAAAAGGTATGCACAGGAGCACAGTCTTACCTGACTATTGTATCTGCTATACCTTCTGATGCAAGCATAAATGCACACTATTTTATTGGAAAGTGTCATGAGAAGGACAGTAGTTAAAGAAAGACAATAGCCCATCAAGTTTCTCCTACCTTCACAATCCGCCTACCTCTTTAATGTAAAAGTACAGCTTCTGGCAAAGAAAAATTGTGCATGTCTTAAAATAAATAGTAGCTAAAAGGAGCCCATGGGCTGGGTTTTATGGTCCCACAAGACCTCCCACCAAGTCATTAAAAAACAACAACACATGGATCCCCTGCTGTGATGCCAAAAGGTGTTTTGCTGCTTTGCATAGTTTTTTAAGAATGAATGCTCCCATAAGTCCCTTGCTGTGATACTGTGATGCCAAAAGGTTTTTGTTACACCCCCAACCTCCAAAATTAAAAGAATGTCTATGGCCACTTTACACTTTGGCCACACCGACTTTGACACGCGACTCTGGGACCACAGATCAATGTGGCACTAGCTCCAAATGAAAGTAAGACCATTTATAGCTACTTATGTGGGTCATATTGGAAATCTTCCTTATGGTATCGTTATAAAGACAGGAGGATGACCCTCATCAGATATACGGTTTCAGAATGAGTTTAGGCTGCCCACAAGTCTGACCTTGCTCTTCTTTGAGTAAGCTTGCTCATTCCAGTAAAGCCTCAGGGGAAATCCTAGGAAGGTGAAGACTTCTAGGTCAGGGGTGAGCTAAAGGTAGATGTAGATCTACTGGTAGATCTTTGGGTGATGTGCAGCAGATCAGTAAGTAACAGGAACAACAACAATAACAACAACAACAACAACAACAACAACAACAACAACAACAACAACAACAACATGTATCCACCCTACTATTAAGTACAATGAAGAAAACTTGGAGTGACCAGAAATAGAATTTTGTGAGGGTTGTAAGCTCATTTCACTTCCGACACAAAACCCCTGTTCTCATCAGATGCACATAAGAACCATGTTCTTTAATTCTAAATTTATGTCCTTTGCACCTGGTTCTAGTTGGTTGATCTCAGGGTTCTAGTAAAACTCAAAACAGATCCCACAAGCCTGAAGTCTGCACTGCTCTGCTCTAGCGATCCTTTGTACATATTTCCCCACTTTCGCATATATTCCCTGCTTCGTTAGCTCATTAGACTTTTGATACCCTTAATAATGTAGGATATCAGCCCCATTGCCATGGACAGTTGGACTCTCCTTGCCGCATTGTATTTTACATCTCCAGCATGATGCAACCCTGTAGCTAAGGAAACAGAATCTTGCCCATGACAGGCTCTGGGTTTACACCATTCACTATGTTTGCTAATGCTTTCATGGCCATCTTCAGTACACACAACTGACTCAGATTGTTGTCCCTGTACCCTCCTTAGAAAAGCAGCAGTCTGAATAATTAAATAATAGGCCACTTACAGGCTCTTAGAACATCTTGTTTTGTCGACTGTCTGCTAACTTAGGAATGCTGCCAAAACCCTATGATTGTCCTGGAGTCTTCAGGATTTAAATACTAATCTCTAGATTACTGATATGCTGTAAGCAGTCCATGACAAATGTCAAGTGATTGTAACATGGATACTAAAAAGCCCCATGATTAGGGAGCCCAGTTGCATCTATTTAATAGGGATACACTTCATTCAGCAAAAACAGTACAGTATACATATACTGTAGTCAAAGTCCATGGTTTGTACTTTCATTTGAGGAGCTACGGGGGTCTGTTCAACCTCGCACATCTCTGTGCTAAGACAAAACTGTGGCGGCCTGGTGGGTCTTTATCTGAGAGATGTTGTTTGCAGATGACACAGCCTTGAAGTTCACTCTGAGAAAGCTCTACAGAGACTCATCAACCATTTTGCCCAAGCCTGCAGGGAGTTGAGCCTTACCATCAGCCTGACAAAGACCAACACCCTGAATCAGGACATCACCAGCACTCCATGCCTCAGCTGGGTTCCACCATAACCAGCAACCTCTCCATCGACACTTAAACTGGACAAGCGTATTGGCAAGGCTCGCCTCTCCAAAGGGTATGGGAGAATGTGGTGCTAACAATACCAAGATGAAGGACTACCAGGCTTGTGTGCTGAACATGCTGCTTTATAAAAGTGAGCCATGGGCAACATAGTCGACAGGCGTGACATCTCAATGCCACATGCGCTGCATCAGAAAGCTTTTGGGCATCACATGGCAGGGCAGAGTCTTAAACAAAGATGTGCTCTCCCAAGCCCACATTCCTAGCATGTTTGCACTCCTGTCTCTACAACATTTACCCTGGCTTGGTCATGTCCAAATAATGGAAGATGGCAGGATCCCCAAGGACATCCTCTATGCGAAGCTGGCTTTAGGCACCAGGCCCATTGGCAGACCAACTCTGCATTACAAAGATGTCTGCAAATGTGACATAAAGGTTGGCATCATCAACCCCCTCGTGTGGGAATCCCTTGTGGATGGCTGCAGTGCATTGAAACAGTCAGGTTATGCATCCATAGCAATGACCAGAGGAGGAATGACTGTTGGGAGGAGCGCAGAGAAGAAACACCATGGTGCATCTGCAGCAGCACAATCAAACACATTCATCTGCCCCAGCTGCAACAAAACACATCTCTCCCATATTAGTCTCTACAGCCACAGCAGGTGCTGCAACTTTCCAATCTTCACCCCCAAAGGCACACTCCATTGTCTTCCAAGACAGACAGATGCCAATATATTGAAATGTATTTTTCCTTAGATACAACTTCACCCATAGCAAATTAATTTTAGTAACAAAATTTTAGTCAATAACAAAAAACAAAGATGAAGAAGAAGAAGAAGAAGAGTTTGGATTTGATATCCCACCTTTCACTCCCTTTAAGGAGTCTCAAAGCGGCTAACATTCTCCTTTCCCTTCCTCCCCCACAACAAACACTCTGTGAGGTGACTGAAGCTGAGAGACTTCAAAGAAGTGTGACTAGCCCAATGTCACCCAGCAGCTGCATGTGGAGGAGCGGAGCCGCGAACCCGGTTCCCCAGACTTACGAGACTACCGCTCTTAACCACTACACCACACTGGCTCTCCACAAAGAAACACACACAAAAGCCAACAAATTTGGAAAAAACAATGCCAAGTGATGAAACTACTAGCAAGAAAATGCTCAGAATATCTTCCTGGCCTGATAGCACGAAGATATATATTATTTATTATTGCATTTGCATGTCACCATAAGTTCAGTGTATGACTCTCCCCCTCTCCATATCATCCTCACAACAACCCTGTGAGGTAGGTTATGCTGGAAGTTGGTGACTGGCTCAAGGTCACCCAGTGAGATTCATGGTCAAGTGGGGAGTTTAACTCTCTTAACGCTCTAGCCACTATACAACGGCTTTATGTAATTACTTACGTTTCACAACTGAGGAAAGCTTTAAAATACGGTAAGCCCTGAGATAAAATCCTAATAACTAGAAATCAGTATACGGTTGACATGCCGGCCAATCGACAGATCAGTTCAAACCAGGAACCAATGGGGTTTACCAGCAAAGTCGGAATGCAAACAAGCACCAATAAGCCCAAGGCCTGATCCTGCAACTAGCTGCTCAAAGCAAACCACGTAGTTCAATTCTGAGTCTTTCCCTGATTCCAGCAGAGCTCGCGCTGCAACAAACGATGCCTTGATCCCGCCCAGTCTCTCTTTCTACGTGGAGCAAAAACGAAGCGGCAGGAAGCGCAGCCTATCACGCGCTGCCTTTGCCTCTGACGTCACCAGAGCAGGAAGCAGCCGCGGGGGGAGAGATCAAGCTGTTGCCCCACGGACTCATTTTGCTGCGGCACCAACGCTATGGCAGCTGTGTGTTAAAGTGCCGCTTTAATGGGTGTTGTTTTCTAACGCGTCCCCCACGCCCCACCGGACAGTAAACCGCGATATTTCTTTACCTGCCAGAACGGAAGCCTTGGGATTTCTTTGGCCATGTTTGCCAAAGCTTTCAGAGTTAAATCCAATACTGCTATCAAAGGGTCTGATAGGTAAGTTTGTCTTGTTTCCTTTTCCTTCAAGGCATTTACCTTGGTCGTTAATCCGTTTTTAAACAGTGCCGGTGCCAGGCTGTTTTGCGCCTTAGGCAACGTTCACTGCTTGCAATACCCCACAAATTTATTTATTTTTTAAATAAATAAATAAATAATTGCTAACTTCACTTTTCAAAAATAGATGCCTTGTAGAAAAAAAATGAAAAGCACAAAACTCGAAACAGCTAAATTTATTTCAAATGGCAAGGTTGAGTAATACAACAATCTTTGATTATCTTTCTCAAGTACAAAAGAAGATGTTTTAGCACATAAATTATATTGAACAATCTTGTGAACAAAACTCTGCCCTTCAAAGGTCAGTACTGCACTTCTCTGAGGCCTGAGCCCTAGGTGGTTGCTTAGGTGGCCTAGTGGTAGCACTGGCTCTGGTTGTAGAGAGCCATGCTTTCTAACCAAGCATGATGAAGATTTACAGGATGCTACTTAGAATTACATTTAGCGGAAAACATACACTTTAAAAAATGATGTTATGCCTTCCTCAGAGTGCAGTTTCGGTATGTGTTAATTTTATGCGTCATGTGGAATGCAGAGATTGATGGCTGATCAGTAATAATAATAATAACAATAATAATTTTTATTTATACCGCGCCCTCCCCAACCAAGGCCGGGCTCAGTGCTTGGGTTATGGCTTCACAGTGATTGTTGGGATATAAATAAGTTGCTTTGTTTTATTTCTCTGGCATGCATATTTAGAAGGTCTTTTTAAGGTTTTGGTCTTTTAAAACTTGAATATATGCCTTCCTCCAAGATTTAGAGTAATAGAATTGTTGTTATTAATTAATAATAATTTATTATTTTATACCCTGCCCATCTGGCAGGGTTTCCGCAGCCACTCTGGGAAGCTCCCAACAGAATTAAAAGCATAATAAAACATCAAATATTAAAAACTTCCCTAGACATAATAAACTGAGACCAAGCAAAAATAAGAATATATTAAATGACAAATTTGCAAACTGCCATCAAAAACTTGTCATGGGCACCACACACATAGACCAAAGTATTCTATTGGGTACAACAGAATGTTTATTTAAAAATCAGTTTCAGCTGGGGGAGGAGAATTGTGGGCATCAGGGAGGACCTCTGCAGACATTCATACACCCATGGGCATTATCCTGGCATTCCTGATTTAAGATAATGGAATGGCTTTGATAATTGGGCACCTTTTTTAAAATGATTTTAAAAATGATTTTAATCATTTAGATAATGGAATTGTGTCGTTGACCTTGCAGGAGGAAATTACGAAATGATGTCGCAGCAACTTTTCCCACCCTCACATCTGAACAGCTATCTGAAATTGTGCCGAATAAAGAAGAGCTGAATATCATTAAACTGTATGCTCACAAAGGAGATGCTCTCACGGTCTATGCTAATGGCAGAATACCAGTCCTTTTTGAAATAGAGAAGAGACTGTATCCAACAGGTACAGAAATATGTTTCTGCAGGCAGTTTGCTGTTCTGGGGAGGTTTGAGTTAAATTTGATGTTTTACTTTGGCCAAGTTGCAAAATATTAAGCCTCCATTTCCCATATCTAAAATGAGAAGAGTGTCAGTTATGGTATAAATGTGCTCAATCAGAGGTAGGCAACTTACTGTCTTTGAGTCATAAATTGTCCCTCCCTGAAACACACACTGCTAGTACAGCTCTGTCTAGGTATTCACTATTTCGCTAAAATAAACATGAGGGGAGTGGGAGAGTGGACACAAACTCCTCCATCTCTATCTCACTGTCACTCTCACTCCACAATTTCAAAGGCATAATCAGAGTTGTCTCCTTTCTACAGATAGTCACCCTTGAATTTGTGGAGGGTGGCAGGAATAGTGAGGGGAGGGGAGCTAGCCTAAGCTGACCACCTCATGTGTTCAGTTAAGCTGGATAGTGAATGCCTGAATAGGGCTCATGTAGTTCATGCTATGGGGTGGCAGGCAGAGGGCTCTCTTCTTTAACTTTCGCATAGGCAAGAGTTGATAGGTGATTCTGCTTTCCAGCCTTGGTTGTTCAGAAAGAATTATGAGTGCAGCAGCAGGTGTACAATTCCTGCTATGTTCAAGTTAATACTGGTTCAAGTTAATACTGAGCAGAGGATTGATAAAGGAGCACAGAGGTACGCAGCTTGTTCTCAGGCAGAAAAACCATGGCTTACTGGCCAAAGATTATTGTGTCTGAACTAGACCAATCTATCTTCTCACTGCACATTATTTTTACATGTTGGGTTTAAATATCTTGAACCAGAAGCTAGGTTGTGTGTTCTGGTTCCTTACCATCATTGTTCCTATGTCTGTCTTATTTATGTGTGTAAGCCAGTCTGGGATTTTTTTCCTGGCTGAAAAAAGACAAATACTTTTAAGTAAAGGAAAATGTCCAGTGTTGAGGCTGTGTGTGCCATTGCTTAATAGACAAGAGAGAGATATCAACAGACTTGCCCCCCCCCCCAAGGTTTGGAAGTTAAAAATAACATAAGGGAGGAAAACCCAGGGGGAAGGGGAACAGTCCAATGGGAATTACTTGCACTGAGATGCCATGGAGTGCTGTCTTGATTGCTGGCAGTGGGAGGGGAGGGTAATAGAAAATAAGGTGGGGAGGGGAACAGCATGGAGTATCCTGAAAAATGAATCCTGGCTAGAATCCTGAGCACGAGCACTCCCACACTGCAATATTTTGTCTCAGGCTCTACTTCCTAATTTTAAATTCAGATTAATGGTTATCAGTTCTGAGGAATGGAGGCAGGTAAAGTGTGTCATGCTGGAATTCCACAAGCATTTTGTTTTCTTTTTGGAACAGTGTACACCCTGTGGTCTCATCCTCACCTTCTCCCCGCCTTTTCCACATGGCCACCTGTGTTGCACAAACTAGCAGGAGGAGCAGGTAAGGGAACGGATCTCAAAGCCATTCTGCATGGCACTGCACATTTGCCTTGTGGAGCTGGTTCTCATGATTGGGCTTGTTATATTGCAGTCCTAAGCATGCTGCTTGGATGTAAGGTCCTTTGAAAGGCAGTGAGGTTTATTTCCAGGTAAATAAATTGATTTTGTCATTGACATGACAGTTTAAACTGAGATATTCAAGGCCTTTTTTCCCTTTAGGAAGGAAAATAATGTCTAAATAAAGCCTGGTCTGCTTGAATGTTAGAATCTCCTTCTGAGGCTCTTCTTTGGGTACCTCTGCCATCAGAGATGAAGAGGGTGACAACCAGAGAGAAAGTGCCTCCAGAGCTGTAGTGCTCTGCTTATGGAATGCCTCTAACCAACTCTTTTAGACACCCAGCAAAACTTTTTCTAACGTTGCAGGCCTTTTACCTGTTTGTACCTTTTACCAGTGAAGGCGGTGAAGGTCCTGTCAGAGTGTCTGGAGGCGGTTGGAGGATGGATGGCGGCTAACAGATTGAGGTTGAATTCTGACAAGACAGAAGTACTGTTTTGGGGAGACAGGAGGCGGGTGGGTGTGGAGGACTCCCTGGTCCTGAATGGGGTAACTGTGCCCCTGAAGGACCAGGTGTGCAGCCTGGGAGTCATTTTGGACTCACAGCTGTCCATGGAGGCGCAGGTCAATTCTGTGACCAGGGCAGCTGTTTACTAGCTCCATCTGATACGCAGGCTGAGACCCTATGTGCCAGCAGACTGCCTCGCCAGAGTAGTGCATGCTCTGGTTATCTCTCACTTGGACTACTGCAATGCACTCTACCTTTGAAGGTGACCCGGAAACTACAACTAATCCAGAATGCGGCAGCTAGACTGGTGACTGGGAGCGGCCGCTGAGACCACATAACACCGGTCTTGAAAGACCTACATTGGCTCCCAGTACGTTTTCGAGCACAATTCAAAGTGTTGGTGCTGACCTTTAAAGCCCTAAACGGCCTCGGTCCAGTATATCTGAAGGAGTGTCTCCATCCCCATCGTTCTATCCGGACACTGAGGTCCAGCGCCGAGGGCCTTCTGGTGGTTCCCTCACTGCGAGAAGCTAAGTTACAGGGAACCAGGCAGAGGGCCTTCTGGTAGTGGCACCCACCCTGTGGAACGCCCTCCCACCATATGTCAAAGAGAACAACTACCAGACTTTTAGAAGACGTCTGAAGGCAGCCTTGTTTAGAGAAGCTCTTAATGTTTGATGCCTTACCGTATTTTAATATTTTGTTGGAAGCCGCCCAGAGTGGCTGGGGAAGCCCAGCCAGATGGGAGAGGTATAAATAATAAATTACTATTATTATTATTATTATTATTATTATTATTATTATTAACTATTTTTTAAAAGAACACTGACAGTTTTATTACTGCCTGAAGTAGAAAGCCAGTATTATATCTCTCAGTCCTGGTTTCTAATAAAAATGTTCCAAACTCAAGAAAAAGTTGTGATTTATAACTAATGTGTAATTGACATTTTAGTTGATACATTTTGGCTTTGTGGCGGCAGAATTGATGGTAGCAGGGCTGATCGGAGCTGCACTGGCAATTAGGGCCGAGATTTGAAGCCATCCAAGAGAATCCCTTGTTTCATGTAGACATTGAAAGCAGTATTTTTGTCAAATTTTGTTTTTTAAAAGAGCAGTGGAGGACAAGGGGATGACTGGTGTCTTTAAGATTTTGCTAAGATGCTAATATAGGGTCTTTTCCGCAGATCTAATGCTTCCAGGGGTTGTAGTGCCCTCTTATGGTCTTCCTCAGGTAGATCGGGGTACTCTCTGTGCCATCACCTTGGTGGGAAACAGGTATGATTTCTCCTGAAGGCTAATGCTAAAAAGATTGACCTCTTTCTGAAGTGGTTCTTAGAATGCATTTTGAGACCGGAAATTGAGGTGGGAGAATCAGCCAAATGTGGCCCGCCAGGCCTGTCATACTGGCCTTCATGATTTTCCTTAGGCTGCACCCCACTTAGGCTGCACCCCTCATCAGCTGTGCCCTGTGCCCTGTGCCCTTCTCGAGAGCCTTTGGCTGACTACAATGGGCCATTGGCTTTTGCTTGCCTGAATGGAGAGGTATGTGATTGTCCCATCCCTCTTGGATTTCAAAAGAAGGCGAGTAGAAAACAGGGATGCCTTCTGAGACTCCCATTTATTTTGACTCTGATTGTGTGCCACAGTGTATGCCTTCTATGGATTCACCATAACAATTTTGGGCTTCCAGCAGCAGGGTTGATTTTCACGCATTGTGGGGCATTATTCATTAGCCAGTTCAGACATCTCAGCTCTTCATGAATATGCTTAAGAGTTGTGTATTCCCTTCTTCTCTTGCATATTTTGGAACACAGACTGTTTTCCAGTAACCGTAGTTTGCTTGGATGGCTGATTCAGGCAAACTTGTTTGCTTCCAAAGCTGAAGTGGAAACCACGGTTTGAACAATTCTTGTTTAGAGGAAATCTATGACTTTGCAAACAGTGGTAACCAAAATCCAAGAAGTGCAGGATTGAACTGTGGTGTGCAAGCAGAAGAGGGGGCACAAGAGCCTTAAGTATGTTATCAACACAGCCAAACCATGGTTTGGTCGTCATGTCTGAAATGAGAGAGATTCCTTAGCTGGGAGCTGCTTTAGTTGGAGTAAGAATGTAGCTGTTTGCTTTATGCTATACTCTCTTTACTTTTCAGTGCCCCTGTGGCCATTGGCATAGCTACCATGTCCACTGCAGAGATGGTGGCAGCTGGAATGAAAGGAAAAGGCTTCACAGTGCTGCATACATATATGGATCACTTATGGTAGGTGTATCACCAAAACTATTTGACCGTTTACACAATAGCGCATGGTTAGCTTTTGCCCCCATGCTAATCCAAGACTCAGGTTAGAGAAGGGTGAGCCCTGAGCAAAGTATAAGAAGGATGCAAGTAGAAACTAAGCATAGGTGCATGGTTTTGACAAGCACTTAAGAAAAACTGTTCAGTTCCACAGCACCAAATCAGAAAACTCTGAACCTTTTCTGTTGTGGCGACACTGAGAACTCTTCTATAGTGCATCCTGAAAAACACTTTTAATGAATGAATATAACTTTAGGCCACACACTACTTGAAAGTCAGCTTAAGGACTTGAGAGAGATTGTATTATTAAGGTCCTGCTGGAGTTACGGCAGTCAGCCGACCCCTTGCATAGCATTAAATAAATGTGATGGTGTGGTCAGTTTTTCCAGATTGTTTTGCTCATAATCTTTACAGTAAAGAAAATGGTTCTCCACAACTTCATAGCTTAACTGGCCCAGTCTAGACTTTTTGCTTTGAGTTTCTGTTTTGCTGAAATTGAAATTTGGGGCAAGTCTTATTGTGCCATTTGCTTTTGTTGTTTCTTTTTAAATTGAAAAAGGGAGTTTGGTGACAAGTCATGCCCACCAACAATAGTCCCCTTAGAAGCAGAGTCTTCAGAGATGATGGATGCTGAAGAGGAGAAGCAAGAGGCTGGAGAAGGGGAAGGCAAATCACAGGAAAACAGCCACCCTATTGACCCATGCCTGCAGACAGGGATTAGAAATCTAAACATGGAAGATGCTATTCAGAGTGTGGACATGACAGAAAAAGAGGAACCTAATGAAAATGGTGCTGCTGAAACTACTGAAGAGGACAACCTAGATGTTCCTCAGGAGGTAGAAGACAGTAGGAGTCCACAAGGTAAAATTATAGGGTTATATACAAGGATTTGCATTCTAGATGAGGTCTAGTAACAACCTTTTGATCAGAACTGCTCATTTATGCAAACTTAAACATATATACTCTGTGCATTTTCAATGTGCCGTATAATGCAGGAATGGGGAACCAGTAACCCTTCAGAAATCTTTGGAATTCAACTCATATTAGCCTCAGCTAGGATGGCCAGGGTCAGGGATGATGGGAGATGGTCCTTCAGCAATATCTGAAGGACCACATGCCCTCTATCCTGATTTTAGGTGAATGATGGACTACAGTTCCCACTGTCCATGACCATTGTCCATGTTGGCTGGGGCTGATGGGAATTAAAGTCCAACAGTGTCTGGGAGGGCTGTAGGCTGCACATCCCTGATGTAATGTGTGAGATTAATGCAAGTCTTTTGGGGTGGATGGAAGGTGTGTAGATTATAGGACACATGTAACCATGATTCCCTGCAGCATGTGCACTGATGGTGCATGTGATGAGCAACAAAATCCAAACAAATGTATCCCCTTCACACTCCATGTCTTGTATAGGGCATTATACCTTGTTACTAACTTTGTAATGTGAAAGAAGCTTTCATTAAGCTCTGTGCTCACTGCTAGTATGTCAGCTTTCTTCTGTTGAAACTGAATGTTGGTAGAGACAATGCTGAACTTAACATTCTTCCTTTCATTTATTGCCTCATGTGGCTATATTTTCGTGACAGACAAAGAAGAGGGATAAGCCACCAAAAGGCTTGTATGTGGAAGTTCATAGCTTGTGACCACGCTGCATGGCACTGAAATTGTTTCCCTGTTCAACACTGAAACAACACGTAGGCACAGGCAGGAGCTGAGAGGTTCACAAGGTGGCAGGGACACATTGTGAACTAGGCCATGTTGCGTTCTGTGCAGAGGCTCGTAGGCAGGGAGGGCTATTTTTTAAGCTAGAGCTCACCAAAACTCGGTTCCAGCACCTCTCAGGTGGGCACCATTGCCTTTATAAGAGAACAAGGGATGCGTTCATGGTGAGTTCTGGCACCTCTTTTTCTAGAAAAATAGCACTGCTTGTAGAGAACAAACGGTTCTGTCTTTTCTTCTAGAGCAAATGGATGCATTGCTTCACCAATGCTTCTTCCACGCCTTAAAATGTAAAGTGAAGAAGTCAGAGCTCCCTCTACTGACCAGCACCTTTCTCCGCAACTACATGTTCGCATGTTGGTACGTGTAGTAAGATCTTCTACAAGCTGGCAGAGCTGCCGTGTTGCTGGCTGAGAAATGTGGAAATGGAGCATAATGTGCTTGTAGAACACTGTTCACCAGAGTCAGGAGTAGAAGCCTTGCATGTACGCAGGACTCTGTGCCTCAGCCATTGTCACTGTATGAACTCGTAGGCGAACTCTGCATGGGTCAGAGTCTGCTTTAAGGCATACAGTGGTACCTTGGGTTACATACGCTTCAGGTTACAGACTCCGCTAACCCAGAAATAGTACCTCGGGTTAAGAACTTTGCTTCAGGATGAGAACAGAAATCGTGCTTCGGCAACGCAGCAGCAGCAGGAGGCCCCATTAGCTAAAGTGGTGCTTCAGGTTAAGAACAGTTTCAGGTTAAGAACAGACCTCCAGAGCGAATTAAGTACTTAACCCGAGGTACCATTGTACTCAAGATATAACACAGGTTAAACTTTTGTTCATGTGTTGGCCTGATTTAACTTTGATAAGGTATTCTGTTTTCACCTGTCTCTTGATGATTCATAAGGAAGAGCTAAAGCTATCTTCCAGTAAAAGCATAACGAAAATAAAATAAATGCCATAGTTAAACTATAGAACTTGTTCCCATAAGAAGCAGTGGTAGCCACCTCTTTAAAAGAGGATTAGACAGATTCATGGAAGATAAGGCTATCAAAGTCTACAGGCCTTGATGGCTCAGCTCTGCCTCCACAGTCGGAGGCACTAGTGCTTCTGAATACCAGTTGCTGGAAACCTTAGGAGGGGAGAGGCCTCTTGTGCTCGGGTTCTGCTTTCAGGTTTCCCACAGGCATCTGGCTGGCCCCTGTGAGAACAGGATATTGGGCAAGATGGGCCATCAGCCTGATTCAGCAGATTCTTAAGTACTTATGCTTGAATTTGTGATGGAGAAGGAGGCTCCATTTGCTCTCTTTATATGACATTTAAATTCTTTCCAATCTGTGTGCCCATGTTTTAAGAATATTTTAGCGGGAGAAGCCTGGAAACAAAACATGTTTTTTCTTAAATGTCACCAAAAATGAGAGAGGCCTAATTCCTCTTGTTTCTTGCATATAATTGTGTTTTTTTTCTTTTCAATCTACCAACAGTCCACAAGGTCAACAACTAGACATAAAGAAATCAAGCTACAAAAAAGTGAGTAGTTGTTGTTGTCCTTTTCTGTACCGTGAAAGGTTGAGGAAAGAAATAATAATGAAACATTGGATTGAATGTGGGATTTTCTGCATACACCACAGATCATCTGCCCCAAAGCTGTGACCCCTTCCTACAAAGGCACTTTGTGCATGTAGATCCTTGATGTGTGAGAAATCTTCAGATGATTTTGCTGGTTAATAGCACAATCGTATACATGTTTGTTAAGAAGTAAGTGTGCATAGTAATTTGAAAACAACTGTAAAATTCTGGCCTAATATTGCATTGGCGGGGTTTTAAATAATTTTTTTAAAAAACACTATACAGGCATCATTAAAACGTAAGTTGTTGTTTTTTTAATTACAACATAATATATATCCAAACAAAACCAAACTTTAAAAAGTACACCAGAATACTGCTTGTTTCATTTTTCATGTGCATAATACAGTGAAGGTGAAAAGTATTTGATCCCCTGCTAAATTTGCCCGTTTGCCCTCTGACAAAGAAATGACCAGTCCATATTTTAATGGTAGGTTTATTGTAGCTGTGAGAGACAGAATAACAACAGGAAAAACCCCAAAAACCCAAAGACAAAAGTCAGAGATTAATGTGCATTATAATGAATGAAATAAGTATTTGATCCCTTTGCAAAAGATGACTTAGTACTTGGTGGCAAAACCCTTGTTGGCAATTACAGAGGTCAGACGTTTCTGGTAGGTGGCCACCAGGTTTGCACACATCTCAGGAGGTACCGTATTTTTCGCTCTATAACATGCACCAGACCATAACACGCATGTAGTTTTAGAGGAGGAAAACAAGAAAAAAAATATTCTAAACAAAATAGTGGATATATGATTTTTGTGGTTCATGCTGTGGCCACAGACATGTGATCTGACAGTGAGTTTGGAGTAGCCCAATGCAAAAATCCTGAGGATCCATGTGGATCCATGCTTTGTAACCACGGAGGAGGGAAGGAAGGGGAACCATGGATCCTCTGCTCACAACTGCAGCAGATCCCCCCCGCCACCCGCAGGCATTCGCTCCATAACACACACAGACATTTCCCGTTACTTTCTAGGAGGAAAAAAGTGAGTGTTATGGTGCCAAAAATACGGTATTTTGTCCCACTCCTCTTTGCAGATCCTCTCCAAGTCAGTAAGATTTCGAGGCTGATGTGTAGCTACTCGAAGCTTCAGCTGCCTCCACAGATTGTCGATGGGATTAAGGTCTGGAGACTGGCTAGGCCACTCCAGGACCTTAATGTGCTTCTTCTTGAGCCACTCTTTTGTTGCCTTGGCCATGTGTTTTGGGTCATTGTCATGCTGGAATACCCATCCTCGACCCATTTTCAATGCCCTGGCTGAGGGAGGGAGGTGCTCACCCAAGATTTGATGATACATGGTCCCGTCCATCGTCCTTTCGATGCAGTGAAGGTGTCCTGTCCCCTTAGCAGAAAAACACCCCCAAAGCATAATATGTCCCCCACCATGTTTGATGGTGGGGATGGTGTTCTTGGGGTCATAGGCAGCATTCCTCCTCCTCCAAACACGGCGAGTTGATTTGAGCTCGATTTTGGTGTCATCTGACCACAACACTTTCACCCAGTTCTCCTCTGGGTCATTCAGATGTGCATTGGCAAACTGCAGACAGGCCTGTACATGTGCTGTCTTGAGCAAGGGGACCTTGCGGGCTCTTCAAGATCTCAGTCCTTCATGGTGTAGTGTGTTACCAACTGTTTTCATGGTGACTATGGTCTCAGCTGCCCTGAGATCATTGACAAGTTTCCCCCCCGTGTAGTTCTGGGCTGCTTCATCACCGTTCTCCCGATCATTGCAACTCCACAAGATGAGATCTTGCATGGAGCCCCAGACCAAGGGAGGTTGACAATTATTTTGTGTTTCTTCCATTTGCGAATTATTGCACCAGCTGTTGTCACCTTCTCACCAAGCTGCTTGGCAATAGTCTTGTAGCCCAGTCCAGCCTTGTGCAGGTCTACAATCCTGTCCCTGACATCCTTGGACAGCTCTTTGGTCTTGGTCATGGTGGCTAGTTTGGAATCTGCTGGATTGATTGCTTCTGTTGACAGGTGTCTTTTGTACAGGTACTGTAACGAGCTGAGATTACAGGTAAGACCTCTCCCTTACAGCAGGTGCTTCTAATCTCAGCTTGTTACATACAGTGAAGATACCAGGTAGCCTGACATCTGGCTAGTTGACAGGGGATCAAATACTTATTTCATTCATTATAATGCACATCAATCTCTGACATTTGTCTTCTGGGTTTCTGGGGGTTTTCCTGTTGTTATTCTGTCTCTCACAGCTACAATAAACCTACCATTAAAACCATTGTATCCCAGTTTTAACTGCCTCTCTCTCTTCTAGTTCTCCAAGTTCCTGCAGTCAATGCAGCAACAAAATATCCTCCAGGTGAAGGAACTGAATAAGGGAGTAGAGAGCATTGTGAATGTGGACTGGAGGCATGACAGGTAAGAGAATCTCAGTTCTGTGCAAACAAAGTCAAATTACTGAGGGAGAAGATCTAAATGGATGGTTTGGGTTCCTGTGATGATTCTGGTTAATGAGCTGAGCTGCATTTAAGAGCACAATAGCTAATTAGAAGAGATGTTGCTCTTTTTCTTTGGTCTGAAAGGTATTTTATCTCTCGCGTGGAAGATGTGTAATTGTAGGTAATATCCTAGATAAGCTGCTATCTCTCAAGTTGATTTAGAGAAGTCAGAAATGTAAACATGCTGCTGTCCACAAAGAGCAGTACAAGAAAGATCTATTTATGAGCAAAGATGTGCATGTCCTTACAAGAATCCAACATGCTTAATAATAAGCTCCACGGATGAGAGGGGTGTTTGTGTGTATGTACACACAAGCACATGCATGCTGGGAAGCACTATAGGAATGAGGATGGCATTAATGCACAGCAGAGGCAATTAGGGAACAAGGTGTTTGTGTGTTTGTTAATGGCTTGCAAAGGAAGCAAACATTGAGGTGTAAAGTTATGCTTTCTAGCTGGCAAGCCGGAAATTTGGCAGGTGGACAAGGCTCACTTTTGGCACCAATAAGTTGATGTGTGATGTCAGTAAGCCCCTCTGAAGGCATGCTGTTAGCAAGACCCACTTTGCAGGTGGTGAATCATAACAGTGTATCATTTCATAATGTGATAATAAGTTCGTTGGCAAAAGGCATTAAGGGCATTAATGGAGACTAAAATATCAGTGGTTGTTGGGCATGTATCCTAATGCTCCAGGCATCTCTTTGCTTTAGGCTTCTTCTCATGTTACTTTTGATCAGTACAGATATTAAGATCTGCAATAATGAAGAGAGGTTGTTTGCTGGAAGCTGTGCACAAATGGAGTGTTTCATTACTGGTTTAATGCAGAATCTGTAGATTCCAGTGGTGCTTGCTCCTATAAGGAGCTAACAGGAGTAAGCCCTTTTGAATTCAGTAGGACTTACTCCCAGTGTTGCAACCTAAATAAGCCAGTTCTTAAACTCTGAGTTAATAGGTAATTCCGGAGACATCACAGCAATAGTTTGCATTAATCACCCAGGCTGTGGCTAGAATCCTGGTTTCTTAACTGTCAAACATGTTCACTTACAAAGTTATCCCTTGCTAAATCCACATTTTAAAACTGAGCCAAGGTATTGTTTGCATCAGCTGTTAGAAACTCACTGCTTTACTGTCAAGTCCATAGATACAGAACACTTTTCTAAAACAAATTGCCTTTTCTTGTCAAACTCCATTGCTACAGTTTAGTTTCTCCTTATTCAGAAAAAGTTGTAATGTTTCTACCATTGCTCCAGTCTTCCACAGTTCACCATTTGAGTCATACTATTACATCACTGCTGGAGAAGAAACAAGCCCAACGATAATGCCTGCATGGCAAAGCCCAGGGGTTGCCAAACCTTTTGGGCCCATAGGCACATTTGCAAAGTGGAAAGGCGAAGGATGTGGGTGCCAGGGAAGGCGTCCGTGGGCATATATGTTGGCAACCCCTGGCATAACTGCTTTGACCACTGCAGGCCTAATTAGGACTCTTGTGCCTTTTAAGACGTGCACCATATCAGGGAAACAATTAGCAAGCAATGCTTTCATTTTCTCTCTACTGCTGCAACCGGGAAGGGCACACCTTTTTGAAACCTATCCTTGATGCTCACTTGTTGAAGGCACTAAAGAGTTTTTGGCAAACCCAACCACTTTCCTTCCGTATCCAGAGTGACACAGTTTATTACCACTATAGTCACCATTGCCTCTGGAAGGGCCCACCCACTTGACCTGTGGCTGCATTGTCAGCAGACCTATAGATACTGAAGTATTGGGAATGGGAAAGGTTGCAGAGCAATGGCAAAGGAAAGGGGAGGAGAATGGGGAGGTGCTTGATGGGACTGGTGGGGCTTACAGGCCCGTCCCCTTCCTACCCCACACAGAAGTCCCACTCCAACCCCTCTTAAAAATTTGGACTGGCTGTGCTTACCTGTCCTCTCTGCCTGCCGCTGCCCATGCTCGCTTTGCCAGCCTCCCTCCAACTTCCACCAGAAGTGGTGATGCTCTGGTGGTAATGAAGATGCACTGCAGCCCGTCGTCTCCCTTCTCCTTGGGGACCATGTCTGGGCTCTGCTCCTTGCTGCTGGGCTGCTGGGCTTCGTTCCCTCGGGGGGGTTCCACACTGTCTCCTCCCCCGCCCATCTATGATGTCACATACAGATAGCATTGTGAAGCTCGCATTTTACAGTATCTTTTACAAGGTCTCATTTGTGTGCCTCCTTGGTAGATTGGACGGCGAGGTTCCTGCTGTTATCTGCTGGAACAGGCAGGGCTGTGCCTTTCCTCTGTCACAATGGGCGCTTGTGATGTCGAGAAGGCTTGGCAGAGTGTGTGGGGGCGGGTGGGCTTTAGTTTAGGTCTACATAGGAACTTGGCCCAAAGAGACGCCTAAGACTTTGGATCATTTCTCCACGCTTTCTCTCCTCCAGGGATTGGCTTCTTTGGAGGCCAGGTCTAGGGTGCTCTGTTTGGCTTGCTTTAGAATTATTCAGAGAACTTTCAGAAGGACTGCCATTGTCCCTGGCCAGTATCAGATTGACCTGGGTACGTGCAATGCAATTCCTTGGGGTGGGGAACCTCAGGTCCAGGGGGCCAGATGCAGCCGCCCAGATCTGTCTGTTTAACCCTTGGAATGCTCCCCAAGTCACATCCTCCACTGGTCATGATTCACACTATTTCTTCTTTCCTGGCTGGAATGCCTCTTGCTTATCTGGATGGAGGATCGAGATGGGTGCAGAAGCGTATGTAGAAACTAGCCTACTCTACAAAGGTACAATTTCCACCCACTTTTGCCTCAGACCCCACCTACCCCTGGGAAGTTGCCTTTGGAAGGTTTCCCAGAAGAAACTGTGGCCCACAGGCTGAAAAACAGTTTCCAACTGCCTTTCCTTTTGCACAATGTACCTGGCACTCCTATGTCCTTGCATGGCTCCTCTGTGCATATTAGAACACATGCAGAGATACTCACTCTAAGCTATCAGTTATCTTCCTTTGCTGCTAAGAAAGTTGGGGTTGTGCGCTAATTCTCTTCCCTGGGTCTTGCATGGCTTTATGTATTTATTACATTTATATATCACCTTTATCTTTCAAGGATCTCAAAGGTTTTCTTCATCCTTCACCTGTGAAGTAGCTTAGGCTAAGAGATGGTGACTGACCCAAGGTCACCCAGTGAGGTTCATGGCTGAGTGGGGATTCGAACCCTGCTTTCCCAGTTCCTAGTCCAACACACTAACCATTATGCCACACTGGCTCTCGTGCTGGAAGCCCTGCAGCATAGAGTAGGATGGGAGGCCAGGCCAAGACACCATATTGTGCCACAGCATTCCACTATTGAACACTAGGTTGCTGCTGGAGCATATGGCTTCAAGATGATGATCTGTTCTGTGGACCATCTTGAAGCAGAGGCAGAAATGTGCTTCCACTTTGTGTAAGCAAACGTGTTGAGGGATTTTGCACTGTGTTATTGCAATGAGAGGAATGGTCTTGGGTGCCTATGTCCTAGGAGATGACAAGGATGCAACACTATACTCATTTGTCTCTCAGTCATGAACGGGAATAGCCGTCATGATGAAATGGTAATAAACTCTGTGAAATATTTTGCTTTGATTTTCAGCATTAGGTCTTTTGTAGTACCTATTGAAATAGCAGCATCTGAATTGTCTGTCCAGGATAGCAGAAGTGGTGATGGAGAACAGCCGTACCACTGTCCTGAAATCATACCACTCTATGGCATCTCATCCAAAATGGCTCCCTTATTCCAAGAGTCTGGATATAAGTAAGTAATATAAGAAAATGAACCACTTGACTTGTTCCCTACGTTGTTGTTCTTGTTGTTGCTTGCAGAACATGATGGGCCAAGAAAGTCCTTAAATGGGTGTGTGAGTGTGTAGCAGACTTCAGAGTGAATGGCCTGCCCGGCAGAAAAATAACTGAATCTAAAAACACGAATGTTTCTGGGTGCTGAGTTCAACAGTTTGGTTTGGTTGGACCATTTCTCCTGTATGGTGGTAGTGGTGTTCTAAACGAAGGGAACAGCTTCCTTACTGGAGTGTTTCCCCCACTTAAAATAGCCAATTTGCAAAAGCTGATCATTTGCTGTTCCTTCCGAAGTGCAACCTAGCAAGTAACAAAGATTCAATTTTCCTCCAGGAAAGGCGACACCCTGTCCAGCAGTGAAGTGAGAAATGCTGTTATCAACTATGTGAAGTTTAATGAGTTGGTTGATGAAACAAACAAAAAGTATGTAAAACCCCAAAGCTTGTTTAGTAGGGAGATCGCAACACTACTCTCCTTGCTCTGTACTGATAGCGAGAGATAGCTGCAGCCATGATTTTGTACAGGAGTTTCCTGTGCTCGTTGTTCACCATTACAGCGCTAAGTCAAAACATGTGGGAAATGCTACTAGAAAGGGCAAGCACTCTTTCCTATCACAAGTCCCTTTATGCCAAGTATGAACACTCAGGTCAGATGGACCATGCACCCTGTCCTGGTCCCTCTCTTATTTACCTCTGCAGTATAGATGGGCCCAAGTGCAGTGTTGATTGTGCTCAAATGTATATCCAACCTCAACAAGAGTTTGTGTGCAAACACACACACACACACACACACACACACACACTTGTGCAGGTGTATCCCATATATTGTGCCTAATAGAATTTTAAACTAGTGGTCATTTTCCTGATTTATTTTGTTATTTATTTCATAGAATGTATGCACCACTTGATTAAAACTCACCCACCCCACCCCATTCAGGAAAATTGTACAGTAGTTTAACAAGAAGTTTAAATACTAAAACCAGTTAGGATTCCCATCAACTTTCTAAGCATCTAGGTAGGCTTGCCTAAACAAGAATGTTTCTTAGCAGGTGCTGAAAAGAACGCAGTGAAGGCACCTGCTTGATATCAATAGGCAGGGAGTTCCAAAGTGTAGGTGGTGCCACTAAATGATCAAGTTCTTACATGGAGTGGGTATTATGTGGCATCTGTAGAGTGCCAATTCCGCCGATCGAAGCAGTCGAGAGGGCACATGTAGGGTAAGGTAACCTCGTGGATAATTTAGGAGTGCCACAAGATTAAAGACATCTTAGTTGATTAATCATATCACTTTTTTTAGTGATATGATTCTGTAGGTTGATCTGTTAGCTTAATCATTAAAAGTTTTGATTAGCTAAACAGGTGACCTTTGATTAACTTGGCAAAGAATTTTTAAACATTAAATTATCTTTAAGAGAGGTACATGCAAAAACAGCACTTGACAAGCAACATACTCAGACATAATCTACAAGCAAAGAGGACATGTTGTTTTATGTAACCCCTTCTCATGTTTTCGGCAGTCAAGTAAGGTTTTTAGCACCCAACTTACCACATAATAGTGCAAGTGCAGTGTGACTTTTGGAAATCCTTTTGTACTTTTTAACAACAAAGTGCTAAAGAGACAAACGTGATCTTTATAATCTGTAGAGTGCTACACATTCTTGATGTTGGTGCATTTCCAGTTCAGGTGATGAGTGATCACGCTGAGAACAGACCTTTAAATCTGCCTTCCTTTGTTACAGCTTTATAAAGGTGGATCCTATCTTGTGCGATTGTCTGTTGGACAAATCTGAGCAGGATGAAATTTCAAAGCTCACATGGGACAATCTCCTGAGCAGGTGAGGGGGGAGTGATTCCTACTGCTGCTTAATATACTTGCCTCAGTATTTCCTATAATGCAGGCCACTATGTATTATGGTATCTTTAATGTTTGCAAAAGGAGGTTAAGCCCAAACCATTCAAAGGTTAAAATTGTCACTAAGGTCTAGTGCTGTGTTGCTTTGTGTTATGTAAGCGGACTGGAATTTTATGACACAGTAGCCTGATTTGCACATCATGGTAAGCCATAGCTTATGGATTACTGCATGCTGTTCAGTGACCCCTTGCCTTTCTCCACTCACTCTTCAGCCAAGAGAGAAGCATACTGCAGCTTGGCTTAGTGCTTGGGTGAGGAACATCAGGCATGGGGGCCAAATGTAGCCCTGAGGACTCCAGAGCACACCCTCTCTCCTTCAGCCACAACCTTCACTGTTGCTCCATCGCACTCCCAAGTGTTTTTGCTTGGCTAGAACATGTCCTTGAATGCTGATAGTGCCTTTGGCTTGCATGGATGCCGAGGGTATGCAAGTGTCTGTATAAACCATGCAAAAGTGAAATGTGCACTTATTTCTCTGACTCTGCCCACAATTGGCCCATGGCCCAGAAGGGAGTGGGCCCCTCAGGTTCCCCCCACACCTTCTGCTTAGTGTTCCACTTGCAGTTTCTCTCCTCAACCAAATGACGAGCCACAGACCAAGAACCAACCTTGGCCTCCTGGGGACAGAAGCTAACCCTGAGTCCTGGTTCACTGGTAATGCTAAGCCTCGCCTCACCTCACCTCACAGTTTGCTTTTCCTGGCTCCAGGTGGGTCAGAATAAAGTGGGAGCAAGTGAGCAGCTGCTTGCTCTGGTAAGCCATGGTTTATAATTTGCTTCCCATGATGGGCAGGCATGGCCACCGTAAAAGTCAACACAACAAGCTTGGCTTCTTGGGGACCTTCTAAAACTCCCCATTCTCTTCTGTTACTTTGAGGATCATAATATTTTCTTTTTAAAAAGTCTTTGGAATTAGGAGAGGTACAAAGATAATAACGTAACTATGTCAGTTTGGCAGTGTCATCTGTTAAAAATCACAAAAACCTTTTAAGACATAATACTGATAGTACTTTAAGTAGAGATTTTCCCAGAATAATCCTGTTATGGAATAGCATCATGTATCACATAGATGAAGGCTGCTAGATGAAGTATAATTAATTCCTGTCGGTCTCTCTATGGTTGTCTAGTATACAGCCTACACATGGGGTGCAAATCAGCCTCTCATCATTATTAACTTTCAGAGGGAATTTTAAAATCAACCTTTCACCCAGGCATTTGGTGGCTGAAGAATACTGCTCCTGGCAGTTGTCTATAACAGTTCTTTCTTACATTCTTAAGTTAACTGTAACTGTTTTTAGAATGCTTTAAAAAAATGATGGCTGTGATTCCCACCCTGGGCTCCATTGGGAAGAATAATTTAAACTCAATAAATAAATAAAACCCTGAGGTGAATAAAGGCAAGCTATATCAGATTGAGTCTTTGAATAAATGTTCTTGGTACTTAAGTATAGCAGGAATAGCTAAGCCAGAAAGCTGCCATCCCTCTGTGCTGTCCTGGATCGGCTTAATCTTAGCGCTGCTTTTGTGGCAGGTGTCTGGATAAACTACAGCCCTTCCATCAGGTGACTTTTTTTGGACATGACCCCATCGTGAGGAAAGGAAACAATGATCCCATTGATATAAACATAGCACAAAGATCGTGCAATAAAAAGGTAAGGGCAAGGAGAGAATTAGTCTTCTGTGGAAACATCCAAACTGTGCTGCCTTTTTTTTTTTTTTTTTTAAGTCTGCCTTTTGAAATGTTTTATAATACTGCACTATCTTTTGAAAGTTTGCCCATTGAAAACACCATTTCCAGAGCAGTCTCCAGCCCTGTTATGCAGAGAGAGGAAAATAAAGAGGTTGAGCCCATGATCCTACTTTTGGGGCATGGAGAGCGGGGAAGGCTGGGTTCGCGTCTCCGCTCCTCCACGTGCAGCTGCTGGGTGACCTTGGGCGAGTCACACTTCTTTGAAGTCTCTCAGCCCCACTCATCTCACAGAGTGTTTGTTGTGGGGGAGGAAGGGAAAGGAGAATGTTAGCCACTTTGAGACTCCTTAAAGGGAGTGAAAGGCGGGTTATCCAATCCAAACTCTTCTTCTATAACTACCAGAGCTGCAGTTATTGCCACAGAAAACAATTGACAACTGGGCTAGCATGTGGGCATTCCTGGGCTTAAGTCATAGCCCTACCTCCTCTCTGAACCCCTGGGTATCAGGTAGAAGGTCCAGATGTACACTGACACCTTACAATGACACTGTTGCATGGTTTGTAATTTATTTCAAGCACCCGGGGGTGAAGAGGGCAAGGCGGAGAAGGCCAGATCAGGAGATAAACTGAAGTTCTCAGTATAGAGCTTATCAGATATCTGTTGGCCCTAGTTCAGAAGGATAGTAGGAAGCACCTACTGGCAGCTGAGTCAGATATACATTGCACAGAGACTTCTGAAAGCGTGTCACCAAAGTGCTACTCCGGGAAGACGGAAGGCACATGTTGCAGACCTAAGGGAGGAACAATAGCTTGAGTGCAGCACATGTTTCACAGGCAAAAAGTCTTGAGGTTCAGTCTCTGGCAGCTCCAGGGGAGAGGATCAGATAGCAGGTGATGGGCAAGATCTCCGAGTGAGGCACTAGAGAGCTGCCCACAGTCAGAGTAGGTGCTACTGACCTGGATAGAGTAATAGTCTGAAGCGATAGAAGGCAACGTAATATGAGTGTTGCCCTCTTGGATGTGTATCCCTGTTCCAGAAGAGCAGCCAAGCAGGTGCAGTAGAAGAGGCTAAAACAGACTGTGGGGAAGAGCTGCATGGAAGAGTACCTGGGTCATGAGCAGCTTTTTGTTCCCTGTGTGTGCATACTAATTACTAATACTAATTTCATTTGTACCTCACCCATCTGACTAGGATTGCCCCAGCCACTCTGGGTGGCTTCCAGCAAATATTAAAGCATAATAAAACATCAGACATAAAAAGACCTCCCAATACAGGGCTGCCTTCAGAAGTCTTCTAAAAGTTGTATACATTTATCTCCTTGACATGTGATGGGAGGGAGTTCCACGGGAATAATAGTTTTATTAATTGTGTGTGTGTAGGCCTGAACTAACTGCAGCTCGCAGATGCAGCATTATGGCTTGAAGGTGGCGGCCCAGGGTGTTGATGGTATCCGGCATGCTTGGGTGCAAGAGGTAGACCCTAGGAATAAACCAACCCAATACAAAGTTGTCAATTTTTTCAGGTAGAGATGATTAATTCAGCCCAGTGCTATCCATGACTCAGCCAGGGGTTGGGAGTCAGAAGAGGTGCAATGGGCCCTTGCACGGTTTTAACATTGGTATTTCTTTTGCCTTTCTCTGAAGGAATGCAAAGTAGTTTTCATTTTTATTAGTGTTTCAAAATGTAGTCAGCTGGTGGTGCTGTCTTCAAACCCCAGGGACAGAAGCTAGCATGCCTGGGCTCTTCTCCCTTCCTCTTTGGGTAAGGAAGTCCTGAAGTAGCCTCAGAGAAGGGTTGGTTGGTTGTGGGGTGGTCTCTGTAGGAGCTTCCTGGCCTGGGCCTTTTGCTTTTGCCCTAATGGGTGATGTATGAATCTGACCATGCCACTGGCTAGCATTTATCCCCACCCCCCGCTTTCCTAATTAACATCCCTTCCTCCTAAGCTGCTAGGGCAAAACATATGAGCTAATCATTTAAGATTTGGTCTGTTGCTACACTGTTCCCCCCCACCCCCAAGCAGGACGAACCTTGATAGTGTTACCCCAATGCTTCAGTTAGTCTCTTGCATTTATGTATGCCTTTCACTTAAATCACATAGATTGTGCAGTATGCCTGCTGTCAAACATGCACTGCTCCTATTCATTTCCAAGCATAGGTATTATTAATATGCAAAGGCAAAGGCCCTATGAAAATAACTTTGCTGATACCACATAGCCTGTAAGAATGTACGAAAGTAAAATTGCACACTAATGATTGAGCATTGTATATTAGTGCAACCAAGTAATACCATCTTTCCTTTCGGTTTGCAGGTAACCATAATTAAGAATCTTGAGCTGTATGGGCTAGACCCACAGGCTGTTGCCAACTTTCTCCAGCTAAAAGTTCAGGCGAGTGCCACTGTCACCACACTTCCGGGAGCAAAGGACAGAGCACAGGTCCAGGTACAAGGCAATCAGATCCACCACCTTGCTAAGCTGCTGGTGGGTAAGTATCTTTATCAGGGGTAGGGAACCTGCCAGGGCAGCACACTAGTGGTGGGTGGAGTCAGAGGAAGAGCAATGGACATACCTTTGCACATTAGGCTATATTCCAGCAATGCAAAAGCCAGGTGCTAGCACATGTGCATGCACACACACGGTCTCCATTCAGGCTCAGAAGAGGCGTCATCACAAGGTGACATACCAGCCAGGCAAAGCACTAATGGAAGGTGTAGCTTAGGGAAAGGGCTAAGGCCCAGTATGCAAAGTCTGGCTGCCAGGCCTGAAGTTCTCCACCCCTAATCCATGGCAAACTCATAACATCATTTATTATGTTTTGAAGGTTTAGTCACTTATTAGATTAACAGTGCAATCCTAGGAATATCTTCCCAGGAGCATTATCCTATTGATTATGTGTGAACAAATAGTGCTTTACTTGCAGCCTAAATTGATTTTACAATATTCTGATCAGTTTCTAAGATGTGCTCTTCTGAGGAGGAGGCTGTTGGAAAACAGTTATACAGAAACTAAAAAGCAAAGTGCTATTTTCCCTTCAGAGTTATTTTATTCATGTGTAACCTTATGCAGATTGAATTCAGTGGATAATTAGGGCTGCCACATTACCGTATTTACGCAAATTTAATGCACCATCAAATCTAATTTTCGTGACGTAATTTGTCCAAAAATGGTGTGCATTACATTTGAGCAAATACAGTAAGTACAATGTCTTCCTATGTATATTTATTCATAATTTAAAATGCACAGGAGTACATTTTTTAGTAAGGCGAGTGCCCTAAGTATACAATGCTTTAGAATTTTCAGAGCACATTACTCTTTTAGTAAGCTGCAGGTCCTATTGTGTTAAGCTTTTGAGCTGTCAAATACAGATTGATTACATGTTGACTTTGTTCCAGAGGACTACCAGATACCTCGCAAATACATCAAGGGTCTTGAGATGGCACCAAAGATGGGCCGGAAGAAGTAGCCAGGTCTGAAGATCAAAGTCAGAACTTTGTTATTTATAAATATTTTATTCAACAGAAATGACTAATCCAGCTGCCTTACCTATAAAATAATGGAATTTATAAATAAAACTTTTCCCAATAACCTTTGCTGGACTATCTCCATAGCTTGTTGTGGAACACCTCAGCATGTTTGCTGAGCACTGTTCTAGTACAAGTAGGTCCAAATGTAAACTGTTGGGTATCCACTGAAGATTGTGGGGTTGGTTTTCTTTTTCTTTTTTACAGGACTCAAAAGAATAGTGAGGTACAGTTTCTACCCCTCCCTTGATTGTGGATTTTGTTCTCTCCCTCGGCAACCCTCCCCAAACGCTTTTCCCTGCTTAAACCGAGGTACAGTGGTGCCTCGCAAGACGAAAAGAATCCGTTCTGTGAGTCTCTTTGTCTAGCGGTTTTTTCGTCTTGCGAAGCAAGCCCATTGACGGATTAGCGCTATTAGCGGCTTTTAGCGGCTTATTGGCTTAGAAAAAGGGGGGGGGGAAAGGAAAAAAACCCCGCAGGAACTCACAAGACATTTTCGTCTTGCGAAGCAAGCCCATAGGAGATTCGTTTTGCGAAGCACCTCCAAAACGGAAAACTCTTTCGTCTAGCGAGTTTTCCGTCTTGCGAGGCATTCGTCTTGCGGGGCACCACTGCACCACTGTAGTAGCCTTCTTTGTTTACACACTGCAATACCACCGCATACCACAGGAGGGCATGAAGAACACAAACCGACTCAACTCCTCGCTTCATCAGAGGCTGTTTTATTTTCGATAGCTTCTCTTAACACAATTTTGTATCGCATGAACAGATTTCTTTAGGAGCTTTAAAAAAAAAAAAAAGCTGGAAGGAAGGTGACATTTTCAAGAAAATGTCATAGGGTTGAAACAGTAGTAAAAATAAATTACCAGCATGGCAAAAATGTTATTTACTTTACCACGTAAGCTTTTCACTAATTCCATTCTTTACAGACTGTACATGTTTTACAATTGACCCATTTCAAAAGAAAAAAAAGTTACACACGTACAGATGATGCAGGCAACACAGTATACTAACAAAGGCACTGCCAGCAGTAGTCTGCGCTTCTTAAGGTAGGGCCTCCTCTAACTCCTCTCTCTAAGGCGTCTGCTCTGCCACCGCTGAAGTGGCTAAGCTTTCTCTCAAAATCCAAGCTCCGTGGTGGTTTTCCCCCCCTTCTCCTCTTAATGCCCCTTAGCTATATATAATCTTTTAAAGAAACAAAACAAAAATAATGCCCGCCTGTTTTAGCAGGTGGCTTAGTCAGCAGCATTCACATAAATTGCATAAGAAGCCATGCCTTCTATTAAAAATGTTCAAGACATGCTGTTATGGGATGGGGGTGAGGGGAGCAGGGAAAGGAAGAGTGCCATTATTGAAAAGCAGTTCTTTAAAAAAATAAAAATAAAACATGACATTATATATATTTATATATACTCAACATTCCTAGGGAGAAGTAGTCAGTGACTTACAAAGACTGTTTTCCTGTTCTTGTCTCTTGGTGATGGCGCAGGAGGCTGACATCCTGGGGTCCCTCCTCAGTGTGCCAGGCCAACAGTTTCAACAGCGCTTAGGAAGAGTTTTGAGTGCTTTCTCGCCTGGGTTCAATAGTTGCATGTGCTTATCTGGATCTGCGTCTTGCTTTCCTTGTGCTGTGCTAATACATCTTGTACAGTGGTATTAGGGTAACTGTCTATGGGGGACGCTGTGGTGGTGGACTTCCTGAAGATAACTTTGGAGGTACCTGAGAGCTCCGTGCCCTTTCAGCTGCGGTGTAGAACCCCTGCACTCAGCCCTGAGAAAGAAACAAATCTTCCTTCCTTTGCCTTCCCAAAGACAGCTTTGCTCCAAACAACGTCATAGAGGGTAGCCAGGTTCTGAAAACGTAGATGTGGGCCTTCTGGTGTTACGAAACAGTTTTGCAATGCAAATAACATAGAAAATCAATTCCATTTTTTTAAGTGCTGGGAGATGAGCCCCAAATTGGCTCATTAGCAGACCTGCACCCTGGTCCCAGTTCCTACTGGGTAAGAGGAAACTGTATACTGGAAGGAAGGGCTCTAAGTTGAAAATATTAGGCTGGAAGCATAAACAAGAAAACAACCCTGAAGTGTTGCCAAAACAAAAATAAAACTGACCTTATTTTCCTGTGTGAAAATATAAACTCTTTTGCTCAAAGGCCAAAGCACTCTAAAGCTCATCAAAACCTGCTCTACTTCTACAGATTTCTTGACATCTCGTTCATTCATTCTGTTCATTCTGTGCAAGTCTGTTTGGCATCCTCTACAGTGTCCACATGTACCAGAGCAATAACCCTCCCATGTGATTAAATTACTACAGAGAACACGTTCAACTCACTTCTGCCACACATACATAAATCCACGTGGAAAGGTACTGGGATGGCAGGAGAAGAAAAGAAGGTAGTACAATTGAAGACAAGGCATCTTCCACTGCTTGTGTGACCTACTAGCTCATCCTTAAGCTAGCCTCAAAGAGGAAAGATTTCAAAAGTAGTTTGTAGGGTCAAACTCACACTGAAATACATTGAGAAGGGGAGGGGGTGGTTATACCTTAAGCAACCCAATTCCTTGGATATTCAGTATTCACTGCAAAGTTTCCTGTCTATTCTGTTCTGTACAAGCAGGGGAGATGGGAAGAAGCAGTGTTCATTTTTGGTTTCTGGAGGGTCAGTGGATTGGAACATTTAATTTCCTGTTCTATAGTTGCCAGTTCTGAGCACACACCATGGACTACAACCAATTGAAAAAGTGTCCTGAGGAAAAAATGGTTTTGGTTGGGTGGGGTTTCTTTCCATTTTTAAATAATATATAATTTTTTGAAATTTAGTTTATCCCTAGCCACACTTCCAAGTTCAGGTTATCCAGGCTTCCCATTTGCTTCTTTCAAGGCCTCATGCAGTCTTTGTTTAAACCTGTCATACTTTTTCTGCACTTGCTGGATTTTCTCTTTTTCTTCCCTTTCTAGTATCACCAGAAAATTCTGTAGCTCTGGAATAGAGAAGTCATCCCACTGTGGAGAAAAAGCACACACACACACAAACTTTAGATTGGCAGACAAAAAATACACATTATTCCAAGTCTGTGGATAGATGCTAGATGTGACCTGACTAACTGACATGATTTTCTGCAGGAAAAACCCACAAAATAACTCATCCTCCCCAGGTCTTTCATTTTACCTCATTTGCTACACTGAAACCTTCAGGCGCAGAAAGTAGAAGCCTCCCACAGGAAAAATTACAGTCCCTATATAATTTTCCCAACTTGGCTTTCCACCACAAAAAGAGTTCCAATATGCTTAAGGGGTGGCTTTCTAGAATAGAGTTTGCTAGGTTTTATCGATCGCCCTTTAATTCAATAGCTGCAGTTCAAAAAGATTCAGAGAGTGGCCCAGTTCATGCAATCAATTCCTCACTTAATAAGCCACACTATGCGCTAACTGCTTGTGGGTGCTCAGGACTCTTGCTTCTCCCTTCATGTAGTTTAATATCCTGGCTTCCTTATAAGACATTAATCATAGCTTCCCCTTACATGTGAGCCCTGAAATGATGGTTAAGAGCTGAATCCTGGCTTGCTTTGCTGCTCCCTTGCAGGGAGGATCGATGGGGCTGTGTGGAGGTGAACAGCACTTGTTCATATCCTGATTTACTAAGCCAGGTGGTGGTATAAAATAAAAAATCCAGGTGCCCAAACTTCGCAATTTTGCGCAGTTCAAAGGGTGAAGTCTCTAAAGATTTTTTCAAAAAAATAAAACCCAAGTTCAAAGAATGGGTTGGGGAATAATTCTGTAAGCACAGCAGTTCAAGGCAAAAATCCCAAGCGATGGTTGTTTCCCTTTCAAAGACACCACCCAATCCACTTTTCAGCTTTGGAGTATTAAAAGTGGTTTGGGGCTTCAGTGACAGCATGTTTTGAACTAGATACATGGCAAAATAAAGTAAAAAAGAAGCAATGTATATATGCACCCCTTTAAATCACAGTCACCATCCAGAGATTGAGTGAAATGTGTAAATACATTAAATTCTTGCGATATTATGACCCTAAGAAAAAACCCATTCTGTGCATGAATTTCAACATTTTGTATTACCAATGTGCTCTGTAAGAGCTGGGTCTACAGAACATGATGCCCGCAGGTAGAAATGGGGAACCTGTGGGCCTTGAGATAAACATTGCCTGATCATTGGCTGGCCGGGACTGATGGGAGTTGGGACTCCCAACAACAGCCACAGCTTCCCTATCCTTGCCGTAAGAGGAAGAATAAAGAGAGAAGGTAACTCTTTAAGGTGTTGAAGACCTGGGGCTTCCAGTCAGATCAGGTTTCTAAGCAAGTGTACTTTACGGGGAATCCTTGCTCCTCTAAGAACTTCCATTTTGCCAGCAAACTGTATTTTGAAAAGCAGCTTATGGCAGAGTTCTGGATGGCATGCCTATTCTTAATTTTGAAGTTGTTTCTTGTGCTCAACAGAAAAAGTAATTCCATACTTTAGCTCAGTCCTCTAGTTTAAAAACACAGTAGAATTATCTGTTTGCTATATTGCTGTCTCTGTGCATCCAGATGATGTGAGGGTAGGGTGAGAGTGGAGAAAGCATGCATTTAGTTAATCTATGGATGCAAATGACTAATCTGCAATATAGCACCAAGCTCATCTACCTTTTGAAGATTTACCATATGCTCCCTGTTCCTAAACTTTAAAAACAAGCATTTTAAGGATTATGGCTCAGAACTCTGCAAAGAGGCTGACTTGTTACAGGTACAGTCAAACTTTAAAGAAAGCCAAGTGTAAACAATAAAGAAAGGGGAATGTAGCCTTAAAAGACTCCTGGCTCAAGGAGCCTTTTATTTGCCTCTATTCCTTCCATCTTCAAATGCTGGCACCGAATAATCCGTATCGTCAGTAACAAAGCAGGGGAACCACAAGAGCAGGAAGTGTGCTTTTTCCACCCACTGCAAATGGCTGCTTGTGCGATGTGACTGCCTGCTTTCTGAGAGCAGAACGTGTTTGTGCAGGTTCGAAAGGCAAGCAGCTTCCAGACTTACCTCAACTTCCCCTGTTTCGTTTTCCTTCAACACAAAACTGAGAATGTCTGTGTCAGGACCTGCTAGTAGCCGGAGGTACAAAGGGTACTCTGTTACCGAGAGCTTCTGGGATAGAACTGCAGAGGGGACAAAAACATGAGAGAATCACCTGAGGCCTTTGAAAAGGAGGGCACATTTTTCAACTATTAAAAAAAAGCCTTTCCACACCTCTCCATGTTGTGAAGGCCCACAGAACGTCAAGGAGAGGACAGAAAGAAAGAAAAAAGGCTACAGCATCCAAGTGATGTTTTGCAGTTCTTTCCCTCCCTTTCCCAAAGGAGTGGCTAGCTGTGAACTATTACAGTATTTCATAAACATTTAAATTCTCCAGAACTGAGGGTTAGCACCAGCCATTTACAGTATATCCCTCAAGGAAATCTGTAATAGGGCGGATTAGTAACACTTCCAGTTGGCTCCAAGACAAACTACAAGCATCCAGTTGTATCCATTTGACTCATAATTTCTCTGTAGCCTTCTACTACAAATACCTGGGACCGTTCTGTAAAAGAGGGGGGGAGTACTCTAAGCACAAATGGGGCTTACAGAGCAACCTTCCCCAAACGCTGTCCTCCAGATAATTTAGACTACACAGCTCAATGGTTGAGGTAGTGGAAGTTGCAGCCCAGAACACCTGGAGCTCACCAGATCTGGGGAGGCAGCTCTGGACTTTACCATTATAAACAGAAACAGCTTTGAAACAAAGAGATAGAAACAGGCTAGCATCGTCTTCATCATTTTATTTGTATGCCGCCTTCCCATAGTTAAAACTATGCTTAAGGCAGCTTACAAAATAAAAAGATTTACAGAATTACAAACATAACAAATGTAGCTGCCCAGAGTGGCTGGGGAAGCCCAACCAGATGGGCGGAGTATAAATAAATTATTATAGCTATAAACAAGAAATGAAACACATGAAGGAGTGCACAACCAAACCGAACGACTTCCATATAAAGCATATGATCTAAAGATACAAATTTTTTTAGTATCAACTACAGCAACAAAAAAACTCCTAAACAAACCCCAACTCAAGAAACTGTTCAGCAGCCTCAGCTTTTGTTGCTGGAGTGAGTCAGGGTCCTGCCCTCCCAGGCCAGGTGGGAGAAGTGGAGAGCAGGACTCGGCCAAGAAGCAAGCAGCTCTTCTTTGAAGCCTGATCACTTTATTGTTATTACTGTCTCAAAAGGGAACACTATCTCACCTTGACCATCTTTCTGCATCTGCTTGAAAAGTGCAAATTTCTGTGGGTTGTCCACCACCATAAATTTCTTCAGAAGTCCTTGGATCACCTCACTCACGGTGGTGCTGCTGCTGATGTGCAACTGTTTGATGGCATCCAGCGGCAGGTAGAAGGATGTTCTCTTCTCTGTCATGTTGGCCATGTTGACCTCCTTGAGGGCATCGTAGATGGACTGCGGCCTGATCCCTGCTGGCACCGTCACAGGCCGGCGCAGTTTCAGGTGAACTTTGATGAAGCCTGTGTAAGTGCCGTCATCATTCTGATGAAATTAAAATGAAGGTTGAAAAGATGTTAAAAAGCAGGGTTGGTGGCATTTATTTTGTTTGCTGAATTTCTTGAAATATGGGACACAGGAATTATTTCCATAAAAGCTAACAGACAGCTTTCAGAGCCATTCACTGACTATTGACAGAAACAACTGAATGGGATGGGGAAAACCTTCAGTACTGATGGGCTGAGCTAGTGCAGTTGCTTTGAATTCTCACTTCCCTCAGGCAAAAGCACACATAGGTGGTGGTTGCAAGTAACTCCAAACCATGGTTTAGTGTTAAGTTGACGACCCTGGTTAAGTCCAAGTGAAAAGTTGGGCTCTCCTCTGCCTGCACAGCTGGGAAGAGGAGTTTGTCAGAGATGAGTTTTATCTTAAAGGATGTTGGCTTAGTGTTACATATGAAACAGAGAACCTGGTTTAAAACAAAACGTTAGTTTAATAAGCTCTTCGCTTTTTGATGCTATGACGCTATGTGCAAATGAAGAAAGACTCTAGATCGAGGAGAAGGGTACATGTAGGGTCTAGAGACCAGAGGAGCCTGAAAGAACTGAGACAAATGGAGTGAACCAAGGAGTACAGCAGGGTTGGAGAGCCTATGGGCTTTCAGGTGCTGCTGAAAACAATTCCCATCATCCCGGGGGAGCCACAGTTTCTCCCCAACCCTGGAATATCGGGTTATTAAGTCATCTGGCTTTATTCTTTTAAATTCTGCCACTTATGGCTTCTATTATTCCTGCAGACTTGTGACCTGACAAATATTATGGAGCAACAAGGGCCAGGAAACAGGATGGTAAGCGACAAGAGTAAGCATCACTTACTGACTTGCACTAGCAATGGCTCCTACTCATTCTCTGGAGGCATTCTAAGCCACAAGCAAGGCTTAGCAAGGCAAAGTCATTGCTGAAAGACTCACAGGCTAACATGAGTTGGGTGAAAAAGCCATCCCCTTTCCTTTGTCTGAATTCTGAATGGGCCTTCTCTTTGTGTATCTGCAGAGTTTAGGCTGTTGTTTCTCCAGATGAGAACATAACCAAGAATGCCAACTGAAAGCAAATTATCAAAGGTCCTGGTACCTTGGACGGTACATTTCCTGTGATGGAAAAAATGAACACTTCTGCTTCCCTATGGGCATGAGATCTGGGGCAGCTGCTGAACCACAGTGGGAGGTGGCTGGGTTGTGTTAAACTTGACTCATCTGGGCTAGAACAATAGAGCTATTTGTGGAAAATCATTTGCTGTAGTGGCTACAGAATGCTTCAGTTGAAGATTCAAAATTAGCTACGGAACCGTTTTGCCCAGCTGCTATATGGCTCACACCAATTACACCGCAGGTTCACAAAATAAGCTCCGAAGGAGTTCTGCTGATGGAGAGATCTATCCAAATCCTGTATTCAAAGAGTGTCTGTCCTTTGGACTTGCTGCTTAAAAGAGGCACTTCAAGTTATTTTCCTTACCAGAAGACCTGTGCACAATTACTAGAGCCAATGGTGAAATCCCATGCTGCCCATCCATTAGTGAAAGAGACTTCCCTTTCTCTCTCCCTCCCGCACTGCAGACTCCACCCATGGAGGCAACCACATCAGGTGGCAAGGTCCACAGGGGCAGCAGATCCAGCCTCCAAGGAATGCATTGCCCGCTGCTACCACTGTAGTGGCACCAACAGCTGTGGCATGCTCCTTGGAGACCAGATCTGCCATCTCCTCAGCAGCAGCCCCCCCCCATGCTGCATCTATAGCGGCCTCTTGGTGATTTGGAGGCACTGCTGGCCTCCCACCCTTGTTCCCAATATAGATATTTATTCCTCCCCTGTTCCTGATGTAGATCTTCACTTACCCCTTCTTCCCTAGCCCAGAGGGCAGGGATGATGACACCAGTTTGTGGTTTAGCTCAGGGGCCGAAATGCCTTGGGCTGGCCCCAACTCCTATGCACCCTCAAAAATCTGCTCCAGAAGTTGTTGTTTTGATATGAAAGATGGTCAACCAAAAGACTGAACAGATTGATGGCAGCAGCTCCACTGCTCAGAATGTTATATATCCGTTTGGCTGGGATGTTATGTCAGCGTTGCTATACTGATCAGTTCCGGTAAGCACAGCAGCATCCATGGAGTAATGTACAATCTAAACGCAATCGTGCACATCGACCAACACGGTGTGAAAGGAATTGACACAGACTGGAGCTCAAGTACTCTACCTCTGAAAAGCAGAGTTGTGATAAGCGTGAATGCTGCTTCTTTTTTCCCATTTACTCCTTGCGAAGCCCTGGTCCATTCTTAATGAACTTATTGATTATGAATCATTGAGCTATGTTGTACTCTCATAATAAGACTACCCAAAAGATACAGACGGATAGAGGTAAAAATCAATACTTTTTATATTTTGTCTTTGTGGTCAGCTCTATAAAGCACCAGCTGTGGATGAGTTCCTCCCCACACATCGCCACAGGAATTAGGTGGCCACCCCAGTTGGGGAAACGGCAACTCTCAGAAGTCAGGATTTCATTCGTTGTATGTGTTATTGGTAAACAAAAAAAGTGTACATTTCCCCAATGAGTACAAGGGGCATGAGGTAGAGATTGGTTCACCTTTGAACTTAGGAATACCTCCACTACAATTGCCACAGGGGGCAAAAGAAGACCAGCTTCAATATACTGTTTTGTAGCTTGCATGACAAGAGCCTACACTATCGTCCTAAAAGTAACAAGTAATACAGAAAATGCATTACATACCAGCTTCATCAGCAAGCAATTGTTGACTTTTGAGTTGTAATTGTCAATCTTCTCCTTCAACTCTTGGACAGTAGGAGCTTTAGGTTTTTCTTCTTTTTCTTCCACTGGTTTTGTTACATTCTAGAACAACAACAAAAACAAAACACTTCAGTTGGCTCATGCATCTTTTGACATGATCCTACAACATCCCACTTCATTTTGTATGTTTTATTCTTATTTATTGCTTTTTAAAATTAAATTTATATCCTGCCCACCCTCCCAAAGGAACCCAGGATGGCAAGCAATAAAGCAATACACCTCAACACAACCCCAATACAGATGCATTGGCCTACACATAATGCCTACACATTATTTATCACCATCATGCTGTAGTAGCAGCAGCTTTTCTAGTAGCAACATTAACCATTTCTAAAATACCTAAGCTTTGTTAAGTTCAACAAACAGATTAAAAGTAAGATAGGTACATGAATGGGAACTCCTTCCCCAGGTGCTAACCAAAAGGAAGATCATGAGGGGAGAGAATGACCTTGGCTGTTAGGGGTGGATGTGTTCACTGTACAAAATCCCTTCCAATTTCTCTACCAATGAAATAAACACAGTTCAGTACTTAAATCATGTTAAGTTATTTTTGCAAAGCTGTTACAATTTTTTTTTTGCATGTCACTCAAACTTCAGTGTTTAATTTGTTGGCTGATAGGTTGTTGTATTTTTTGCAGAATTTTGAAAGGAGGGGCAAAGGACGTTGCCATACAAGCTCTTAAAACGAACACAAACACATCTATATGTAGTTACCCAATGAACATACTGACCTCCCCCCCACCCCAAATCAGAACTTTCTATGACATATAATACATTGCATTTTTTGTTAGAAAAGTGGTCCAGAGTACAGAAATGCCTTCTGAGCTTCCACCTCTATTGGGGCACCTGCAGAGGACATCAGAACATGTGATATATTCCCAAAGCGGTTGGAGAAGCAGCACACCATTCCCTCAGCATAGTGTTCAGCATCTTTCATGGAGGGCATGCCAATCAATGTCAATTAGTCATTAGAGCTAAGCGGAGCCTCCACATCCTGACTCTATGTATCACTGAATACCAGATGCTGAGAAACAACAGTGGGACAAGGCTCCCCAAAGGCATCTTCTGAGGAACACTCGGTTATTCTGGTGGGACTCTTCTGAACAGTTAAACAGAATGGTTCTTAGTGTGACATTCTGGTTTCATCAAGCCTGTAAGAACCATTATCCCACTGAGCCATTTACTGTGACAATATAAGTCTTATACGATACATGGGAGGTTGCTACTAGAGCAGTCGATGATAACAGCAGAATCGTCATTGCAGATCTGATAAGTGGACATTTCAGTGATGCATTGGTTCAACCTGCTCTGGGATCTTGCCTATTCCCCAAATGGGAAAAGCAGAAAACCAACAGAGATGTTGCTCTGCCTTTTTCAGAGGCCCCGAGGTGGTTACTGCCCAGCACACTTTTCCTGTACATTTTACTCTGTTAAATGTATCTATCTGTGGCACAGGAGGACTTAGCAGACCTGCTTAGCAGCACAAATTCAATCCAGAGGGTTTGTAAGACTTGTTCCATGTGTATAATACTCAACAGAAGCGCCCTTCCCCCAGTGGGTGGGAGATGCTGGTTGCAAGGGGAAGGGAACTGGCACTGTTCAAGGCAGAAAGGGTATCAGACTGTTTTAACTGGAAAAGACCAAAATAAGAACCAGTGAAATGAGTTAGAGTGGTCAAGTATGCTAATTTACAGAGCAGAGTCTTCAGTTTGCTGAGTTTGGTTTAATGATAAAGAACACAAGAAAGGAGAGCAGGTGCTCCAAAGGTCCCCTTCACTAGTTAACACCTAGACAGCAGGTGAAGGATGATGCAGGTCACCTACACTTCACACTATGGTGAGCTGCATTTTATTTCTATTTAAGTTACAATGATAGCATCTAAATTTGCTTGCATATATACAAATCTGCACATTATGCAAGTCAGTGTCCTCTTTTTTTTTTTGGTGATATCATTCCTATGGGGAGATGCCTAAGTTGCCACCTGAGCTTGCATAGGGGAAATATATTCCCCAGAGGTGAGTAAAGCACATAATAAGTTCTTTTTTTAAGGAGATACTTCACTGCATTTGATGTAAAGGCTGCATTGCTAAGACTTCTCAAGCAAAGCCATATAGAACGCAGCCTTTCACACACTAAATGGGAGTCCCCACTGTCAATGATGGAAGCCACAGAAGTATTCTTTACAGAATGTGGGTAGTGTTGGGCAGGGCAAGCTCAATATACTTTGCTGCCTGTGCCAAAAGACATGATGGCATGTCCACACCGATTCTGTGTACAGAAGCTGACTGAATTGGCAGTAGAATTTTACTTCAATGGTGCTGATGGGATGGTACATGGACAGCAGGCAAGTTTAGGGTGGAAGACAGGCCATTGGGCACACACAGCTCTGTCCTCCAAAGAGGGGAATGACCAAGGGGCTGCCAATATTGCCATGCAGCATCTACCACCTGAGGGTGCCTCATTCTGCCTAATGATAGGGCTGGCCCTGCAGTTGGTTAGAGAACCCACTCTATTTGGATTTCAGCACCGATTCTTAGAACCGTGAGCCAAACTACTACAGTAAAGACAAGTCTGATGAGCTTTTACTACAGAAACCCCTCTTAAGCTTGTAGCCATGGGCATCTCCAGACTCTGGATGAGTTAGTAATTTTGTGCTTTGTTTCATTTGGTTTCCAGGACTCATGAGCACTGCAGAAATCAAGACCCTCCGTTTCACAGAAGGATGGATAATTTTTATCACCATGCAATTTGTCAGAGAAATTGCGGGTAGCCATTTCTCCCGGCAGTGATAGTGCTTTTGGATGGGAGGCAAAAGAAACCCGATAACCTCAGCCCACACAGGAAGTATGCTCATCATAGCTGCTGCAAACAGTCTAGCACAAGAGTAGTTGATGTGGTGCCCTCCAAATGCTGCTCAACTACAATCCCCACACTCCCTGATCTTTAGGCCATGCTGTTGGGACTGGTGGGCACTGGAGTCCAACAACATCTAGAGGGCAAAACATTGGCCACCACTCGTCTAAGCGTAATCACTGTAGATAGCAGAGCAACTGTGGTACAAAGCAAAAATATTATTGATACCTAGATTCCTCTGCATAAAACGTACAATACCAATTTATGGTTTAATTGTTGTTAGCTGCCCTGGTGGACACTAGAAGAGCAGGTTATAAATTTTAGCTTATTTTATCTTGTTTATTAAACAAACACATAAATGTTTTGTAAGAGAATCACTGAGGAAAGCATAATTTGAAAGCACCCAAATATATCGTTCTGCTCCCAGTCAAGTCTAGGCTACCTGAAGCTAGAGATGATAACCACTGTGTTATAGTTTGGAAGAAATCAATGTACAGAGAAGTTCTAGGGTCATAGGTCAGTCAGTGGAAGACTAGGAAAAGAGCTAATGATTCATGACTTTGCTCAAATTAGTGCAGCAATTTAAAAACCCTGTCCTACCTGCAAGTTCATTTTTGCAACACAGGATGCAACTGAAAGCCACAAGTAACTTTAAACTCTGCAGCAGTATTTAATATATGAATGTGCATTCTCCATGCAAATAATACATGTACAAATCTCCCTGCCAACCGCAAAAATTGCAGGAAGTATTAACAACCTGCATGCTTCCTAACCAATCACTTTTCTCACAGTCACAAAAGGAATTAGATCAATGAATGTACAGCCTGAATGAGCAATTACTGCATGCAGGAAACACACAAAGAGGCAAAGGCTCTTCTCTCTCATTTCAATGTATTTTTAAAGGAAACCAAATCAGAACATAGGGGAGGATTCCCAAGTGGGGCCTTATGCAAATCTACCCATTAATCTTTAGATGCAATCAAACACACCAGTAATCAAGACCTGTCACAGACAGGGACATGTCCAGGACACCAAAGAGAAATGCAATTAGGAGCTTTGGAGAATTTAGAAGGGAAATAAACAACTTTAGATACACAGTAGGGATATGGAGGCGAGTCATTAAATGAACAAGGTGCAGTGTGTCACCAGAGTGATGGAACTGCAGGTGCTAAATAGTCAAACTATTAATGCATTTGATTTTTCCATCAATACTGGGGACAATGGCAGTCCATGAGGGTAAGTGGCCCAGCCTTACCTCCGCCAATGAAATCAATAAACTCACAATGACTTACATGAGCTGGAGTGTAACCTATATAACCTGTTGAAAAACTGAGGCAAAGGAGGGGAGAATGATTATCAAATCCTTTTAATGTCAGAGGCCTCAGCATGTGAAGCAACCCTACCACGGGGGCCACCGACTGTAAGGACAGTTCCTAACAACCCTTCCCTGCGGGGATGCTAAATTGGGCAGGGCATAGACTACCAGCCCATGCTCAGCCAATGAAAACACTCCCAGCAGCAGTGTGAGTGCCCAACCATCGTGTCATGGATTCCATTCTGGGGCTTGGAAAGAAAACACAGCTTGCCAGAGGAGGAGCACATAGCCGTGGGAGAAGGTAAGCAGATGGGTTTTATATTTAACAGATTACAGAATGGTTTCCTTGGACCTTTCTGGACTAGAACTCCCATATTTCCTGATCATTAGCATGCTGGGTGGGGCTGAGTTTGAGTCCAGCAACACTGGAATGGTCACAGGTTAGCATCCCTGCTCTACAGTGACAGGACTGCTTTACACTGACTGGGAGCGATTCACCAGGGTTTCACTCTGGTGTCTTTTCCAGACTCACCTGGATATGTGGCGGATTTAAACTGGGACTTTCTGCAGAGAAAGTAGGTCCAAAAACCAAAAAAGCATAAAAGAAACCAAAGCAATAACTTGTCTATGCTACTGTCAAATAAAAGCAACTTGATTTTTGTGGATAATTGTCTTGATAACTCTCTGACTTCTCTCTGCCAACACAGTCGCTAGGCTATCACCTGGGTTAATTAAAGGTATTTATAAGTCTATCATTCCCAGAGTATGTTCTTTATTGGGTTTAGAACTAATTAATTCATAATCTCACAACTGAGTTTAGAAGAAACCACCAAATGCATAGGTTTCTTTATAAAAACAGCTTTGAGTTTAAAACAACAACACACTTCAGTTCTTTATACCAGTCTAGTGGGCAGCCATATGGACCTGGTGTTTTCCCCTGTTGCATGTCCTTAATAGTAAATTCAGCTTCTTACTCTTGCAACCATGCTGGAGATTCAAGTTTTGCTTCTACTCCTGGAGAGGGAGCTGTGCTGTCCAGAGCAGGAGAAACAACAAAGAGGCCTGTGGTATCTTAAAGACTAAACAGGTTTATTATGGAATAAATTTCCTGGACTAAAATCCACTCTAGTCCATGAAAGCTTATGCCATAATGAAGCTATTAACTTTTATGTTGCCACAAGCATCTTAACTGGCTCTTGGCTTGTTTGTTTTTAAATAGACTATACAAAACTGATGTTCACACACCATTGCTTCAGGAACAGCAATGGGAAACTTGTCCTCTGTTGCTGGACTACAACTTCCATTGTTCTTAATGGCTGTCCATGATGGCTGAAGTTGGAGTCCAACAACATGCGGAGGGCCACAGGTTCCCTATTCCTATGTTTCCCAAATCTGGTTCTCCAGCTCTTTTTGGACTACAGTTCCCACCATCCCTGACCACTGGTTCTGCTAGTTAGGGATGGTGGGATTTGTATTCCAGAAACAGATGGAGATCCAAATTTGGGAAATCTAGAGAGTAGGACAAATCCAAGAAAGATTGCTGCAAAAAAGGGGCACATTTTAAGCTCCTAACCCTCCTCTCAGTAATAAAATATTATTTTGCAGACGGAAATCTGGGACAGAAGAAAAAGCAAATTGCCCCAGTGCCCAAAGAACTGGAAGATGAACAGGAAGGGCTCACAATCTCCTGGGTCCCAGTACAGCGCCTTATCAAGTGCTCTATCATTCTTATGAGCAAACACTAAGAGAGAGGGAACACTACATCCTACTATGAGGTGAGATTTACAGAAACACCTTAAACTATGACCCCTTTGCATGTGGCTGCTCAGAGCAAACAGAAACATACCAACAGGGACATGATGATAAGGAGACAGGCATAAAATTGTATCAAGGTGTGTGCATCTGAATGTCATTGCGTTCAAAGCGAAGTCTACTTCCTCTTCACCTTCACTAAAATGTCAGCCATGCTGTAAGAATATAAGATTGTGTTATGCCCCACACTGTTGATGGATTCTTCTAGTGAAATAAATTTCTTGAGAGACCAAGCTCCTAAAATTACAAACAGATGAATGTTTGAAGTTGTCTGTAATCTGATTGCCCCTTTTGCCATAGGTAGGAGATCCAAACCTCAATGCTACAGATGTCACCTCAAAAGAAACCCTGCTCATAAAAAGCAACAAAGCCGAGGAACTGCAGGATGAATGCTTTATTCTTAGAAAGGGCAATGACCTATTATTAAAAGACCATCCCAGTCCCGGAGCTCATAAGACTAAGAGTCGGCAAGCTGTAGATAATACAGGAATGCCTCAAGATAAAGATGATATTTCTTTCAAATTGGAACCATGGAAAGGACCAGTTTTACAGCAGTGATTGGCACACTGCAGCTCACTTTTCATGGGTGAAAGAATAGAAAAGCTTCATCTCTAGTATAGATCTTAACGGTTCAAATACATTAGCAATCGTAGCAGTCCTCGTACAGTTAGTTTTTACAGTACTGATTCCAGAGAAAAAGGAAACCAAAATGAGCAGTTCTGTTGAACTGAATTCTGCTGGTGTGTTTAAGTCTTTTAGTTACCCAGAATCCTCCATGAGGCATGATGCTAGACATGTTATTACCAGAACGGTTTACCAGGTGCATTAAATATAGCTCAAAAAAATTCTGCATCACAAAAGCTCAATTCTGTAACATGTGCAAATATTTATCTGTTTACTTTGAATAGTTTGTTATGTTTCTGCTATTTACAGAAAAAGGGAAAGTCAAATTGGACGGCTTTAAAAGAGGAGTAGATAATTCATGGAGGATAAGACTGTCAACGGATAGCCTTGGAGGCAGTATGCTTCTGAAATACCAGTTGCTGGAAATCATGGGAGGGGAGAGTGCTCTTGTGCTTGGGTCTTGTTGCAGGTTTCCCACTAAGTGGCCACTGTGAGAACAGGATGCTAAGATACGCCATTGGCCTCATGCAGCAGGTTCTCTTTATGTTATTATGCCACAGTACTGATGCCATGCTCCATATGCACTGGAAAGTCTGTCAGGCTTCTTGAAATTTCACAGGTTTCTTAGGATTGGGAAATTGATTTTGGGGGTGAATTCTAAAATTCTTCAGAATATGAAATTGTGCTCCTAGTACCAAATGTCACCCTTGCACAGTGCAGTCACAGAACATACACAACCCTGAATGTTTTTGTATTTCTCGTTTTCTAGCATCAGTAGGTTGTTTTACTGGTGAGCACATTAATCTTTAAAAGGGCAGCGTGTTCTATAAAAAACAGTATCACTTTGTTTCCAGTGACTGGACCTAGAGCTTCTAATATGTTCTATGCAGCCTGTAGTGTTAATGAGCAGGCACAAGATGGGTGCTGATGACTGACCGTTCTGTAGGCACAAAGGTCCACAGCACCCCTCCCTCAGCCAAATTGGACCCCCTGGACTGGTCCATGGGCCAGAGGTTTCCCACTACTCTTTTAAGAGTTTTGGTCTCATCTACCTCTGGTACACTTGGCACTTCACGGAAGTCCACAAAAATAGTCATCTGGCTTTTTAACCAGGCTCCATTTATTCATTTTTTCAATCAACTCCCTCCCCATAAGATCCATTTCATACTTTCTCCATAGCACAGCACAAAGGACAGAAATCGCTGCCTCTCCCTCAATCCCTCTGTGACTGCCAGAAGGTTTGAGGGAGAGGTGGAGTCTTATCTCATTTGTACTGTTTGGAGAAGATAACTGCTGTTACTTAGCTTCTCCAAGTCACAGTGCAAATTTCCCTTTTGTCCCAATTTTGCTACTGGTAGAACAGGTTATGCAGTGTTTTTACGTGAGAAATAACTAGGTCTCTGGGCACATGCAAAGGTGGCTTTATCATACCCCCTTCAGCTTTCAGGTGGTTGGTAGTATTTGTCTTCAGGCAGGTCCACTTTGTGCATAGGGACTGTAGGGAAATGAGGACAAAGTACATGTGTAACTTACAAAGTATATTCAAACGACAGAAGGAAAACAAATATAACTGCTTAGTCAAACGTGATGCTGGAAAACTAAGAACTGATATGGCACACATCTTTCTACTGTGATTCAATGTGGCTTGTTATTTCGTGTTTATATTAACATTTTAATTATCTTTACACAACACCGACAAATAAGACAGAAAGGAAGTCTGCAGAGATTGTATACACTTTCTTAGTAGTACGTTTAAAACTTACAGCTCAGAACCTACATCAACAAACAGAAAAGTGCTAGCGGCAAGATTTACTTCTCCAGCAATGGATCTACAGTTTAGACCCAGTTCTAGAAGGGAACAGGGGCACTACTGTTTTATTTAATAAGGCACTATTTCATGACAGGAGCTCCTACCATCAGGCCATCAAATAATAATTGATTCCAACAGGACTTGATAAATCAGTGCCCCCAGTCTCCCAAACATTATTCAGCAGTGAGGTGACTAAGCACAATTCCATTCCCACTCTCTTTTCTATTGGATAGCAAAGTTACACTTACCTCTTGCTTATTCCATTTACCATTTTCTTTGTAATGTGTGTCTACATCCTGTCTGAGGCTACCACCCCCACACTTTAAGTACTGAAAAACACCACAGCTGTGACTATGACGAGTAACAGAATGAGACGCTAGAAGTGCATTTGCTTGCCAAGATTCATGGCTCTAGGCATTATCTTGGTGCAAATGACACAGGTTGCTTCCAGTGATGCTGCAAAGGGATGATTTAGATCCATTTTTCTGTATGTGCAATTCGCATTTGAATGCGGTTGGCTATTTCCAGATCACAGAAGAACAGCCTATTGGATTAGGCCAGTAATCTAATCTAGCATCCTGTTGTCACCGTGGCCAGCAGATAATGGAAGCCTGCAAACGGGACCTATGGTCAACAGCACTCTTTTCGCTTGTGGTTCCCAGAAACTGGTATGCCGAGGCACATTGCCTCAAACAGTGGAGGCACTTTAGCCTCCAGAATTTGTCTAATCAATACCAGTGGGTGCTTCTTAAGAAATTATTTCCTTGTTGTGTGTTCCCTTTCATTCCATCACTGCCTTACCCATTCCTGGCATGCATGCATGCATTTCTCTACCTCTATGTGCGCACCTTTCAAAAAATTAACTGAAAGTGTGTAAGAGAAAACATTAGCTGCCTGTAGATCACGTTTTACTATGGGCAAAATGGAGGTTTTGGGGGGACAACATCTATTTCCACTTGTTGGTTTTAAAAAGAATAACACCAAAGTCTTGTGCAAGGCCACAAGCTTCTGCTAAAAGGTCTTGTGCAAGACCTCTGTATTATTATTTTTAATGTAATGGTGTTTGGACTGAGATTACCATCTTGAAGGTAATCCCCCACAGGTGTTGAGATTTTGAGAGGCTAGCTCCTCCAAACTGGATTGTTATTCTGACATGCCTTCAGCATGGGACAACTGATGAAACTATGCATCCTTGTATAGACTGGGCCACCAGAAATAACTCGTCACTGCTACTGTACATGCTCCTTAGCATTTCTTCTTTTGGGGTGGGTGTCAGATGTGTGTTATCATTTTGGTGAGTGGTCTCTAATGCACTGGCGGAGGAAGAGGCGTGCGGGGGGAGCGTCCCACCCCTGGCACTGTGATCCTGGCGGGGTGCCATCGCGGCTGCCTCCTGGGCAGCGTGCCCCGCGCCCGCCTGCTCTCCGCCCCGCCCCGGGGCCGGAGCATGAAGCTCCACCCCTGCTCTAATGCCACACCCCTACTCCTGCTTCCTCCTCATCTGAGCACAACTACGCCATTTTGTTTTTACTTAAGAGATCTTATTCAGTAAGAAGAGACCCATATTTAAAAAAAATTAAATTATGTGCTGGAACTTCTATGATAACAGTATCAGGAACAGTGCTTTTTAAATAATAATAATAATAATAATAATAATAATAATAATAATAATAAATTATTTATATCCCGCCCTCCCCAGCCGAAGCCGGGCTCAGGGCGGCTAACAACAATAAAACAGTATAAAAGTACAGCATAAACAACACTCTAAAATCATTCATTATAAAATTAATTAATTCAAGCCACTGGCAACCATTGGGCCAGAGCTCTGCGAAGATTGCCGAGGGAGGGAGTCAGGCTGTGCCCTGGCCAAAGGCCTGGTGGAACAGCTCTGTCTTGCAGCCCCTGCGGAAAGATGTCAAGTCCCGCAGGGCCCTGGTCTCTTGTGACAGAGTGTTCCACCAGATCGGAGCCACAGCCAAAAAAGCCCTGGCTCTAGTTGAGGCCAGCCTAACTTCTCTGTGGCCTGGGACCTTCAAGATGTTTTTATTTGAAGACCGTAAGTTTCTCTGTGGGGCATACCAGGAGAGGCGGTCCCGCAGGTACGAGGGTCCTAGGCCGTATAGGGCTTTTAAAAAGAAAAGAAAAGAAAAAAGGTGCTGGTACTCGCCATGAAGTTGTTACAGTAATTGCCACATGTTATCATTAGAAAAAAGGTGCCAGTAATGAGTACCACTGAGTACCCCCAGCAAAAAAATTGATCATGACGAAGGTACAAACAGTGACGGAGCTTCAGGCGGAGAGCAGGAAGGCGGGGCTGGTGGGCGCCCTGGGGGTGTGGCGCCCCGCCTATGGGGGCGTGGCGCCCAGCGCGGGGGGTTGGGCAATCGCAATGGCACCCCACCGGGATCATGCTGCTGGGGGCGGTGTGCTCCCCCCCCGCACTCCTCTTCCTCCACCAGTGGGTACAAAAACTTGCATACACAAGCAGCACTGATGCCACAACAACAAGCTGGAAGCGGCCTTTACCTGTTCTCTTCAGGCCATGTCTGAAAATTATTATCACCTGTAGATCTCAGGGTGGTTCACAACATAAAATTACAATATAAAAACACTATATATATCATTTCCTGGACCACAGATTACCATCTATGACTTGTTCATTTAAGTGGAAGTGCTACAACAGAACCACATTACAGTACCTCCCACAAAACCAACCTCAAACTAACATGGTCTGCAATGACTTTTAAAACTGTTTCAATGCTGGTATATGACAGAAAAAACAAATGACATGGTCTGTCCTGCTAATCTCCATCTTCCTGGTATTTCCTGCATTTTGTGGCAGATTTCTGTACAGAAGGCCACATGATTTAGTGGCTAGGGTATCTGAATGCGGAGAATCCAAGTTCAAATCTCTATGTTGTCATGAAATTCATTTGACAGCCCTGGGACAGTCACTGTTCCCCCTGCCTGCAAGAACACATTTTTCTAGTAGGAAATGGCATGTATGAAGTGCTTCAAAGCAGTTCTTTTCCTTCATTTACTCTCCTTAGGAGAATTCAGCTACAATTCCCTCATTAATTCCCTTGGCTTCCAATTCATATACTTTAGTGACAGTCCCATAAGACTCCCTATTATAAAATTATTTCCATTATATTTATCACAGTAGTATCAAATTAGCTTATAAATATAACCCTCACAACTCCTGTTCAAGTAGGCAAGTCCCCATTTTAAAGAGGAAAATTAATCCCCACAATTAGTGCAATATTTGCTGCTGAAAGCTTTATAAACACTGCAGGCAGCAGACTGGATCATGCAAAGAAGGGACTTTTAAAACAATGCAACTAATGCAGCTCTGCTATAAAATGGACGTTCTAGATTTCCTCATCTTGACTGTGTATTCACTAGAACTGCTTCTTTCCACACTGTCACTCATGGCATACTTGGGTTCCTACCTTTAGTCACTACCATAAACAAGCAGAATCTGCTGTAAACTCATGGTCTGATTTGGCATTCTGTAGGCACCAAGTCACACAGTGCCTATTCTATCCAGAAAATAAGCCTTTTCCAGACATTTAAAAAGGCTGAAGTGAACATGTGGAGAGGGAAACAGCAGCACAATGGCAGGTTCCTCCTCACATTCATAGATACAGTGGTGCCCTGCAAGACGAAATTAATTCATTCCGCGATTTTTTTCATCTTGTGATTTTTTTCGTCTTGCGAAGCACGGTGTCGGAAAAGTTTTGGAAAAGCTTCAAAAATCACCAAAGTCTTCAAAAACCTCAAAAAAGGCTACCACACCGCGTGCTATGAGTTGCTCGTCGAAGTCAAGTCGCAACTGTATTAACGGTTTTAAGAAAAAGGAAACAAACTTGCAAGACGTTTCCGTCTTGCGAAGCAAGCCCATAGGGAAATTCGTCTTGCGAAGCAACTCAAAAAACCAAAAACCCTTTCGTTTTGCGAGTTTTCCGTCTTGCGAGGCATTCGTCTTGCGAGGTACCACTGTATATGTGTGGACAGTCATGGTACGTAGCAGAGGTGCCAGCTCCTTGGGGCCCTGGGTGCCAGAGCATCCACAAAATTCCCCATGAAGGGGCTGGGCACCCAAAAATTTTGGTGCCAGGGCCATGGCCCTGGGCACCCATGGTCACGGGGCCAAGCTGGCACTCCTAGCATGTACAATGTATCAAAACACATTCTAATAAATACACATATTCCCCTCACTCCACTGCACACATTAATTTTAGCCCTTCTAATCATTAGAAGCTTTTGCACATCCTAAATAAATTGTAAACCCAACTTAAAACAGCAAGAATTCATTTTGATTCTAGACAGCAGATTACATACAGAAAACAAGAGGCATAGGGGTGTCAAGAAGTAAAGATGTTGCCTTGTTATTAAATGGGGGGGGGGTTCATGCAGGTTTTAACCAATACATCCCCAAGATCAATTCAAAAATGCTTGCAAGATTGCTTTGCCTCAGAATACAAGGCAGTAACTGACCAATTTAGCACTACATTTTGCCACTGAACAAATATGAGTTTTAGCAGTCCTAGCACTTCCCAGAGGGCCATTCAGCAAGTCATCTTGCATGTGGTGTGGAATTAATTTGTTCTTATTGCACCTCCGTGCTTAGTGACAGATGGTTCAACTGTTCCATTGCCAGCAAACAATGTAAAGACACACAGAAAAGAATTGACCTGTGTTGGAAACTGATCTGTCACCCAGCAAGGATGTCACCATAATTCTGAGTTGGAGCATCAGGGAGCTGCCAACCAAGTATCATCCTGCAAATAGCCCATGGTAAGAAATAAAAGAAAATAACAGGTATACATGGGGGGGGGTCTGTTTGTTCACAGCAATTCACGCTCTAAGGTGCATTAGAAAATAATCTCCCTTGGTCTGCAATCAGAGGCAGAATTTAAGTTGCCATTTCCATTAAGCATTTAAGAGAGCTTGCAATTGGACATATTCAAGATTATCGCAAAGGATGCATTTCTTGACATTATCCTGGAGGCAGCTTCTGTGGCCCAATAAGTACTTTAAAAGAACAAGTTTAATGAGAGAACTTTTCCAGTCCAAGGGTGCTTCCACACCCATTGTTCATTCACTCTTTTATGAGGCACCTACCCAACTTTAAGTGGGATGTGGGTGGCGCTGTGGTCTAAACCACTGAGCCTAGGGCTTGCCGATCAGAAGGTCGGTGGTTCGAATCCCCGCAACGGGAACTCCCATTGCTCGGTCCCTGCTCCTGCCCACCTAGCAGTTCAAAAACACATCAAAGTGCAAGTAGATAAATAGGTACCGCTTCGGTGGGAAGGTAAACGGCGTTTCCATGTGCTGCTCTGGTTTCGCCAGAAGCAGCTTAGTCATGCTGGCCATATGACCCAGAAAAACTGTCTGCGGACAAAAGTCGGCTCCCTTGGCCAGTAAAGCGAGATGAGCGCCGCAACCCCAGAGTCATTCGCGACTAGACTTAACTGTCAGGGGTCCTTTACCTTTACCCAACTTTAATTTGTTAAAATATATTTATTCAGACTGTTTTCATCCTACCCTTATGATGTCTACAGAAGATAAAAATTCAAAAATAAAATCAAAAGCCAATGATTCTTAAACAGCAGTGACAATTCTCCAGAGCCTTGGTATATTTATCTATTTATTGCCAGACTATAAAAAGTAATCTCGACTCCCCATGCCAATCATCAGATGTGTGGGTCACTCTGAGCAGCCTTTGCAGGTGTGTTCAAAAACTCTTATCAGGAAAACAAAGAAGCACCTTCCTTTCCCCATGCGCACAAAGGTAGCCTTCAACTGCAGGCTGATTTACTGTTTTCTGTTATTGGGGACTGTGCTTGATTTTGTTTGTGAGAACTTCCAGGTCACCCACACCCAACCCTGCTCCTTCCAAACAATTAATTTTATTCTTTTATTTCTTGTAGTCTGGATATCGATCTGCAGAGCCACTTTGTAGTGGTCAAGCTTGCAATCCTGATGGTAGAAATTGAGCATCCAAAACAGATTCAATTCAAATTTGTTTTGTTTTTGTACTCTTGTAACTTGTATACATATCCTAATCCAGGGACAGCTTGTAAAAAATGTTTTCGGTTTTGTTTCACTTGGTAGTCTGTCACCAATGGCTGAAGGTTTTTTTCTTCCTTAGGCAATATATTTAAATGCTTGTGTACTGGCGAACTGTAGTTCTGTTTCTTTTATCACACTTCTCGTTTTTTGCTTTTACGGCTCTAAGTTGCTGTTTTCTTAAACTTTCTAGAGACTTGAGCAAACTTTCATTAACACCAAGGGCCGGTATCTCTTGTTCTTCTTCTAAATTGTTCAGAAAGTTAAGAGAGTTCATCCATCCAAATGTTTATTGAAGATGCAGAAACAGAATGGAGGAACTTTCTTTGGACAGTAAAAATATTTGTGGCGGTATCAGTGAGGTTCTTCCCTTCCTTGAGCACCAATTTAATGAACTTGTTGGGTTTTTCCAGCTCAGCCTCATGGGCTTGGATCCTTTCCTGGAATCAGGGGGTTTCCCCAGGTAGCAACTGCTAAACTCCCAAGGCTGCAGCCGCATGGCTGAGATGGCGACTACAACAGGGCAGGCTACACTACACTCTTCATTAAAGCAGCATGCCCTGCCTCCTCCTCCTCCTCCTCCTGATCTGAGTGAGTCCCAGCAATAGCTCACCAAAGCAAAACAAGGGGCCAAGCAGCCTTTTCAAAGCACACCATGGGACCTGGGCAGCTTTTGTGCCAAGAAGCACACCAAGGAGGGAATGAGGAAAATGAGGTCACTGAAGAAATCCACCTCCAGCTGGGCAGTCAGTCTGAGCACCCATGAAACTCAGTACACACGTACCAGACCTTACGAACCTACCGTACTTTGATCCCCCAACAGAAAAAGCGTGCCTGTTTTCATATCACTGTTAAAAGGTACACTGCATTAATCCCATTTACTTCCCTAGTCTTTGTGTAGGTACTTGGGTCATTGTCACATACACAGTATGTTGTTGGATGGGTCCTCGCTCCTCATGCACACATTAAAAACCTGAGGGCTCCTTCTTTTAGCATCTCAGTGCAAATGGAACTGATCATAGTATTACTCTTTTTTAGTAGATACTGACAAAGAGATTACCAAGACAATGTTTGTTAACAGCTCATTTCATCCTGTCACTCTGAAAACAGGAAGTGTGGCAATCTTGTAAGGGTAACAGCTTCTGCTTTTAATGTAACCTAAAGTGCAGCAAAAAGCTTGCCTGCGGGTCCCTGAGCAAACACACAAAGAATGAGAAACTACAGAGAGTTGATTTTACTGCCTTCTTAAATGGCAATCCTCCATTTGATGGACTGAGTGTGTGCCACACACATGACAAACAGGCCTTCCTTTATGTGGGATACAATGGTCTGGTTTTTACAGTTTACTTTTGCCTGCGGCTTTTTCCTTTCTTTTTAAGGGGCACAATTTTCATTTACGTTCCCTATCCTGCAATCCTAACTTCTCACCTGCTACTTGGTTAACCCACCCTGTACTTTCCATAACCCACTTACTGCTGCTTAAAGTGCCCTATCTTCCTCAACTATATGCAGACAGCTAGTATGGTTGTTTAGTAGTTATAGCTCTGGACATTGATAAAGGAGACGTGGGTTCTTTCCCCTACAAAACCTAATGGGGGAAAGATGGATGTCAGCCTGACCTCCTTATAGAAGGGAGAGAACAAAAAGCTGAAACAGAAAAAAAAATCTAGGCAGTTTTGAGTCAGTGAGTCACACATCACTGGGCTGTTATGAGAGTAATTTTTGATGGTTTGAGATCTCCTAACAGAAAAAAAAGACTGGCAGGTATGAAGTGCAACATCAGACTAGAACTACTGAAAATAAGCACACCACAGAGGGGGAGATCAAACTCCAATTTTCAGCGAATACTTGAAATATTCTATTAAGAAACTCTAGTGATGACCAAGACATTGCCAATACCATGCTCCATAAACACAGGATGTGGGTATACGATGGGACACCTGCTCTGTTTGTTGCACAAGACCCCCTCCCCCATCAGGAAAGGGGTCATTCAGCTTTGCATGTATGAAGTTCAATCCCCTTATAGGACCTCATATTAAATGCAGAGAAAAGAACTGTCCCAGAAATCAGTGAGAATCATAGATTACCATTAGACAGACCAAAAGGTCTGACTTCTACAATAGTAGGCCAATTCCTTTATGCTATATTCTTCTATCCATCTCAATTGGAAATTTAGCCTAGTGACACTCGGGAGTCCCTCCTCAGGAAAGGAATATTTTCAGGGAAACAAAATGGTTTGTGTATTTTGAGGATGAGGCTGTGAAATCCAGCAGTGCATTACACTGAAATTTCAGCATGTTACACCAAAAATATGCTAGGCTTAACACGCTAGTGAGTTTCCTAGTTCTTCTGACGTTTTCTGATTTTGTTATTTTCATGCACATCTCACGGAGGCAGCCCTCGTATTTTACTGTTCTTTAGATATCCACATTGTACCCCTGCTATTAATAGCCAAAAACTAAAACAGGATGTCATTAGCACCTGCTCTGCAAACTCTGGCATGAGAAAGGCTGCTTGCTTTTGCACAATGCCCCTCACTCCGGGCACAGGAATAGGGCTGAAATAAAATCCTTGCTCCTAGTGAGTCTGAAACATTTGCCATGCTAAAACAATCCAGTTGTATTAGTTTCTGTCAGAGAAACCATTCTCCCTGGAACTTTCGGCAACAAAATGGATTGAAGATAAGAGGCCATAGTTAACTCTACTCTCCACCACAGCAGATACATGTATATTTGAGGTTGGTGAAATAAATCTAGGTACAAATCTTCATATAATGGACCTATAATTTCCTGAGAAAAACAGAAACGGATGCACACAGTTGGGTTTCAGCCAGCCAACCAACAGCCCAGTGCAGCTACTTTTCCGGTTACAAAAAGAGAGGAAGGGACAAAGCAATGAAACTGACAAACAGAAAAAGTTGGGGCATTTAGTCCTTCCCACCTGAAATCTGACAGGCCTGATCCTTTGGGGGGAATTACAGAATACCAGACAAAATAATGCTATTTGGATGGAAAACAACAAAGTTATAGGCAGCAGATGACCAGATGAGCCTCCAATTGAAATAAATGGAAAGCACCAAACAGGAATGCAACCGAAAGGAATGGAAATAAAATGAAAGACTTAAAATGAATGGGAAAATGAAAGAAAAAATATTGCACACCCCTGTCATCAAGAAAGTTCAAAGATACTGTATCTTGATTTAAGGATGGAAAGATATGTGAGAAAACTTAGGGCAACTATCTGTGAGAAAGAATATGTCTGTGATTATATTTTAGTTTTAGTACAGTAATCTGTATAATTCCCCCCCCCCCCCACGTCTTACTGGTAGAAAAAGTCCTGCTGGGAAATTCCCAGCCATATAAGAGACAATTGTATCTAGAGGGCAGGATCAGGGGAAATCACACAATAAAGCTTTTCAAGTGCCTAAACCTGTTCATCACCCATCAGTTATTCTTCTACTTCTATCATCATACTATATACAACATCTTAGCTTCGTGAAGGAATGCTACCACCAATCTGTCTTCCTCTTCCTATGGATCTACACTTCTAAGCTTCAATACTTATGTAGCAAGTCGAAATCTTGTTTTATTGAAACTAGTTTTATTTGAGAAAAGTGATAGTTGATAAATCAACTAGATTTAAAATATGAGAAACATTTAAAGTTTTATTTAAAGTATTTTCAGTAAAATATACCAGCACAAACTATATATGTATGTGCATGTGTTAAACACTTCAGTTCTGATCATTACAGCCCCTCTGATTTGTCAAGACAGAGGCCACCTGATTCAAAACAATGGAAATGGTAATTCTGGATATATAGACTTCTGGATATATAGACTTGACATCTTAAGATGACATGGCCTCAATTTGGGAATATAACACCTAGCATCACTCATCTACAGCAAATTCTAAATTTCTTAATATTCCACCATCCGTGTTCTAGACTTGCCACCTTGGCTACTGTATCCTTTGACTCACATTGGAGCAGATAAAGAAGACAGGAGCCAACATGTTATGTGTTAAGACGTCAGTATCTCTGTTACGTTAACATTAATGTGTGTATTTCAAATAATGTCTCTGAACCCCAGCCACAGCAAGGAACTGTCCTCTGTGGAGAAAGCAGGACAGGGGCTCATTAGGGTGCAACACAACGATCCTGGCTAAGGTCTGTGTTCCCAGCATTCTTGATATATATAATTCCATTACATCCACCCTGCACCCACCCAAAAGCAAATACATGGCATGATAAGAACAAAACAGCACAAACATGCAATGTGCATTATCATTCTGGGATACTCATGGTTTTGACATATGTAGTTCATGGCCTAGTTAGCCATAGGAGCTTCTTAACCAAAGTATAGCACTTACCTAAAAAGCCATAAATTCATGATATGAGTTATTAAGAGTGGTTGCTTGGAAAATATGAGCTATAGTGATTACTGAAGCATGGGACTAACAAACCGAATGGCTAGGAAGTTAACACCCAGGGCTGCATTTTTTGTGTGATTAGTAAGCCTTTAACATTTTCAAAGTCTTATCCCATAGTGTTCATGGCTATCACCTAACTGATTGAGATTATGATTATTGGAAACCATTTGGAAACTTAGTGGTTTTAGGGTTGTTTTTAAAGATGTACAAACATTCACAGTAAACATATGGGCTGCATGCTGTTACAGTAAATCACCTGATTGCCCCCCCCCCAAAATGGACACAAACTTATTTAGTGGTCAGTGAAAGGGCATGCTGTGGTATATGCCAATCCTGTGTTTAAGGGATCCAGAAACAGGGTAAAAAGGAACTTTTAACAAACACAGAGGCACTTAGTGTCCCATGGCTCACCTCCCACTTCTAGAGCTTGCTTAGCATAAAGACTAATCAATACAGGCATATTTTTTTACTTTCAGTTATTTACAGCAAACTGATGTATTGACTTCCCATTTTCAGCTCAGCATTCTGCCAGAAGCTGAGGGGAATGAAGAAACACGCTGTAGCTTAAAACTTTATTGCAACTTTGATTGTCCAGACATGGCAGCTCACAATGGCCAAGTTAGTCTTCCTATGTGCTGTGCCGATGGACAGGTGGCCAACACAGGCAGAACTGCCACATTTGGAAAAGTGATATGCTGAATGAATTTATCCAAACTCCAAATAGGTTTCATGCAGATTATACCCTGGTACTTTTCAGGCCAGAGAAGTGATGGTTTTGCAAGGTTGCCACTGAAGTATCTGCAATTTCAACACATTTGTGATCTTCCTACATGATCACTGACAGTCATGAACATATCACAAAGAGGCCTATGTGCAAAACTTCTTGGGAACTTTGCTTCAAGACAAATTGGCTGGGTAAATGGCATCATTATTTTAATGCAAATGAGCTTGCACCCTTGTATCATCATGCTTCAACTAGTTTAAAGTGACACTGAACAAAGAAACTATTAATCTGTGTAAACTGCCCAACATTAAGTCGTGTTGCCTCATATTTTAACCATGCTGCACATCTTTATGAAACAGAAGCTCATCTGTATCCACATTATGCGCTAGTGTGAATATTATGAAGTTATAGTTTGTTGAATCTGAAATTGCTTGTTCTTTTTTTTTTATAAGCCAAGATGGGGAGAGTGGGGGAGCCAAATACACAAGTCACACAAGTCATAAAAGATTCAGCCAATGGCTAGGAAAAACTGTTTATTCTTTTCCCCACAGCAGCTGTGTAGTTTATTTATATAAAGATCCAATGTTATCTCCCTCCCATTGCTGTTCTTCCAAAAGTATGTGGGGGAAGAAGATCTGAAACATAGCAATTAGATGTATTGGAGATTCAAAAATAGTTGTTTGCTTGGGGGCTGACTTTTCTGGAACTAAAGGAAGCCACCCAACAGGATCAAGCAAGCTATCTATCTTGACAGGATGAGAAGGGAGGAGAAAGCCCTACTTGTAGTTCAAAAAGTGAGTGAAAATTTGACTATTCTTCCTATTAGTTCAGCAGAAGGAAACTGAATGGTTCGAGCAAAAGGGGAGGGCAGCCACACTGCAACTGTGTGACAAAATAAAGATGAATGGAAATGGAAAGAAGCGGATGAATGAATGAAGGAGGGGGACAGAAGTGGAGGAAGAGAAAGGGTGTCCTCACCCGCTTTGCCTTCAGACTAGACCATTGGCAGTAGTTATGTGGCCCCCAATCATTTTTACTTGAAAGAACACCCACAACTCCCAACTGGGTTGCCTATCACTGGAAAAAGGCTTTTTGCTATTGGCCAAATCCACACATCTAAAATTAGAGTTGCCTGGAATCAGTAGGCTTGAATCTAAAAAGGAGATACACACACACACACACACACACACACACACACGCACTAACTTTGATAATTTAATTTTTGTGAAAGCTGCCACATACTTTGACAAGGGGATGGACAGAGATGACAGTCATAAGATTCACCTCAATCTTTAGTTCAATCAAACCCAACTCTGCTCCATCAGAATTACTACTCCTGAAGAGGATTGACAGATCTTTAAGAAATACTATTATTCAAGCCTTTATTGCTACTTAACTTGCATAAGAGGCAGACCAAGCATTATTTGAGATGGAAATGATGGGTCAGTGTCTAGCCCACTATTAATTTTTCTGATGTACTTGATCTCAAAACACTGGAGAGCCTAGGTCCCTTTACTTCACCTGTATATTGTTGCCTACATTATGTTCTTTATGAAACACTCTATTGCCATTTTGTCTACAATGCTGCCTGTATCATCTTTGGAATTTTGTCCCACAAATTAACTATTTCAGAATGTAAAAAGAACCACCTTGGATCAGACCAAAGACCTACCTAATTCATTTCCCTCTTTCCCTCATGAGTCACACAGAAGCCTGTGGAAAGCACAGTAGCCCTCTCTGACATGCTTCCTTTGATCCTTGAGGTAGTTATGTATCTATTATGGATGAGAAGAAGACATCCAACTGGAGATGTTGGACTCTCTAGGCATTATTTTGAGAAGCAAAAATATTGATCAGGTTGATGGACAAAGGGGAAAGCTGTCAGCAGAGCAATTATTGTAGAATATTCAAGCACCACAACAAAACTGATAGCATGAGTTCTTTTTTTAAAAATAAGATTCCTCTTACTGATTTCAAAACCAGGAGACATTGTTTCCATAAAATCTGGCTCTCTGTCTTTGGAAGGGGAGAAGACACTTTATGTAACCATGCATTTTCCTTTTGTATGGCTTGGCAGAACCAAGCTTTGTTTGGAACAAATTTCATGCTACAACTCTTAATAGTGGGTGTCTCCTCAAAATACCCGGCTCTGAGGTGACTCATTGATTTGCCTCCTATGGCAAATCTGCACGAAGAGCATTGTTGTCTAGAATGCCTCAAGAAGATTTCAAACACCACCCTAGAAAACTTATGTACAGACATGCACAGTTATGAAACCTTCATACACTGCACCCAGCCTTCAACATCTTCTTATAAACATTGAACTTAATGGGATTTAGTCAGAGAGGTTAAGGTGCATACTTCCGTCAAAAAAGGTCTATGAAAGCCCATTTCCTTTCAGTGAACATTCAATCAAAATATTGTTGGGGGGGAAGTGACCACCAAATTATTTGCTGCTGAAATACTGTAGTACCATAAAATAAAACAGATTTCTGTTAACTTTGCTATTTGAACCTTGGGTTGTTTTTTTCACATGGAAAGGAGACTTCAGATTTCCTTTAGAGGAGGAAGAAGAAGAAGAAGAAGAAGAAGAAGAAGAAGAAGAAGAAGAATAATTTGGGCTTGATATCCCACCTTTCACTCCCCTTAATGAGTCTCAAAGTGGCTAACAATCTCCTTTCCTTTCCTCCCCCAAAACAAAGACTCTGTGAGGTGAGTGAGGCTGAGAGACTTCAGAGAAATGTGACTAGCCCAAGGTCACCCAGCAGCTGCATGTGGAGGAGCGGAGAAGCGAACCCAGTTCACCAGATTACGAGTCCACCGCTCTTAACCACTACACCACGCTGGCTCCACTACACATGAATTTACCTATTTCACAGAAAGAAGAACATATTTTATGGGGCCTCTAGTTCTAAACGCTACTTTTCAGTGCTTTTTTTCTAGAAAAAAATGTGCCAGAAATCACCATGAACGCCTTTTCTCTTATAATGGTGAAGGCACCCACCTGGTAGGTGCCGGAACTGAGTTCTGCTGAGTTCCAGCTCGGAAAAAAAGCCCTGCTACTTTTAAATGCTAAGAAACCCTTTATGCCTCCAATAATTATTGTGGATTAAGCTATGGAGAGTACATCTGTGTTCAACACATCAGGTATAGTTTAGATACTTGGATTAGTATATTCCTTTACAAACAAAAAATGAGTAACACCCAGAGTTCATTCACCTGTTCTAGATCCGTCATACCCATTATCTCTTTTAAATACCAACATTTAGTTTGTGAACCACCAAGTTGGCATTTTACAGTACTTAATTCATTCCGGAGGTCCATTCTTAACCTGAAACTGTTCTTAAGCTGAAGCACCACTTTAGCTAACAGGGCCTCCCGCTGCCGCCACGCTGCCGGAGCACAATTTCTGTTCTCATCCTGAAACAAAGTTCTTAACCCGAGGTACTATTTCTGGGTTAGCGGAGTCTGTAACCTGAAGTGTATGTAACCTGAAGCGTATGTAACGCGAGGTACCACGGTACTGTATTCTTTCAAAATGCTACTTCAAACTTTCTGGATTTCATAATCATATTAAAGCAAAGTGGAACCCAGAAGGTCACTAAATTCTTTGCCACATCTGGACCTCAATGTTATACTCTCAAAGGACTTAATGTTTAGGGACATGTTTCAAGACAAATCCTCTTGGCATAGTAAATAAATACTTTGCAACAGAGATGCATCAAGGCTAATTGTCTTGACTGCTGTTCAGTCAGCTGGTTCATGAATGCTAGGAGCACTTAGTTGTTTGCACTTCTCCTAATCTGCTACAATAAATTCTTTTGCCCTAACAAAAGATGAAGAGAAAGGGGGGAGGGGGATGTCATAACAGAGATATTTTGGGGGTGGGGGGGCAGGGAGAGGGCTAGGAAATATGAGCTGTTCCCAATGTTCTCTGTTTGCTGGTACAAGTGCTCATGCACTAGCAAACAGGTGAGTTTTAATGCAATAGTTGCACTAACAGAATCTTGTTGCACAACAGATTGTGCAACCAAGTCATCAGCAACCTGCTTATGCATTCACTTGTGCAACAACATTCTACTGATGCAAACAAATGTACCACTAAAGGAAGCATAAGAGAAGCCATGGAAGCCTAGTAAGAAACTAGTTTTATGAAAGGACATTTTAAGATGGTGTTAGACTGCCAGCATGTCTCATAGTCAAAGCCACCATTCCCCTCCCACTCATACCTATTTCCTCTGGATTAGCAACCCAGGGACCCTCTGGAATTCCTCAGTGGGCTGAATTGGACTCTGAAGCCTTCTATTGCCAACCACTCCTTTAGAACAACTGTGAGGTACATTTGTTCATTCAAGACTCCAATAATCAGAGTTTCGATAACTTAAGCTGCCTTATCTCAATTTTGTCTACTGTTCCTGACTTGGCTCATAAAGCAATATGCTTCAGAACTGCAATTTATAAACCAGATTCACAAAAGCAGCTCCCTTGATGACCACTACACTGCAGTTTAAAATATTTTTCCAGACAACGTTGCATTGTTATTGGTAGAATCCACTAGAAATTAAATGGAAAAATTACTCTAACTGTCTGCTCAGAATTTAGCTCCAGGCTCAGAACTTTGGCGCATGGCGTTGTAAATATTTTAAATAATTCAGGAACATGCCTGCAGGGACATATACAAGCAGCAGAGAAAGACTAAAGAAACATTGCCTGCTAATGGATATTACAGTGGGCGTTAGAAACTCCAGGTTCCAATTCCAGGCCTCTTTAGCTTTAAGTGCTTTTCACAGCAACATGTGCATGTGAAAGCCCCTTTCTAGCCAGGAAGACTTACTGGGCTATGGAAATTTCCAAAATCAAACTAAGGAAAACTGCACTATTGCTCTAGGCAACAACTGAGAAAAAGCAACACACAGCAAATTGTCATCACCTCCACCTCATTAAGACCATTTTTAATTGTCATGCTAAAGCTTATAGATTGTGCACTTCCTTGATTACTTTCAGAAGTGGCCAATGGGATGGAATATGGGTGGGGAAGCACACAATGCAATATCATCACAACATGGGGAAGTGATACCACGTTACAGGGAGGACTTGGGGTGAGCTTGCCCTTTTAAGCAAGAGCATTCCTACATCACCCACAATGCACCGTTCTAAGCTAAATTAGGCTGGCTGTACAGCAAGACTGGCTTGTACTCCTAGTTGCCAAGGTCACTTCCAAGTGTGCAGGTCTTCAACTGGTAGGTCACAGTCATAATGCGGCTTCAACCGAATTGCGTTCAGTGGTGCCACAATAATTCTTTGGAGATCGTCCCAAGTATTGGTGTTGGGGGAAATTGGATGGGGGGTTTTTGGTAAGGATTTTTACTCTAAGTGCCTGTCCATCGTAAAACCAGAGTAGCAAATCTGATGCCTTAGTATACCAGAAGGTAGGTAGACAACAACTCATTGGTGGTCCACTGCTCATATGCACCTGACCAACTAGTACCTGCTGGCGGCTGGAATTCTTTCCAAAAGATGTTGCACTAGATGAAACTAGACCTAATCAATCAAGGATGACAGTGAGACAGATTACTTCTACAATTTTTATACTGCTTAAGTCTATATACAGGACTCTATATGATGAACACGTTAGACCAGTTGAGGCCCCCATGCTAAATGCCATGTTCCTGTTGCATGAGACTGCCCATGCAAAAAGAACTAGAAGAAACGGAGCAGGACTGAAAAAGCACCTGAATTTTTGCTCACCTGTAACTCAGTACAGAGAATCATTAGATAAATTAAAAATGAGGTTAGTAACCATAGCAATTATCACAAGGGTTTTTTCTGCTCTGACGAAAAAGTATAGGATAACATGCAAATGTCTTAACCGAATTCTCCCATTTCATTCCACGTTGTCAAATGTCATGGACACCACTGCAAAGTGAAGGTAAGATGTTGCTGGCTAGGGCAAAGTCAACAGCCATCTTTCACCTCCCGCCCCCATTACATGTTGATTAATATTGTTATTGCATATACTATTCTTGAAAAACATTACAATAAGGAACTTGGCATTCTTGCATACACTCAAGTTCACTGAGACTACAGCAGGTTGACAACTTAATGAAAAACCCATTCACAAAACAAAGTTCTACCTGGTGACTAGTCATAATGTAAGCAGAGTGCACCCATTCAGTATAATTCTGTAAATCGTGATAACAGAATTGTACCAGCCTTCCTCAACCTGGTGACCTCCAAGTGTTGCTAGTTGACCATCATCCCTGACAACTGGCCATGTTGGCTGGGGCAGATGGAAGTTGCAGGGCCCCAGATTGGAGAACACCCCAACTAGTATGAAACTCCATTGCAATACTCTGTCAGCTAAAATGAAAAATCACACCCATTAATACTACAGCACTCACTAAGCATACTGATTACAGAACAGTGGAAATCTTAGTCCTATATTCAGTCTCCAAACCTAACATTCCTATGGGAAACTGAACGGACTAACCACTACCTTCAGGTTTAAAATGAGCACTATTATTGATTTGCAGGAGGCAGTGGAAGAGGAGTGCCTGGCCTGCTCTGGTCCATGGGGTCACGAAGAGTCGGACACGACTAAACGACTAAACAACAACAACAACATTGATTTGCAGATGCAAGAAAGCCTCTCCTCTGCACAAGTGAGGTGTTTTAACTTTTAAGTTATCTGCTGCGAATTTAAGAGCAAGCCAGGAAGTCAGTCTGCCTGCAGTATTACATGGTACCATAGCAACACTGCTAGAAATATCAACATAGCAAACATTTTCAAACAGGGGGAGAATGGTTTGAAGGATGTTGTTCTGTGTACCATTGGACCCCTCATGTTAAGGTTAACTCCCTATTTTTTCCAGATTAAATTCCCTATTTTTTCCAGATTAAATATTGTTTAATTCCTCTCCCCACCCTCACAGTTTTGCCTGATCAGGATTTCTTCGGTTCCTTTCCTCCTCCACATATTTGATTAGTTACCTGTCTCAACAAGCTCCTGTGTGAAATAACTCACTAGAACATGCTAATTGACTCATCTTTCTGGCAACATGAGGCATTTGCTGGAAGACACACACACTTTTTCTGTATCTGGTCTCACACTATGGTGCCAAATACTATCAGACTGGAGCTATGGCATTTTTGCTCAGTAGTTGGCATCCATCTGTCACAGGAGACAATGGAGGAATGAGTCTTTGGGGTGAGGTTAATATAATATAATATAATATAGGGATGGTTTGCACATCACACTAAGCCAAAGTATGGTTTAGGAGGACTGAACAAATGATCTTGCTAAACCACAGTTTGGCTTAGTGTAGGGGTTCCCAAACTGTTGTTTGTGGGCCACTGGTGGTCTGTGAACTTCACTCATGTGGTCCATGGCTGCCTGTGAAGAGCAGTGGATATGGCAGCTGCTCCATTGTTCTATGAACCCAATGGTCCATCCACAAGGTGACCAAAAATGACCTGAGGGGTAGAGGGAAAGGAGCAGAGAGGGGGCTTAGGTACAGGAAAGACAGAGCGAAAGGAAGTAAACAAATAAAAGCAAACAAAAGAAGCAATGCAATTAGAATTATATAGCTTCTAGCACAGTGAATTGCTACAACAGACAGAAAAATATTTAAATTGTCCACCAAAACCCTCAGCAATTTTCAAGTGGTCCATGGGAGTGTAGTTTAGGAACCACTGGCTTACTGCCATGTGTGAACCAGGCTACTAAGTTAGAGTTTAATTCCCAACAGCTGCAGGTTGGTCTGTGTCAGTGTTTTAATTCTTATTTATTTATTTATTTATTTATTTGGTGATGTTAGAGCTATATCTGGTTATATTTATTTATGGGATGCATTTTGTTGTTTTATTCTTTATTGTACATTGTCCTAAGCTCCCTTGAGAGCAATTCAATAAAGAAATATTACAAATTCACAAGCCTTATGCATTCTTGTCCTAGCAGGTAAATTATTTTTTGAATCTGGCCTCTGTTTACAACAGATTCATAAATTGTTGATTTATTTCGAAACAGAAATTGATACAATTGCAGCCATAGACCAGGATTGTTGAGGAACCACTGCCCTTAGTCTACTTAGAAGGCTGCACTGGAATTTGGACCAACAGTCTTCCACTAGGATTAAAGTTCCCAACGTCTGTTTTAGGAGCTCATAATAATTGCTGGAAGAAAAAAGTCAACAGAAGGAGAACTAAAAGGAAGACGACAGGATGAGAGGAACATAAAAGTTAGCTATAATGTACCTGCAAATTAAAAATATCATATATATAAATGGACACACACACAGAGAGAAAGAGAGTTGATCTATATAAAGTATCATATATAACATTACTGTTTGGTCAAGAAGCATCATATAACCCTTAGTACATCCGTCTGTGTTAGAAGATTCAGTGCCATAATCCTATGCATCTCAGAATTACAGTCCCTATTGAATTTCATTATAAGACAGAGCACCACACAACCACCCACAACAAGAGACCTTAGTATTAGGTTGCAGGTTCAGTTTCACTGTAACATACATCCCTGGTGATTAGTCTGCATTTGGAGAGACAAAAGGGTCAAGTGCTAGGAAAGCCAGCATGATTTCCCCTGCACAGTTCTGTTGAAATAATGAGAGGTTATAGATCTTTGAAAATTTGCATCCCCCAAATATACAGCTTTTTCTTTTCTTCTCAGAAGTCTCCTGTATGCAGAACCTCCCCAAACAAAGCTGATGCTCTTGGCATTCTGTATGTCTCCACAAGAGTTGTACAAAGGCCATATTTAAAGGCTGCACCTGTTTCCCCCCTCCAATAACAATCCCAGAAGATTCTTGGAGGTGCAGGAAAAACTCCATCGACACCGAGAGACCCATGCTTAACCAAACAGCTTGCATTTAAAACCTGGAGTCAGGGAGCATTTAGTTTATGTGATTCACAATTGTGGCAGAAATAGGAAAAGCTTCCTATTTGTTACATACAATATGCAATTATTCTCACCCTTCCTACCATAAGCAATCAGCTTCATTCCAACAGCCCAGCAATCAGCAGGAGGTTCTTAAGGTGATCAAGTGCTTTTGAGATTATCAATTACCCTTTTGTAAATCATCTGCTCTTTTACCCTATTAGGACATGATTTGTTCCTAAATCCTTTTTACCATAATTTGACATTCACTTCCTTAAGAATGCTGGGTGCTGCAAGGGGCAAGTTACTCCCACTGTTCAGTACATGCCATGCCCGTCATTCTGTTAAACCTGCCAACAATAATCCGTGCCAAAAGTAATCATATAGTTTTAACAGTCCCTCTAATGGTGACGGCAACAATTTCTTAAAAGTCTTAAATTATACCCTCCAGCCACCCAAAAGCCAGGGGAGGGAGAAGCTAGCTACTTACAATTTCCATTAAATGCAATGTGATTCTACACACAGATAGCAAGGAATAATTTATCTAGAATGCCAGTCCCCACAACACAGGAATTCGGGGAGCGCGGAGGGGGGGTTATAGAAACTATGCCGTGATGACCTCTGTTTGTAACAGAAAATGTCATTATTAGTAAAGAAAGTTAGAAGGGAACAACTACTTCACTTACAATATGTTCAGCGTACTTCTGGTATAGAACAGAGAATGAACCAACCTTTATAATCTAGTGGAACTCATTGTCACAGGATGACACTGAGAAGATCTTGACTTTTCCACATGAGACAAAGACATGTGAAAAGTGTTCAAAAGCATAAGGCAGGGGGTGGGCAACCTTTATGTCCTCTGCATTCATTGTCATGCACACACAGACACACATCCTCACTCGCAGGTGCACAAACACACATATTCACTTACATTTGCGAGAGTAGTTTCAGTGGAGTGCAAAGGGTGAAAACCAGATTAGTGGCAGATTAAGAAGTTGGCTGGAGGAGAGAAAATTGAAACGGTAGACTCCAGGGGTTTGAAGGTAAAGGTAGTTGCGAGATGGCACATTAGTTGGAGAGGGAAGATGGGTTTGAGGTGGTTTGTATGTTAAGAACATGAAGACAATGGCATACTTAAATGCAATGTGGAAGGAGTCACAAGAGAGACAATGGTTGATTATGTAAAGGAACGGAGGGATAATGGTGAGGAGGAAGATGGCAATCAGGAAATGGAAGACAGAATCAAGGTGGGATGTTGAGGCATTAGATGAGCACATGGGCCAGTCAGTTCCTCAAGTGAGACAAAGGGGGAGGAAAGGAAGAGGAAGATGGAGGAGAAGGGGCAATTTGCAGAGCGGAATGGAGGAAGAGAGATCACAGCATATGGTTTCAATTTTAGAACTGTAGGAGATGGCAACGTCTTGGACAGAGAGCACAATGTGGAGAAGAAGTGGGACAGACCTAGGCAGATCATCAAATGATAGAGAAGAGGCCCTGAGGATTCCTAGAAGTGGGGAGAGTCAGAGAAATACAGCTGTGTTGTTTGGCTAGGTAGATGGCAGATGAGGAGAGCATGGATCTGTAGCTAGCTCTTACATTCTCATCCAAAGGTGTTCAGCTGCATGATAACATGAATGAAGATATTATGGTTTATTTATATACCACCTTTTGGACTGAAGGCCGTCAAAGCAGCAAACAGAATATTAATACAATATTGAATGGAGGCAGGGAGCTTTGCTCTGAACGCTAGTCTGTAGCCCAGAATCTGGACACAGCTTTGGATGCTTAAGGCCTGGACCTCAGAGATGCTCTTCAGTTTCTCAAGAAGCCAAATACTCAATTTTATCTATCAAATGTTGTAGACTGGTACATCTTAGAAAAGAACAGAACCTACTGTTGGAATACTGCTAGGAAGACGGGGGCATCAGGCAGGCCCCCAGCTGGCTCCAGCCACCGGCCGGCAGCCGGTCTCCCTTGGAACAGCATCAAACAGCGACACGAGCCTCAGATACGTTTAGAGACCCGGGCACGCTGTGTCAGCAGAGTGTGTAAATCATCTCACAGCAGAAGAGGCAGACAGAGAGATGTGTAAGCATAACGTACAGCATTTTATTCAGCGTAGTTCAGGAACAGAGGAACATGTCAGCTTCCCTTCAGGAACATGTCAGCTTCCCTTTGTCTCCAGCAAAACAGCAGTAACACAAAAGCTATATACAAACGGAAGTTCCCAGCAGACTGTGCTGGAAGTAAACAGGCTTGTGACACACAACAGTCATGTCTGTACCCTTTTAAGGTGGAACGGAACTATATCCTAACACCTACAACCCCATCTACTTCTTCATTTGTACACAATTACATTTGAATCTACCTGCTTAGGGTTGCAGCTGGGACACAGCCAGATACAGGAATTGCCCATGAGCACAATGCTGCAACTCATGGAACTGCATTGCCACCAGGGTTGAAGCATGGATCAGGCACTGGTACAGCAACATGGAAGACCTTCCACTCTACTTGTTTATTCATACCAGCATAAGCTCAAACAACTTGTCTTGTTGCTTTCCAGAGATATTTCTCTTAGGTTGGCCATCAAGCAGAGCAAGGAATAAACTATAGGGACGCGGGTGGCGCTGTGGTCTAAACCACTGAGCCTAGGGCTTGCTGATTGGAAGGTCGTGGTTCGAATCCCCGTGAAGGGGTGAGCTCCCATCGCTTGGTCCCAGCTCCTGCCAACCTAGCAGTTCGAAAGCACGTCAAAGTGCAAGTAGATAAATAGGTACCGCTCTGGCAGGAAGGTAAATGGCGTTTCCATGCACTGCTCTGGTTTCGCCAGAAGCAGCTTAGTCATGCTGGCCAAATGACCCAGAAAACTGTCTGCGGACAAATGTTGGCTCCCTCAGCCAGTAAAATGAGATAAGCGCCACAACCCCAGAGTCGTTCACGATGGGGCTTAACTGTCAGGGGTCCTTTACCTTTACCTTTAAGCTTGTTGATACATACTGAACGGTCATAGAAGGTATGCCATGAAGCTCAGGAAAAGACAGTCTAGGTCTAACTGACCTTGCCCCAAACTTGACTTTTCAGTTTTTCAGCAATTCTCACACAAAACAGAATGCAAATAGTTCATGGTATCAGTGAAAGAGAGAAACCAACCCCCATGTTCCAGGCTTAAGTCCAAAGTCACTAATGATTTCAGAATTTCTTAAATGGAGGCAAATTATCCCACATAATGGACTGTGAGTTATCTGTGTGCTCTTGCACCCTCCTCTGAAGCATCTGGTGCATTTCAGAAAGAGGAAATTTTGGCTAGATAGGCCAACTCATTGATATTGTCTGGCTGTTTCTACATTTTTAGCCTCCACACAAAAAGAAAGGAACAACATGTGCACTGGTGTAGAAACATATAAAAGATTTTGATCTTTTAGATTGCCTACAGACATGACTCAGTCAAAGCCTTTTTTTAAAGGAAAAATGGCAGCAGATGAGGCAGGTTATTAAACTAACCTAAAGAAAAATCCCTTCTGGTTCACAGGAAATCCAAAGAGAATAGCTGGGTAGGAGGAGGAAAGAAGCAGGAAAAGAGGAGACTGTGGCCTGCACTGTGGAACAGCACCAAACCACGTGGCAAGAATAGATCTGTAAAGTATGCTTGCAACGCTTTTTAGAAAGATGAGCCCCAAACAATTATTCTTTCTGGCACCGAAAGGGCACAAAAATCAATTGAAATACATTTCTCCACAGACAGAAGCAGACGACCACTGAGGTATGACATCACTTCCTCCTCTAGAGCTAAAAGCAGCTTTAGGCTCAAACTTCTATGCAAGGGATTTCACCCGATACTTGTTTTACACTGATCCAAATCTTTCAGTGCTTTAGGGTTCCTTTTCCAGTGCAAATTTTAGACTCCTGTCTAAAATGTCTTTCCCTTAGACAAACCTAGCTGGCTGGTTAACCAATGTAGTATAGAAACAATCCTTTCTGTGGGAGTGACTTCCCTCTTACTGCTTCAGAGTTATCAACCCTGATCCTGCTTCAGTGCCTCGGTCACCATGTAATGATAATGAAGGGGAAGGAGAGGGTCACTGCGGGCAGAAGAACCTGTTTACTTCCTTTTTATAAAAGCAAACAAGCTTGGAGAAGCTCACTCTGGTACTGGAGGGACAAGAGCCAACTGCCCAGGTTAAAATGGGCTTGTAAAGATGTGAAAATATTATTGAAGTCAGGGACATTGTTGTGCGCAAGAGTGTAGCCCTACTGCTATCTTTTCCTTTAAAAAAAATGACTACATGAGCACTTGTGTGGCTAAGCAAAGTTTCAAATCTGCACCAGGATACAAAAGTATCATGGACACTATCCAGAATATAGCTGGGAATGTCACACTGATGTGGATGGATGTGCACGTATAATTTGTCATAGCAGCATGGATCTGAGTCTACATTAAAATTTTCCATGGTACAATTTATCATAATTTGCAAAACTAGTTTTAATCATGATGGGACATGAAAGGTAGGGGTGGAATATGCCAAGGCAAGGAAGCCTCTATTACCTCCAAGTCCTTGAAATCATATCATAAACACAAATACATAGCTGTCAACTTACAGATTTGAAAATAAGGGACCAGCAGCCTTGAAAATAAGGGACCAGCAGCCAAAATAAGGGACCTGCAGCCTCACCTGTTCCAGGCACTCCAGTCTTCCTGTCCTCCTGCAGTCTGGTCAAACTCATGCTGGGTAGCTTCGAGAACACTGTCCAACCAACTTTGTAACCAGAGGTTCAACTGAATAGAATCTGAATCACATGCACCACAAGGCCTATGCAGCCTCAACTTAAGATGGCTCCCCGGCCTGGCTTTGCACTGCAAAGTTTGCAACAGCACATGCAACAAAATGGCTTCCAGCATTCAAAAACCTCCTCAGCTTTCATTAACTAGCCACACACAAGGCATGCAAGCTTCACCCCCCCAGTCGTTCTTAGACTTCTTATTGGGTGAGCAACACAGCCAAGCAACACAGTTGGAGCCTTCCTCCTTCCTGGCCGGCAGGGAGGGAGGGAGAGGAGCTGCTTCCTTTGAAATTTAAGGGACATCATTTAAGGGACATTTAAGGGACATCCATCAATAAGGGACAGCAGCGGGACATGGCGCTGGAATAAGGGACTGTCCCTTCAAATAAGGGACACTTGACAGCTATGCAAATATATTGATAGAATTGGAACAACTGCAAATATGTGCCTAATCTTCATATTGCTTCATAGCATTCTCTTTTGGAATAGATATAGTCCTGAGAGTAACACAGGCGTCGCCTCACTTATGTGGGGGTTATGTTCTGGGCCATCGCGTGCGTAAGTTAAACTGCATAAAGTGGGGAGCACCTTCTAAAATGCCTCTAAATGCCTATTTCCCCCAGCTCTCCAGCTTTATCTCTGCTCCCTCTCCAATTGGTACCAAAATATCTAGAGTTGAAGCTATGGGACGAACTGGAGAAGGCGTGAGAAAGCAGCAGCAGCGGTGGCTATGCCACCTCGCCCATCAGCCATTAGGCAGGGAGGCTGAGCAGCTTAAAGAAAGCCCCACTGCACCTCAGGTGTCTTTGGGGTTTCATCCGCCCTCAGAGTCTCCTTTCAAGCTACAAGGACTCTTCAGCTCTCTCCCACCATTTCCTGGCATGATTCTATTTATTTATTTCCCAGCACCATGCCTATATGTGGTAGCATGCAAGTAGAACACGCCTAAGTGGGGGAGGAGTGCTTGTATAAGGCTGGACAGTATATGGTTGTTGACCTCTTGCTAAAAGCCTAAGGCTGAAAGTCTAAGCCTCAGGGTGAAAGTCCGGAGGGAGGCAACACGAGAACGGGCCTTCTCTGCAGTGGCTCCCCATCTGTGGAATGCTCTCCCCAGGGAAGTTCGCTTGGCGCCTTCACTATACACCTTTAGGCACCAGGCAAAAATGTTCCTTTTCAACCAGGCCTTTGGGTGATCTGATTTACATCCCATACTCTTTTAAGATGTGGCTCTTTGGAGGGGGGTATTATTGGGTTATTGCTTTTATTTTAATTTTACATACTGTAATCTGTTTATGTGAACTGCTGAGAGACCTCCGGGTATAGGGCAGTATATAAATTCAATAAAGAAGACGAAAACGAAGACGAAGACGAAGAAGAAGAAGAAGAAGAAGAAGAAGTGATCCTTAAAGATAAAATGTTAAGTATTTTTTAATAAAATAAAATAGAACATTGTTTTGTTTCAGATATGGTATTTTTTCTGTTCAAAAGTATCCAGCTCTAAAATGAAACCTAAATTTAATAGAAATATGCTGACATTTATCTGACTCGTCTGTTAAAGAGAAATGGGTGGTTCTCCATCAACGTGTTCATTAATATTTTATATAAAAGCATTAGGAGTGGCAGGGGAAAAAGTTTTAACTTTTGAGATTGAGCATTATAGACACAACAAAAGCTTATGTATTGCTCTTCTTGTGATCTTCCTACTGGACCCGGGGACTGACACAGGTGCTAGGACCCAGGAGACACAATCCTGAATCATCCCAAAACCCTTCTTGGGCCTTTTTTCCCCTTCTTCTCTTCTTTCTTACCGCCCCCCCACCTCCTGCAACAAAAAAGCTTGAGTACTGCAAAGTGTTCATTTCTCAAAATTATGAATATTTATGACTCTACCAGCTAAACAGCTTCAGCATTTACTTTCACTGTTCTGCCCAGTAACTATAAGCCATTACTTCTGGAAAGTTCTGAGCACTTAATCCTCAGAGTAAGTGATCTCGCTCAATGCATGTGTGCAAAGGAACCCATTAATTTCACAACTGTCCCCTTTTCCTCATACATGAGTAAAAACCACTGTGTTTTAACTGTCACACATACTAATTTGCTGCTGCATACGTTCAGGAAATATGCAGATTACAACACGGGAAGCTGGATTTATATTGCTCTTTTTGTGGCAATTTTAAATCTCCATGATTTAAACTGAATCCACCCTGCTAAGCCTTCATTTAGTCATTACAGTCACTGCAAATACACTGCATGGTAGAAGCAAAAAGGGCAAGATCAGCTTAATTCATTTTGTTTTGTTGTAACCTCATAATTCTAAAACCCATGTAAAACCAGAGGAGCAGACAAAAATTTCCCTCATATTAGATTTACATGACTATATGGAGAAGTGGAATATGCCCATCAGCTCTGAGAATCATAATTACATGTATATGCAAGTTAGCCAACAGTCTCTGACTCATTATATCCACACCAGGATAAAAATCTTCCAAGCAATAATGCATTTTTTAAAAAAATTAAACAAAACAGTGGCACAGTCTCACAAGACTTAATGCGCTGACGAAACAGTTCAATGTCATTCATTCAGTTTAGCAACCGATCTCACACACCCTTTGAGAAGGTAGATGTTCAGAAACATTACATGTGAAGGACAACTACAGGGTCTCTGCGAGACTGCTGTTCCCTGAATGTTAACAGGTGTCAAAGTCAAGCACTTGGACGACAATGAAGGGATCAGAGTTTGAAAGAGGAAAATGACATAAAGATAAGCTTTCAAGCCATTGCAACTGAGCAAGGCTACCCATGCACTGCAAATGAATGAATGCCTCTAGAATATCATTAAATGCTGATAGCTAGAAATAGGTTTTGCATACAGATTCTTAGGGGGGGGGGGGTTTGCTACAGAATTGCCATACAGCTCGTTACCTTTGCGGCAAATTTGCTCTGAGCGCTCCTAAATAAGGTGGTCCTGGCTGTGAAAAAACAGTCCTCCAAGTCTTCATCCAAACTACAGTAGCCACTGCTCATGCTGTTGTCGACCGTCATCCGAGAGGGGATCCCGGGTCCTGGGCGCACGTGAAGCCCTCCAGTGAGCCAGAGAGCCAGGTAACCATCGGATTCTCCGCTCACTGCGGCAGCAGCGCTATTTCCCAATCCAGTTCCAGGCAATCACAGCAGCAGCAGCAAGCAAGCAAGCACGGCTTCAGCCTCTCCAGCTCCCACTTGCCATGCTTTGCAACAGTTTTCCTCTGCTGAGCAAACCCGGTGACGTCTCCTTTAAGGGAGAAACGAGCCTTGCTGGGGATCACCTCTCCTCTCTTCAGCCACCAACCTCCCTTCTCGGACTAAGCATTGCCAGAAGTGGAGAGGGTGGTGCCAGACCCCAAGGGGCTTCTTTGCTACTGCTACTGCTGCTGCTGGTGGTGGTGGCTGCTCACAAACTCAGTCCCCATCCGTGGCTTGATTCTCCTGCCTGCAGCCCACGGAGGCTGGTTGCGAGAACGGCATCACCTCCCTCCTTCTCCCCCACCCCTTCCTGCTTGCTTTCTGTCGAGCAGAGTTGAGCCACTTCCTCTTGCAAGATTTCTCACGCAGTTTCTGCAGCGGGTTCTTAACGGGGAGGTTGTCAGCATCTCAGCTGATTTTGATTGGCACCGTTTGAGACACACACAGAGAGAGAGAAGTCGAGTTACACCATCAGGGGAGGAGACAGCCTGCTCCTAGCTCCTCAGTGTCCATAACAACATTCACAAAAGGTAGGGACAGAGATGAGAGCAGCTGATTAAAAATATATCACTTAACCAACCTCCAATGCACTGCTCTCCAGGTGCATATCCTTTGGTAATTTAATGCATTCCTTATCTTGCATGAAAGCTGTCCAAAACCAACCTCATCCATTTCATCTTTGCCCAGAAACTGCTTTAACTAGTTTTGGTAAAAACAAACAAACCTTACAGTGGTAAAAGCTAGGAATGGTCATGGGGTGTGGTGAGGCAGAGCAAGGCTACTTAGAAGTCTACAAACAGCACCTCCCATTCACTTTTAAAAGTAGAAGTTAAACATCTATTGGAGATTTAAAAACAAAATACTAATCTCTAGAGACACAATATGCCACCTGTCATGATGGTGCTTCTACACTCAGTCCCAGCCCTGAAAACTAACCAGTTGGATTGGTGCAAAATGAGAGAGAGATGGATAGATTCCCCTAGCAACACACCAGTGAAGGAACCAGCCAGTGCCTCTTGTGTTCTGCAGCTAATTTTAGAACAGTCAGGATGATTTTTCAGCATAGCTGGCACAAAAAGAAATGGCAGTTTTGATCATAACCTTAGCAATCGCCATTCATCAGGTTAGATTTTTCCATTTGTCACCTATTGCTATGTTAGAGGCACTTGAAGCACAGTTCTTTTGAGCATAAGTCAGAAAACCCAGAATATTTTACTGCCTTTGATTTCTCAAGGTTAGGCTGAAGTCCTGCTCTGAACCACCTTCCTTCCTTCAGCATCTGAGCTGCCAGGTTAACTGTCTCCAAGAATACTGGCATGTGCTTTGAAACAAAAGCCTACCCCCCTGCCCACCCCCACCCCCAAATTCTCCACAGGCCACCTGTCCAGTTACATAAAGTTCAGCATGCGCCTTCCTTTGCAAAAACTTTGCTTCCACAACCAACACCTCATAATGCTGTTGAAGGGAAAGATAAGTCTCCCAGTGCAGCAGGGTTAGCTGCCACTTCTCACTCCTGTTTAAAGGTAAAGGTAAAGGGACCCCTGACCATTAGGTCCAGTCGTGGACGACTCTGGGGTTGCAGCGCTCATCTCGCTTTACTGGCCGAGGGAGCCAGCGTACAGCTTCCGGGTCATGACTAAGCCGCTTCTGGCGAACCAGAGCAGCACATGGAAACGCCGTTTACCTTCCCGCCGGAGTGGTACCTATTTATCTACTTGCACTTTGACGTACTTTCGAACTGCTAGGTTGGCAGGAGCAGGGACCGAGCAACGGGAGCTCACCCGGTCATGGGGATTCGAACCGCCAACCTTCTGATCGGCAAGTACTAGGCTCTGTGATTTAACCCACAGCGCCACCCGCGTCCCCACTCCTGTTTAAGGAGAGCCAAATACAGCTCCCAGATTTGCTGCCATGGAGCTACCAACGCCCACCCCCTCCACCTTCATGCCAGGCGGGTCCCAGTATCCTGAACTTAGTGCTTGGATGCACTCTAAAGGAGAGACTAAAAGCACTCTCTCCCATTCTTTAACTTCCCTAAAAAAATATGCTTACAATATTTATGAAATATAATCTCATTTTCAAAAGCCGTTTTGAAAATCTAAGGAGTCTTAACATAAAGCCTTCTATAGGATCTACACAGTTACCATGAGTGGAGGCTGGTGCAATAGGGAAATGGAGCACTGTCCTGCCAAACTCAGCCTGCCCCCAACCAGCCCTCATCTGCCTGCCTCCTTACTTGCAACCAGCCCAGTGGGTGACACTGGATGCCAGCCTCCTCTTCCTCCTCAAGCTCACTGCTGCCCATGTAGAACTCAACAGGGAGGTGGATGGGGACAAAACCAGAATGAGTTAGCTCCATCTATCATTGGCTCCAGCTTCACTTGCTATTGCCTCTGGCACAACCTGCTGTTGGTGCACCCTGCCTTCCACCCTATTAGTCCTAATATGCACCAGCCTCCACTGGCCACCACTTCACAGCTAATCGTTCTTGCTCAGAGAGCAGGTGTAAAACGGTTCTTCAGCATCTTGCAATATTATGGTTATACATTGACAACCAACAAGAACCTGTGCACTAAAGCAAGACACACCAGGGCAAAAAAATCAGTAAGTCTGGTACACATTGATGGGATAGTAGTGGCTATACAGGAAAGAAATATTGAATTGATGGTTGACAGCTCAATTAAAAAGTCTCAGTTTATACTGTGCAGCTTCTTTTAAAAAAGGCATGTGGAACAGGGTCAAAAATGCAATGACCAGTGTCATGATGCCATTAAACTAAATCTATGGTATTGCTATATTTGGACTACTGCATTAAGTAGTGAAGTTTAACTGCCTTGGGGCCGAGGAATCTACAAACAGCCATATTTTCCCAAATAAACCTGCATAGGAGTTGAGGCTTCTTCACAGGCCTTTCTTTGAGCAGTGCCACTTTCAGAAGTTAAACTTCAATCCTTTTCCATACCAGTGCCCAAGTCATAGATCCCTCCCCCAAAAGACATATGTGCTGGGTTGCCTTCCCTGCAATCTCCAGGTGCCAGACAAAACCCATCATGTCCTCCCATATCGTTAGCTGTTAGTAATGTTTGTGACTCTTGTTGCCTTCGCTGTTTATCAGATTTCGCTTAGTTTTACAAGTTGATCTCCCCTGCCTCAGATTGTATAATTAGTTTATCTTTCATATTTCTATCTTTCAGTTTTTCTACTTTGTATTGTAAGCTGAACTGAAGCTACATCTAAGAACATAAGGAGAGCCCTGCTGGGTAAGGGTCAAAGCCTTTCTAGTTCAGCATCCCGTTTCTGACAGTGGCCAAATAGATACCTACAGTATGGGAAGCCTGCAAGCAGGGCATGATGTCTGTTTCCCAGGACCAGGTATTCAGAGCCATGCTCAGTGGCGAAGCTGCATGCTCCACTACTGGGGGTGGAAAGCAGGCGGGGGCGTGGCACGCATCATGGGGGTGTGGCATGCCACCTGTGAGGGCGTGGGGCGCGTTCTGGGGCATGGTGCCCGGCGCCCGGCACGTGCATGGTGCGTGTCCGGGGAGGGGGGCCACCGTGATGGCACCCTACTGAAATAGTGGTGCCGGGGGCGGTCCGCTCCCCCCGCATCTCCGTTCCTCTGCCAGTGGCCATGCTGCTACTGATTCTGGAGGTAGTATACTTCCTGTTTCCAATATTTTAAGCTGTCCTGGTGTTTGTTAACTGAATAGCAGTAGATTTGGGATAGACAGAATAAAGTTCTTCTCCATATATAATAAGAGCCAGTGTGGTGTAATGGTTAGAGTGCTGGACTTTGACTTGGGAGGCCAGGGTTTGAATCAGCCTCATGAAGCTCATTGTGTGACCTTGGGCCAGTCACTATTTCTCAGCCTAACCTAACTCAAAGGGTTGTTGTGAAGATAATAGAGAGGGGAGAACCATGTACATCACCTTGAACTCCTTGGAAGAAAATGTGGAATATAAAATTTAATAAACATACAAATAAAATGCATAACTAATACATGCAAATCACTGCCACAAATGCGGAGAGGAATATGGAATCGTCCCCTATTTGGGCATTCACCTGACTGCAATCCCACATGGGCAGGCAGGGGTGCCAACTTGAATAAAACATTGTGAGGGCTCAGGTTAGCCCTGCCCTGAATAATTGATCACATGACGCAGTGCACACACACCATTTGAATGGGAATGCCCATCAACTTTGTGGGGGCCCAACCCCCTGAAATATTTTACTGTGGGAACCAAAGCTCCCACAACCCCTAGGAGTTGGCTCCTATGTTGGCAGGGTTGTCAAATGTGTGGGGAGTCTCTGCACACAGAACAGATTCCCTGCTTCAGACTTTCAAAACGAGGATGGTAGCAGAGCTAGGTCACTGGAGACGCAATGGCAGGAGTAGGGCCAGCTGCTCTCATGGTCGATATGATTGTACTCATAGGGAACATAATGCCTGAAAAGTGTGTCATGTAGTTTTTTTACGGGGATTAAACATAATTGACTGAAGTGAGGTATATCAAAGCCTATGATAGCTAAAGAAACTGCCCTTGTTCTGGGTCAGTGTACCTCTGAATACCTGGGGACAGTGGAAGGCGGCTGCTGACTTTATGCCCCCTGCTTGTGGGCTTTCTGAAAGTATTTAGCTGAGCACTGTAGGAGACAGGATACTTGAGTAGATAGATGGAGCCATGACCTGATCCACTTCTTACATTATTAACTGCAGACTTTTATCTACAAAACTGGGCTAGGTATGAAGCTGGAACGTGCTATGACAGTAAAGTATCACTGGTGTAGATGCAAGGAACTTCTATAGGGTTTGTTTTTCAAAAGAGGAAGCTTGTATTGTTGTTTTAAAAAAAACTTCTAAGGAGTTAAATAAGTTATTAGATGACCAGATAAGGACACACACAGTATTTAAGCAAAACTATGTAGAGATTTCTAGAATGCTCAAGTTGACAAGAATGGCACAGCTTGCAAACTTGCACAAGCTTGTCGTCATCATCCTTGGAGCAGCCTGGTTTCTCATGTTCTCAGCCTTGCATCAACAGAAACTCATCAGCTGCAAAACATCCACTTCTCCCATACACAATTTGCATTGTTGTTATTATTTCTAGTTTACAATCCCAACCTGCCACTCCTGCATTTACAAGTGCTTGCTTTGGATGGGATGTCCCAACCACTTTGCCAGCTCAGCAACACTAAAACAATGACATTACTCTGGTGCTGCACTTTATTTCTTCAAAACAAGCTTTATATTTATGATATGTCTTATTTATTTATATCTTTAACTTGCTCTTCAGCAAAAAAACCTCCCAGAGTGGCTTACGTACCATTAATGAAAACAAGACAGCCCCTGTTTCCTGGCTCCCAATCTAAAAGACATGACACAAGAGGGGAAAGTGATGGGGAGGGAAGAGTGGAAGGGAAAGAAATTCAGGAGCAGGAGCCCAGTGAAGATAGTCTGTCAGCAGAGCTGATGGAATGGGCCCTGCTTCCCATCACAGGCACTGAGGCAACCTGCTATAATAGCTGCTACCCGGTGATAATGCCATCCACTGCTGCAGGATTAGTTGTTGTGACTGACAGATGCCCCACCTGTCCAAGCAAGGTTTCCACTTTCCCCCATTCAACCGCAGCCTTGGAGTGACTTTCCACAGATCAAAATCAGATTAGGGTCATCAGTTTTAATGCTGGCACTTCAATCACTGCCACCTTCTAATAGTTTGCTACACCCAAGAGAAAACTGAAGATGCTGATCAGGTGTATGTGGCACATTAACTGAAGTTTGACAGCCCACGTCCTTTCCAAATTAGTCAGAGTTGGTCACCTTTCCAAGCCTCCTGAGAAATCACTTTATAACTCCACATCTTAAGACCAGAACAGCAAGCAGGTGAGTGTAGGTGTTTCAAAATGACCCAAGCTAGAAGTTAAAAATATCTAAAGTAAAGACTTTTATTCAAGCCAGAACATGAAAGCATGGGCATTTAGCAATTAAATAAAACATATTTCTAGCTAAATGCAACTGTCAATGTAGGAGAATGGTATGAGTCATAGCTACTGAAGTAGAGGATGAAGGTCCATGATCCAAATTAAGCTTCTCACTTTGGCAAAGTCAAGATGCAATATGAGCAATATTCAGATGTGACTAACTGTGTGGATCAGACCTAGATGCATGGACTGTACAAATGCAGGCCTTTAATCTATGAATACTGCCATCAGCTGAGGCAGCAAGGGGTCCTGCTCCCCACCACATGTAGCCAGAACACAGAGTGATGTGTGAGTAAGGCTGGGAAAGTCACAGATCAAGGTGAAGATCCCCTGGTAGCTTTAAAATCTGCTGTGTGCATATAAAGCTAAATAAAGACGTGCCAAGTTTGACAGGAAGGAGAAAGAAGACAATACCCAGCTTTCCCCCCTATTCCTCCCTCTACCCCACATGCATTTGCCTTAGGTCAGTGGAGGAAGTGGGGCTAGACTGGATTTTTTTCAGACCTGTCCCTCATTCTTTCAAACTTAACCCATCTACCAAACCCTGAGAAGGGGGTCAGAAACACCACCTGCGTATACTTTATGGTAATAATTACCAGCTTAAAATACAGCTGTGCCGTTCTATACTCGATTTGGATTGAAGATGCAATATTTCATAAGTAACAACAGGATAGGTATGGATTATCTGCATGCACTCTGCTTCCCAAACCAGCAGTGGGAGTGCACTGGGTGCAGAGTACGCAATAGCGTGTGCAAATTAATTATTATTAATTTGGGCCCAGCCACTCTTTCCTCCCAAACTAGCATTTGGAGATGCTATGCTCTTGTAGCCCCCTACAGGGCAAGGGAAAAAATCAAACCAAAGAATCGCGACAGGAGCTTTATCATCTCAATATGTACATGGGGGAATCACCCATTTTAAAACACCCCTATGTCACTATTTCCCAGAATGGCCCAAGCTAGCACATGTTGGAGAAAGCCTCTGGTCAAACCATTTCCCTGACCATCACAATCTTGACTTGGGGATGCTTTCAGTCAAGGAATCCCATGCAGGCAAGTCTTGAAGGGGCTGGTGTAGGACTCAGGATTGCTGCAGGATTCCCAAGAGGTGGCTGCAGTCCAAAGTGCCCTTTCCAGAGTAAGCTTCTTTATATACGCTTTGGTTACCTCTAGGCTTGACAAGTGAATGTGCCCTTTGTGGGGTTTGTTGCCTTTGAAAGCTTCTCTGAAACATTAATTAGCTCAAAGTGCATCTGATCTGTTAATTACCGGGAAAAGCCAAAGCAAGCATATTATGCCAGTTCTAAAACAGTTAAGCTGGCTCCCCATTCACTTCAAGGCACATTATTTTTTTTAAAAATCCCTCTAGGAAGTTCATCTCCCTTACCAGCCTTTGCACAGAGTCAGGGGAGATCCAAACCTCACTCATTGTCTAAGGTTAGGCTATGGGCAAAAAGGAATATGGCCTTCTTAGGGACAATTCTGCTCTCACCTATTGAATCTGTTAAAAATGTTCCTGTTCCAAAAGCCAGTTTCCCCTACCCTTTCTTTCTTTCTTTCTTTCTTTCTTTCTTTCTTTCTTTCTTTCCGAAATGCAACTGAACAGGCTGCAGTCTGATGTGGAAAATATGAATAGATTTCTTCACCTTACTTAAAATTGTCCCTGTCCAAAATGTGAAAGCAGGGGATGGAGTAGGCCAGGAAGAAGCTTTCATGGCAGATGATTTTAAGGATAAACATCAACAGAGAGGAATGAGTAAAAACAAAACAAAAACCCTCTCTTCTACATAAAGGTCTTCTGCTTCAGACTGTGGCCTCCAAAGCTTCCTCCAGGGAAGCAGGAATACATATGCAGATCAACTCCACAGTTAATTGGGCCAAGAATGACATACCTATATGACTGGATACTGGACAAGAGACAGATGTTTCAGGAAGTCATTTTTAATGGACAAAACACCTGACTGCCTTAAAACTCTCACAGTGTAGACCCAGATAATTTTAGATAACAATTCACTATTTCAGAAGTGTATGCTTCCCATAATTAGAAAATCTGAATATGCTAACATGTTTAATGTGCACTGCCTGCCTTTCTCTCTCACACAAGTTTTCTTGTATGCAAGCAGCTCCATTTTGTAAGATGAGCTGTGTGAAGTACACATTTCTGTCAGAACAGCTGTGCAGAATTTGGCAAAGGCCATTTGAAGACAGTGCTGTAATGGGAATACACCATGAGAAGCTAACTCAAAACTAAATTAAGGCTTAAAATGTGGTACTTTGCTTTCATTTCCAAACATCCAGGTTGGTAAATCTATGAATCAGCGCTGGAACATGACTAAGATTTTTTCTCCATGAAAGTATATCAAGGTTGTAGCTAATCCATCTTTAAATTTTAATTGCAACAAAAACATGAGAAAAATGGCAGACAAAATGCTTTAAAAGGTGACAGCTTTCAAAGACATCGTATTTTGGCAAGAGTGTATGAACATCAATGACCTCTACAACTTGCAAAAGGCTGCACAATTCATGTCATGGTGGGATATTAGAAAGAGCATGTTAGCCCAATTGCAGTGCTTCACAAAGACAGTATGGTTAGTGCACTAGGGCCACATGTACACCAACCATCTTATGGGATAGTGTATCCCAACTACAAGCCATATTAAGATATGAGGATGAAGCAACAACTATAGCAGGGGTGGGGAACCTGGGGCCCATCAGACTTCGCTGGTACACATCTTCCACCATCCCTCTTCATTGCCCAAGCTGGCCAAGGGACATGGGCGCTGCCATCCAAAAGCATCCGAAGGGCCACAGGTTCAGCACTCCTGAGCAATATGAAATATCCAAACACTCACAGCAAGAGAGCCAAGCTGTTAAGAGCCACATAATACTGCAGAAGGCAAAACAATCCTTCCCAATTCCAGCTATGATTATCACTCCATACAGCAAGTAAACCAGTGGGCACATTTCAAATTTTGAGAGTATTAAGGGTGCAAGTCACAAAATAGTTGTAGAGCAGCAGGGGAATGGCATAACGTCAAATGGTTGCCATGGGGAATGTAGCACAACAAAATTAGAGAGACAGCCACCAGCAACAACCTTGTGTTTTCCACAGGAAGTCAGCGATGTCCCGCTGGTCCCGATTGTGGAGATTGCACAATCCTGATTTTACACACACTGATGCTGCCACCTTCTAGTAGCAATAGGGAGCCTTCCTCACCACACTCTCATTTCACAGAAATCACTTAGAAGGTACACGAACAGTTTTGCCCCCTAAACTTTCTTTCTAGGAGGGCTAGAGAATTAGGGTTTGCTTGTTTGTTTTAATGAAAGCTCAGAGTCTGAGGCGCCAGCCTAGGGGCACCAGTGAAAGCCTTTGTTTCTGAAGGATGGATTATGGTTGCCATCTTTAGATGGTAAATTTTAAGTAGCGCATGCATGCCATCCATGAGATCAAATAGCTACATAAAAGAAAGTCCCAGGCACCAATAAGCATGAAAGCTGCAAACAACAGTTCAAAAGCAGGGTTCAAGTTTCAGAGCTGCTAAAATAAATCAACTTTTCAGTTTGAGAGATGAGTAGACATAGCACAGAATATGTTCATAGGCCTGGGCCACAATCCAACATTGGGTTAAATATGCTTAAGCCCTCTGAAATCAATATGGTTCACAGCAGCTGAATGATTGAGGAATTTTCTTTTTTTGGCATTCAGCTTTCTCTGTATGACCATGTCCTCCAAGTTATTTACATTACCAACCATCACTTCTACTGTTCTACTACCTTGGGACAACTGCAAAAACACCTCTGCAAAAAACCTTTTTCATACTTCAGCTGGTAGGCAGAACACACCACTATCCAGCAATACAGATTAAGGAGAGTCCTAAATCAGACAATTACAACTGTGTAAAAATCTATATCACCCTCATAAAATGCTGGAAGATTCATGACAGATTTAAAAAAGTACAATGCAGTGATGGCTACCAACTTAGAGATATATTTTTTTAAAGGACTGGACAAATTCATGAAGGAAAGAGCTATTGATGGCTACTAGCTTCAATGGCTATGTTCTGCTTCCACAGTCAGAGTACTGTTTCTGAATACCAGTTGCTGGAAACTACCGGAAGGGAGAGGGCCCCTGTGTTACGGGCTTGTTTGCAGATTCCCCATAGACATCTGGGTGGACACTGTAAGGATGTTGGTTTAGAAGGGCCATTGGCCTGATCTAGCATTCTCTTCTTATGCTCTTAAGAACACGTGAAACCAGACTCAAAAGAAGCTTTGAAACTTTGGGTGAAGAGAAACATACAGTATTATCACAAGTGGAAGTGGTTTTAACACATTCTCTACCCTCAAAACAAATGCCTCAGGATGCTGCATACGGGTGTTCAAAATCCCTTTCACCAAACTTTAACATGCCTGCAGCTTTGTTGAAGTGTTTGTCAGAAAATGTGGAGGCTTTATATGTAGAGGGAGACAGGAGGCCTGCACACAAGGCCTGCCTCCAACATTCCTGGATATGAGCTCCTCTTCAGACGTATGCATGCTTAATGTCTGAAGAGGGTTTCCAAGTGTATTCTGCTGATCTCCACATTTGGGAGCTGCCTCTGAAGCCTACACACCAAGGAACACTGGAGGGTGGGGCCTGCATGCCACCCCCACATCTCCATGCATAAAGTCTTTGTGCGTTGAGGGGAACACCCGAGCAAGGCCTGTCGGCTCGCCCTCAGGACACATAATTTTGCTCATATTTCAAGTACCGGTTTTCCAACAGCTCTTCAGCATCAGATCCTCTTGCGCTGGCAAAGCCGACAATGTGGCACAATCTCTCACTGATTTACTCCAGTTGGCATCAGTGGGACTAAATCTGTTTTCAGTTGAAATGATGAGACTGAGTTGGGACCACAAGGGCCTTTCCAGGCAATCAATCAGTTATAGAAGTGCAGTAAACACACAGCTGTTACTCATTTGCTGTGGAAACTCCAGCTGACTTTCCTGACAGCACTTACATTTACCGTGATATTATACACTGGAGCACCCAAACTACAATATGGGGAAACCCAGTAGTCCTACCCCAGACAGGATGATTGCTCTCAGTAGCTTAATTCTTCTAGGAAATACCTGAAAGTGGGAATGCCTTCTACCACACCCAGTTAAGGACCAAGGAATTTAAGTCTATGGAAGAGAATAAAAAGGACAGACTATAGTTCAGGTAAGAGTGAGGCATAGAAAAACTAAAAGGAAACATGGGAAGGAAGATCTGTCTGTCATGGACTGGCTGGATGCAGAGGGGTGGTGGGAGGCACCAGCTGGTGAATCCCCAAGGAAACTCTTAAGGGAAGATGGCTCAGAGCCAGGGGATTGATGGTGGGACAACAATGAGTGGTCAGGGGGAGAAAAGGGAACAGATGAAGGTGGTGGTGCTGGAAGCTGAAGAGGTGACAGGGTTTAGTGAGCAGGAAGAAGCTGTGACAGTCCAAAATCAGAGGCAGAAGAGGCAGCTGGGGAGGAGGAGGGGGCAAGAGGAAGAAATGAGTCAGGCTGGTGAAGAAGCCAAGCTGCCTCCCCCCTTGCCGTGACTAGCTCCCCTCCCTCCTGGTCTAACAGAATCTGGAGAGGTATGAAAAGGGTGGAGCAAAGACAGACAAGACAAAGAAGCCTCAGATTGCTTGGGAATGAACTGGGGGAGGAGGAGACTTATGGAGGTGTGGGAAGGTGAGAACCTCCAGTCCTCCTAACTACCTTGTTGGGGCAAGAGCTACTGGGAAGACCTCCTGTGCTCTCTAGGCTTGGCCTCCTGAGCTGTTTGTTTCTTTGAATTAAGAGTTAACTTCACCAACACTGTGTGAGTTATTACTGACCTGCTCCTGGCTCCTGCCCCTGACACTGCCTCTCTCCTAGATAACTTGGGGGGGGGGGAGTTTGGCTGTCTGCATCCTGTTGGTGAACTCTGGTTTAGGGTATGCCTCCTTAAACCAGACCTATGCTCAAACTGTACATTTGTGAACAAATTCTCATACTACAGAATGTTGCAAGCCTACAGTAACCTCATTCCAAAGGAATCAAATCAAATCCAGACAAGTGTTGTGCCCCCAAACTTCTCATATCTCTTGGAAACATGGGGTGAACATAATACTATTATATAAAAACAGAATTGCCTAACATACTTTCTTTTATAGGAAGGCAAGGAAATTAATGCACTGTAATCATCAGTTGCAAACAAGTTCCTATGTTATATCACTGGACAGCTGTACAAAATTGGGAAGCAAGGCATACGTTTATAATAGGACAATGTTAATCCGTAAAAGTCTTCTCCCTGAGAGTTTGAATGGAAATGAATCTTGATTTATTCAGGTCTTTGATCAAGGACAGAACACCGGCTAATATTAGGCTGTACATCAGAACAATATGCAGATATGAGAGAGCAAGTTTCATATCTTCTGACAAGGATGAGTTGGTCACTGCACCAATGAGTTGGTGCAAAATGGACGACAGAAAACAAGGCACAGTCTTGCTGCTCAAGGTTTCTTAAACTAGCCATCATAGGAAATAAAGCCTGATTTGCACCATTCACCCCCTGAAATGGACTCTCTGCATTTGTTGAAGCTGCTGGCATTTCCTCCTTCCTAGAGTACATTTGGCAAAGAAGGCTCCTCCCTCATGGGCTGGACCAGGCAGCACACCAAGGAAGTGTCAAAATGATGAATGGGAATGCCTCACTGCCTGTGTTTTTATTATTGGGACCATCAATAATGTATTGACTGTTTTGTCACCCTGAAGATGAAACAGGCCGTTTTAATACACATTCTGCTTGGGAAGAATCTCTGATATGCTAGGAAAACACACCAGAATCTCTGCATATGTATGTATATGGCTCCCCTGTGCTGTCAAAACAATTCAAGTCTCAATGGTAGTTCTATTAAAATTTTTATTTTAACGCATAGCTTTGGGGAGGGAGGAAAGGAATAGGAAGCAAAAAACAAAACAAAAATCCCGTTGCAAGCAGTTGGTTATGTCTAAATTTAGGTTCTCGCACAGTCTCTCTTTGCTTTTCAGAATGATTGCCAGGTCTGAACTTTCGAACTGAACAAAAATGCAGAATACAGTGTGAGCTCAAAATATATGAGAAGCTTTTCTTAGCCTCATTTGAGATGGAATTAGAATTTACAAATCCACAAAGCACCTGAAGTATCAGACTCCATCAGGGTGTATACTCTGAAGGGATGTCACAGGGAAGATAAACCAAGCTTCTTTTCAGTTGCTCAGGAAGGTAGGACCTAAACCAATGGAATCAAATTACAAGAAATGAGATTTTGACTAATAGGAATAGTTTTCTGATGGTAAGGGTTGTTTGACAGTGGAATGGTCATCCTTAGAAAGTGGTGGACTGTCCTTCACTGGAGGTTCTTTAAACAAAGGTTGGATGGCCATGTGTCAGGTCTTTAGCTGTGATCCCTCCCCTCTCTCGTTCCTTCCTTCCTTCCTTCCTTCAATCCATCCACACACACACACACACACACACACACCAATTCACAACTACTGTGTCCCTGAGATTATGCTGCACCAGCTATCTACATAAAATGAGTCCAAGGTGGAAAAAAAACCTGTAGAAAACCATGAATTTAATAGTCCTGGTATAATGGATTTTGACATAAACCATTACTGCTGAAAAATTGAGACAAAATTACAGGAGATAAATAACCTGAAAGAAATGTCATGTTGGGGCAGGAAAACTGTCAGTACATATATGTTTTTCCAGATTGCTGTTAATGGTGAACTGTAGACTGCTATGAATTTCACATCAGTGACTCTAGCAACCAGGTTTAGTGCCCAGCGCTGAGCCACCATCTTCCTTGGTCTTGCTACACAGAAGAGCATGCACACAACCTACTGTCAACTTACACATCATTGCTTGCCTTCTGGCAATGACAGACCTTACATATAGGGGTCCTTTCCCATTTTGCCCTCCTGATTGATTGTGGCAGATGCACCCCATTACATAGGCCAGGGATGAAGGACCTGTGGTTCACCAGCTGTTGATGGACAACAATTCCCATAATCCCTCACCAATGGGTATTGCTGGCTAGGAGTGATGGGTGTTGGAGTCCAACAGCATCTGGAGAGGCATACGTTCACCAGCCCTGACTTTGACCACTGCTGGTTATCAGAGAGAAGCTGCTTCATGGAAGTGCTGAGTAGTGAGCTTGAAGGTGCTGAATGATGTGCATTCTTGATGACTCTTCTCTAGGCTAATAATACTCTGGAAAGTCTGGCATCATTACGGCATCTTCCAGAAGTGATGTAGCACCACTTGACTCAGTCTGATGTATAATGGCTGGGTGGTTGAGCCATTTAAACTTTTTTTTAAAAAAAACCCAACAATTTCATTTTATAGTTTTCATACATTACTTGCCCCAGTCTTCAAAAGAAGGCAAGGTAAACATGTACGATTAATTAAATAATAATAATAATAAATTTTATTTGTACCCCGCCCTCCCTGGCTGGAGCCAGGCTCAGAGCAGCTAACATCATATAAACAACACAGTACACATAAAAACAGGCATCAATTAATTAAAATACATCTTCAAATTAATTCAGACAAATTAAAATCTGGACAAATGGCAGTTATCAGGTTAAGACTGAGAGCGGTTAATACTTGCCAGGACCAACTGATTTCAGTGATCACATAAGGACCTGTGAACAGGCTGTAAATAGATTAGTTGACTGAAGTGACTTAATAGAAATTACTGGTGTAATTCTTAGTGACAGCAAAAGCCATGACAGAAAGTGACACTCATTACCTTGGCCAATGAGTCAATTTAAATCACTAAAACTGTACAGTTTTTTAAAAAACAAACAAACAAAAACGTATCAGCAGTTGAAGCTCAAATATCATTCAGTTGAAAGGGACGACAAATTTAGCCTTCTGCTATCAGCTTATTATTGTTGAAGAGAATTTTTCTTAGTAGTAGCAAAGATTACAATACACTTAAGTCAATTATTTATAGCTGCAACCAATGTTCTGAAGTGACAACATACCGGTAGCTCATGATATTGCTTTAGGTACAGTCAATAATACAGATGTTCTGAAATCTGTATTGTGATCTCAGGCACATCCTGACACACCAACTCAGCGCTTAATATTTGATCTTGCTGTGTCAGCAGAATGATAATGTACTTTTAATGGATATTCTCGTCTTCCTGAGAAGAACTGACTGTCTGAGGTGAATCCATATTTGATGACTTAGAAATAGAGGTGGAGTCATCAAGCTGCCCATTTAGGAGCTTCACTGCAATCCTATATGTGTCTACTCAGAAGTAAGCCCCATAGAATTCAATGGGACTTACTCCAAGGTATGCACTTTACTGTGGCCTAAATCTCTTGGCCATACTTGTAGAATAAATCTGATACCATATTAATGAACTTTTGATTATTGGAGATAATTGTCATTAGCTGTTCTGACAACTATCAAATAAACTTGACATCCACTCTGCCGGATGGGCTCTACACAGTGAAACTCAACAACAACAAAATCTATTGCCAATTTTACCTGTGTCTGTCTCTCTCACAGTCAAATATAAATACCTAAAGGGGATGTTAAATTTTAAAAAGTCAAGTCCGACCACCTTGATTGATGTGAATCACATTGAGACTAGCATAGTAGTATATGAGGTGAATGTTTGTAATTTAAATTAGGTATGCCCAAGGAAGAGTGGTAGTGAAGGAAAACAGATTTTTGATCTATCCTGAAAATCTCAGTATCTCAAATGGATATATTAGGTGAAATATGAGACTCACACTGGTTAAAAATCCCAAGCAAGTCATAGGTAAAAAATTGTACAGGTCTGATCTTATGTTTCTGCTTCCAAACACCCACAGCTTCAGATTCAATTCTCTTCAAACCCTCCGCTTTCCACAAATCGTTGCGTGCTTGATCAGATAAAAAGATCCCTAACTGGCACAGTGGTAATAAAATATTATGAGATGCACATAGCTGAAAGGCATTGCCTGCCTATAAAAGGCATCTACATGTCCTGGAAGCTCCTTCCCAAGCCACAACTGCATCTGGTTTTTCAATCCCACTCCTACCTGTGATCTTTAAGGCAGTCAGGTATTGCTGCAATAAGCACCAGCCCAACACACAAGATGGTTCTTGTTGTCCCAGGCAAGTCTTACAGTATATAGTATGAAATAAAGCAGATGGATACAGACTGGAAAACAGACATGGGGGAGTACAGCAGGCATTGAGACGGGACATGTCAATATGATAGGCAGCAGATTCAGCTTCCCATGTGCCAGATCTATTAGTAAAATGTGGGGAGGAGCAGGGGAACCAAAAATAATTCTTTCATTTTTTTTCAGTTGTATATTCAGCAACATTCAGGCAAGAAAATAGCACACAAGATACTACCCCCTTTGTGTATATGGATTAACCAGTGCACATTATGGAGTAGATATAGAGTGCTGGATCAGAGCCTGTGGGATGTGGGTTCAAATCCCCACTGAGCCATAAAGATCACTGGATGACCTTGGGACAGTCATCTTCTCTCAGCCTGACGTACCTCTCAGGGTTGCTCTGATGCTAAAATGGGAAAGTAGGGGATCCTGAATGCCACTTTGAGTTCCTTGCAGGAAAGACATGGTATGATATAAATACAATAGGAAAGAAAATGGATCTTCCTACTGCTTCCATAGCTTACAGCTTGCCCTTCTCATTCTGATCCCATCGGGACTTAAAACAGTACATTTTAACATCCCGGTATTGTCCAGTATTCCATTAATTAAACATGCCCATCAATCGTAGCCTTAGTACCACCATCCACATTCTATCCAGAACATAAACATCAAATAAAGTTTTTTAAAAAAATTATCTGACCGACCCAACAGAGGATTAGTTAAAACACCCTCAACAGAAACTATGGCAGGCCAAAGATTCTCTTAGAAAAGTGCAAATTTACAGAATTTGGCAAGACACAGGTGAAACTGAAATGAAGGGTATTTCTAGCTCTACAGGCTGGTTTTTAGTTATAAGCCTGCCTCATAATTAAGTCCCTCTCAAACACTAGCAGGAAGTAACAACTTATACAGCAATGCACCTTTACACACTGAAACCAAGTGGCCGCCCCTGACAGAACAATCCAATCCCTGGCCAGGAAGTGGCGAAGCATGATGGAGGAGCAGAGCCCCCACTGCCCCCACTGCCTATGCTGGCCAGGGTGGAAGGAGGGGGGAGGGGGGCAGGCAAATCAAGTGTTATGTACTGAGTTGAATAGGATCCAAAATGCAGCAGTCTGATGGGCCCTAGAACAATAGGATTCAGAATGCAGCAGTCTGATTGGTCCACAGAAGCCACCCAATCCAGCTCCAGGTGGAAGTGAATCCACAACCTGATTGGCCTACAGGAGAATCCCGGAATTAGCCAATCACATGGGGCTCATTGTGTAAATAATGTATATAAAGCAGACATCCTGGGGGAACTTCCATTCCTCCTCACCACTATGAGCTGAATAAAGAGCATGAAATCCGCTCTCGACTCCGAGTATATTTCATCAAGTGATTAAGCTGAGAACATTTCCGATACCATCAAGGGATGACAGTGGGGCTGGATCAGGATCCAGTGACTCTCCCAGTCTGCCTCAGTCCTTCCCTCTACCCACCCCCAGAACGTCGCTGGGGACCTCACTAGGAGTACTTCCTACGCCTCTGCCTAATCCATTCCTAACCCCCCACCCCGGCCTGGCAAAAAGGGGGTTTCGATTACAGGCTAAGTATCTTTTAGATGTTGACAACTTTGCGTTTGGACATATCAATGGATAGCCACCTATTGTCTAGTCGAGTGGAAGATTCAAGCAGTCATACTATAGAAACAGCTGAACTCCAATGATGCATTCTGAGGTTTGCTCAACATCAAATGGGAAAATTCCAAATGCCAGTACATGCAATAGAAACTAGTGAGGTGACTTTTCTCTGTGGTTTTGCAAAAGCTGTTTTGCAAAAGTCTGCTTTGCTCCCCAGTGCTGCCAAGACACCTTTGTCAGTGTACAATACCTTCCTCATTAAGCTATACCTGCCTGCAACTACATTCATTTGCCTTCCAGCTCCCCCAAGTGCTGCTTCTGGGTAAAACATTTAGCTACTGTGTACAGCGAAAAATAAGAGCTGCCTGTCAGAAGGTGAGTCAACATCTAACTTGACTGAGGAGTGCAGGGCCTCTAAAATTTATGCAATTGAAACATTTTCTCCCACGGAAATAGCTCCCCTTCAAGGCAGTATCATGTCCATAAGTTTCTCATCAAACACATGGCTATTTTTCATTCCATTTCAGCATCTTGGACCCCAAAGCACATGCAGAAGTTTGCAAGATCCAAAGCCAGTATCTTCCACTCTAGCACTCAGAGACTTTTCAATGCACAATATGTTATACAGTCTTTATTTGGCTTGTTCTCTATGGAGGCAGGTCACCACTGTTCCCATTTTATGGATGAGGAGACTGAGCCTGAAAGCAAATTGTTCAAATGTGACTTAGCATGTCTATATCTCTGAAGATTTAAGAGGCCTTATAAGGCCAAGCTTCCAAGTCTCTCTAGCTGGCAACAAATCTGGCTCTATGAACAAGCCACATACGTGACTTTCACAAATGGAGGCTCCGACATATATAGTGCAGCCTAGTGGGTAAGGCGTTGGAATAGGATCTAGAAGACCAGGGGGCTCAAATCCCCACTCACTCTGCCATGAAGTTCACTGGGTGACCTTGTGTCAATCACTGTCTTTCAGCCAAGAAAAACCCTCAGAGGGTTGTTATGAGAATAAATTGACAAGCAGGAGAACAATGTATGTCATTTTGAGCTCCTTGGAGGAAAGGCATAATATAAATATAATAAACAATTAACCCACAGGTCACTTTTTATAACCCATCTCTCTGCATGTTTGTAGTGTTTTTACAGTCTCAGCTATGGAGCATGAACTCGGGGGAAAAAGAAGATAAATCCTAGCACCAGCATGAGAGGTCTAAAAAAATCAAGCCCTGGGATATTACTATATAAGTGAAGGCTTACTTTTGAGCATAAATGAGAAAAATGTGTGTATGGATCAGAGTGGGCAGCATATAGATCAATGATAGAGCACCTGTTTTCTACATGCAGAAGGCCACAGATTCCACCCCTGGCATCTCTAGCAAGAAGGATAAGTTGATAGGCCTCTATCTGTTATCTGGAAAAAGTTACTGCTAGTCAGGGTGGACAATACTGAGATTGACAGACAGAAGGCATTCACATGTCACATTAAGCTGTGGTTAATGATTCACCATGCACATGCAGGACACTCGCATTTTGCTTATCTCTGCTAGTGAGCAGAAGCAACAAACCATGGTTGACTTAGCATGATATCCGAACCAGGGACTATGGTTTGTTTTGCTCCATATGAAGTACAATCTGAAACCAAGGTGTGTTTTCGGCTTGCCAAGTGAAACAAAACAGAATCCCCAGTTCATGTATAACATTAAGTCAAGGATGTGGTTGATGGATCCCGCTCACGAGTGAGGAGGAATAATCTGTACATTTGCAGTGAACCATTAGCCATGGCTTACCTGACGCCTAAACACAAGCACCCAGGGTTTACAGTTTGTCACTTTCTCCAGCATAATCCAATCAGACTGTTCAGAACATTTCTGAAGCAACAACGTCAACATGGGAGAATTCATCTTTAGATGAGTATTTCCTGAGGGAGAAGTCACGCTCAGTTCAGGCATCTAGGTCAGGCTTCTTTACACGCAACAATTCTGTGACCTACCTAGTTACCCACCACCACTGGTTCTGGTTCTGTTCAGTGGCTTTTGGTCAGGGACATGGTTTGGTATCAAAGCTGGAGGGGGAAATCCATTTGAGTTTCATTTCACTTCAGATTTACTTAAATAATCTCAGTTGCTGTAGCACTCAACTCACAGACCATACCTCCTACAGGGCTATTTTTCTGTATGCAGAGCCTTCCAGGCCTTCCATCCTGGGTAGCCATTGATACCATAGCTGCCAACTTTCAGATTTGAAAATAAGCGATCAGCAGCCTCAAAAATAAGGGATCAGCAGCCTCACCTGTCCCGGGAACAGTCTACAGGATATCTAACAATCCGGGATAGCAGCGGGAAACGGCGCTGGAATAAGGGAATTTCCCGCCAGAAAAGGGAAGGTTGACAGCTATGATTGATACCCCCCTCCAATCTACATCCTTCGTGTCTTAGCACTGATGGTGGGGGGAGGGAAACTAAGAGGGATTTGCTTCCCCTCCTCTATCATTTTTGTTTGTGGATACTGATTCAATGGTGTTAGGTAAGGGCCCCACATAACACTGCACACAGACAGGTAAGCAAAATATTTTGATTTAAGCTGGAGTGACAATTGGAAAAATCCATCCAAACTTGTGAAAGAGCAAACGCACCAATATCGTTTACTTCAACATCCCACCATCATCATCCCTCAAAAAGGACTGGGACTGAAAAGTCCTGGTAAAATAATTCCCTCTGATCACAAGCTGTCTGATCTGTCTGTCACAGCAGAGCTCCCTCCTCTGCCTTCTCACACTGGCATTTTCCCTCCATCAAACCTCACCAAACTTCACCCCTGCCCTTATATAGCAAAGGTTTAGAGACATTAGCATTGCTTTCAGCAGACAAGTTGTCTGCAGAGTGTGAGTGTGTGTGTCTGAATCACCAAGGTGTTGCAAGGTACTTTGAGGACCCTTGTTTGGTTCAGGGTGTCTTATACGGATCACACTTCCCTCCAAGAAGCCCAGAATCCTTCCAAAATGCAATGCTTCTGCCTGGGATTAATAATTTGTCCAAATCTGGTGCACACCCTCCTAATGTCTGAACTTCATAGAAACAAGCCAAAAGCTGGATATTCTGGGGGGATACCTCAAGTGTTTTCAAAATTGGGTTGCACAGCTGCTGTCAAAAACCTACTAGATGACTTTTCACTTCAGTTTGCTCTAAATTCATATACCAAACTAAATAAATACATTTAGCTCCACTGATTTCTCCATTAGAGCACAGTAGGCCTCCAGATGTTGTTAGTCTACAGCTGTCATCATCCCTAACCACTGGCCATGCTGGCTGGGGCTGATGGGAGGTGGAGGCCAATAACATCTAAAGGGACACAGGTTCACCATCCTTGCATTAAAGGGCAGAAATGCTTAGTGTGAGTGCAAATACTGCTAACCAGAACAGATTTTTAAAGTTGCAGGTATATCCCAGATTGAGTACCAATCAAAGATGTCACTACCCTTTTCAAGAGGTGCAGCAACAACTCAGAGCTGGGTTGCTTTCACATGTAGGGCCATACAAAATCAACAGACAACTACGTTAGACAAATTATGCCACATTGGAGATTATTCCATTGCTTTTTTCAGAATGCCTGGGTAACAACAAATTACTACAGGCATGGCAATGACATTCTATTTGTACTCATAGAAAAGCTTTCTTGACATAGCACTCTGCTCTTCGGTTTGTAAGATGCTATTTGTTGTAAAAGAAGAATTAAAAATTTCCCACTGGAGTTAGAACTTCTTCAGGGTGTGATGATAAAAGACTGGAGAGGTGCTTTGTGCAAAGAAGACCAAGTGCCTTTTTGGCATTGATCATGTAGATATGCCATTTAAACCAGAGTGGAGAATACTTTTGCCACTGGCAGGGAGAGGAGAAACACTTCCTTTGAAGAATCTGCGAAACAACCCTGAAAATGCACATTTTATCCACATCACAAAGTATGTGTATGCAAGCAAGCTAACACGAAAGCCTGTATCGGACATGCTGGATATTCACAACAGAATATGAGATAAGCAATTTGTTACAGAGAAGGGCGGAAAGGTTTAGTTTCAGCTGCATTAGGCACACGCCCATAACTTTCTCCTGCCCAAACTCCACTGAAAGGCATTGAAATCACAGAGCAGAAGATCCTTGTGTTCACAGTAAAACAAAACACACACAAAAGAAAGGACACAGGAACAAAAGGCTTCGGGTTTCCCATACACAGAATATTAAAGATCAAAACTTGAATATTTCAGACTGATACTGCATGAAAAGTGGTATGAGAGATTTGGCATTTCCCATGAGGCAAGAAATTCATTTTCAGCAAGGCCTGCCACAGATGAAGAAAAGGGCAGGCTATACTCAGCTCCAAGGAATAGAAGAGGGCAATGTCTAAAGCTCCAATTTATGTTTCCATCTCCCTCGTTCCAATGACTCATGTATTTTTAATCCTTGAATCCCCATTAGAAAAGTGCTGCATTCTCCATTATAGCAAGGATGCTTTGGGACTGCATTTTAGGAGAGTGCAATCTCAAGAGAAATCTACATGTGGTGTGCACACCTCTTAATGACAGGCCGACCTCAAAAACCCTCTGTTTAGAGCAGAGATTTTACAGTGGGAGCCCATTGCCATGATCAACACCCTGTATGAGGGCAACTTGCCCTATTAGTTTTACTGCAGGACAAAAAGACATTCAGAAATACATCCTGCTACTTTTACCAGATTGCTGCAAGAGCAATGGAATGATTCTTGATCTTATTACTCTGCATGCTGCTTGACCCATGAAACAAAATACCTGGGCTACCAATGTAACAGGATGAATCCTACTTACTTTCACATTAACACTAGTACTTAGCTTCTAAAACAGGAGGTGCTACAGCAGGTAAGATGCCAATTGTCTGACTTGACCTTATGTGTAATCTTAAGCATAGAAAGGCTATTTGTTGTGAAGGCAAGCCTTAGGATTGCTTCATTCAGAAGCACTGCCTTATCTATCTGAAGAAACGCCAGCCCAGCAAACAGATATGGGAAAGGCAGAAATTAGAGGCCCCTTGCTTTGCTGAGATACCATTCACAGTGAGTGTGCAAAAACCTGTCAATGAGCTCTTCCTGCATGCTGGCACCATTTGGCTTCCAGAGATGCAAATCACTTTGTTCCATTTTCTTCCTTAAGCATCATGGGGACACTGCAGTTCATACCTGGCTGTAGTTTTGTGTTAAGGTATTTTCTGGAGAAGGTTTGCTGCGAGTCTGCCCTTCCTGTTGGCTGCAATCCAGCTGGATGAGGCTTCTGCATTCCTGGTGACATGTGTACTTGCAGTCTAGGGAGGAAAAATAAATTGAACCAAAATTAGGACATGGGTTCAATAGCAATCAACAGGTTCATTCAATGTGTGCATTTTGAAGTTTTAAAGATGGAGAAAATGTGTGGAGGGATAAGGGGAGGGGGGAGACAGCCAAGATATCTAAAGGCTGAATTCACAAACTGAACAATCAGGATTTCAGAATACATAGAAATACATGGTGAAATTTGCATTATCTCACAAAAAATGTCTTTAAAACCTAATAGGGGTCATGTTAAACATCCGATACACATATTTTACATAACTACAGATAAAGAAGCAATTACTAGTCTTTCATACACCCCATAACCATGGACACCATAGATATTCAGCATCCATTCCCTTGTTAGTGTCTCATTTGGAGCTGCTACACACACACACACACACACACACACACACACACACCAACCATCCGCAAAGGTAAAATCCTTCTGGAAATCAAGTTGACAGGACAGGCTTCATAATCTAAAGTAGCATTTAGACTACAAATTTGAGGCTTTTCGTGGCATGATTACACTGGCATTTGCCGCAGTAAATGTATAAAAATTACTGAAGTATGCGTTTTGGCATTGTATCTGAAAAATTCAAAGAAGTGAAAAATCTGAAGGCTATTATTTTCCGATCTGTGTATTCATCTCAGAGGTATGAATTAAATCAATGCACTTAAAAATGCAGACAGAGCAAAATTCTCCTCCATCCCTATAACAGCACTGATGTGCTTTGACGGCAGTGTTGCTGCACTACAACTCCCATCATCCCCAATCACTGGTCATGGTGGCTATGCCTAATGGGAGTTTAACAACCTCTGGATTCCCCACCACTGCCTTACACAGAGTTCCATCGCCCTCACCAAGCTATAATTCTTATAATCCCTTGGAGGTAATCCATGACATTCGATCAACCCAGTGTGTACAGTTCAGGTATGATCTTATTACGATACCCTTGACATGAGCAGCTGTGATCTGAGCAAGCTCTTAGGTGCACGGGTCATCAGTAAAATCAGGGGCAGTAAAATCAGTGAAAATTACTGAACAACAAAGCAACATTATATATTGGGGGACTGCACCAACCGCACTGCACAATTCTTACCATGAACAGAGCCTAACATGCTACACACAGCACACAGCCCTCCAGTTAATATTGTGGAGCATCAGCTGCCTTCTCATTGTCATCAAAATTCATGGCTGTAGAAATAAAACATTATTCCTTTTATGCAAAGAAGCTGTGCTAGGGAGTCAAATGGCTTATAGGAGACAGCACTTGGGATTCACAGTTAGGAGGCTGGGGGGGGGGAGAGAAGTAAAGAAATCAATAAACCCAAAAGCCTGCAAAGCGCTGTAATTAAAAATGAAAATGTAAAGGCAGCTGGCCACGGTATATGCAGGCCATTAAACGCTGCCTTCATGGGAATAGCAAGCAATTCCTCTCACGCAAAAGTGATAACTTGAGGAGGGAGAAAAGCTGTAATTCTTTAATGTACTGCTGCAGATAATAGGAAATCTCACAGACCACTGTGCATACACTTGTAAAAAATATTATTTTGGAAGTGTGGGGGAACCAACATTTATCTCACTGAATATGGGTACTTAAGCTGCATTCACACACAAGTAAACTGTATATCATAAAACTAGAAACTATGCTGGAGTAATGTCACACCCTTGGTTTTTAAATCACTATTGCTTAATATTTTCTCTAAGGAACTCAAGGTGGCATACAAACTTCTCCCCCTCTCCATTTTTTCCTCACAACAGTCTCATGAAGTAGGTTAGGCAGGGAGAGATAGTGACTGGCCCAAGGTCACCCAGTGGGCTTCTTGGCTCAATGGGGATTTGCACCCTAGTCTTCCAGGTCCTCGTTCAGAATTCTAACCACTACACCATACTGCCTCCCAAGCACGTCACCTAGGAAATCAGTCCCACAGAGCTCAGAATTTACTTCCAAGTAGACATGTTTAGGATCAAGTTATTAACATGTATATATTTCCAGGACAAAAAGAGGAGCTGGGCTCCCATCAGGGAATATGTTCCCCACTTGCTTTAGATATGAACAAAATCAGCAGAACAATCAGATGTGGGTTTTTTCAGGCACATGGAGCAGCTGTAGAGTAGGAAAGGTGAAGGAACAAAACGAACCTATTCAGCATTCAGATACCTTCCAGAATGCAAAATGTTTATTGTGCTTGGCATCTACCACTGCACTAAATCTGTATAATGTACTCTAGTACTGTAGTATATCGTGGTGGAGGCTTCAAAAGCGAGACAGTAATTACCAGGCATTTCTCTATCTGTCTGTTCTCAGAAATGCATATTAGCTCCTGGAATGCAAAGTGCTGTTAAAAATGCAGCTGCCACAGAACAGAAGCGAACGCTTATTGTGGTATCAGGAGTCCTTTTGCTATATTCAACAAACTGTGAGCATTTTGTAAACAACTCAGTTATGAACATTAGAGACCAGGTGGCGAGAAGGCATTTTCCAAGGGTGGAAAATAAGGTATTAAAAAGCAGGTGTGAGGGACGGAGAAACTCAACATCATCTACAAACCTTTGCTGTACTTAGAGCAGCCATCTCGGAGCAAATTAATACATTCTAAAGTAGTATGAGAAATAGGCTGGCTGGTAAACAAGGTAGCAAAACCTAGCCAGTAGGGGAGAAGAGTAATCATTTCCCACTTAAAGCAGTCATTTTGACACAAATCTTTCATGACTCATCTGAGGAACCTGCTCAGGTAAGATTCTCTCATGTTAATGATCCTCCTAATGCAGGGATGCAGGGATAGGGAACCTGTAGGCTGCAGCTCTCCAGACCAAGTTGGACTCCAACACCATCATCCCTGACAGCTAACCATGCTGGCTCAGGCTGATGGGAGCAGAAGTCCAACAACATCTGGAGGGTACCAGGTTCCCCATCCTTGCTGTATTACGGGAACGCCTACATTGGGCAACGAGGTCTACGCCAATGAATTCTCACTTTAATACGTTGATCAACTGCTCAATTTATCAAGATACAATCCTTTACTTTGTTTCATCTTGTTCTTTGTTTTTGTATTTTGGATATAAGATAATTTAAAATTTAAAATTGAATTATTGTGACCAGTCTGGACACTTTCTTTGGTGTTCTGCAGGAGAGCTTCCTAGTTCCTAGTGAAGGGAAGGCCACTTTATAGAACTTTCTGACTTTTAGAAGACATCTGAAGGCAGCCCTATTTAGGGAAGTTATTAATGTTTGATGTTTTATCCCTTCATTATTATTATTATTATTTTGGGAGCCACCTAGAGTGGCTGGGGAAACCCAGCCGGATGGGCAGGGTTTGTTTGTTTGTTTGTTTGTTTGTTTGTTTGTTTGTGTTATGGCAGGCCGAATAGTAAGCTTATATCTGACTCTTGTTGGGATATTGTGTTTGTTGGTGTTTCTTTGAATCACTGTGTTTTCCAATCTACTTTATTTTATTTTATACCACTTTGGGGCTACCTGCCCCAAGGTGGCATATACACACTTCCCAAACCAGGGAATATCTAGAAAGCAGGAGAGGGATGAAGGCTGGTACAGTTCACCCTCCACTTTCTTCAAAGCCATGCCTTGATGTGGACCTAGAGCCAGGAAGAGTGGTAAAGACAGCTCTAAGCGTCCCAATGCAAGTCAGCTCAGCCTCCATCCAACATACATTATTAAGTCATGAATGGGGAACGTTTGGCTCAAGAGACTGTTACCCCACAGCCATATCATCAGGTGTGTGTTGGGTAAAGTCACAGCTGCAAAGGAACAATTGGTAGCCTTAGGGAGCACTCCCACTTGTTCCTTTGCAAGTGTGGCTTTCATTCAGCGCCATTAAAATTTAGCACTAAATGCATGCTGCACTGTTTCAGCTATTTGGCACATCCACCTGACATCATATGACATGCTGGAATGGACAGGTGGGCAACCCACCTACCTGTCAAATGTGTTCCACTGAGAGTTGGTCAACACTGGATCTGGCCTGCCATCTAAAAGGGGTTTCTCCACCCCTGGGTTAAACAGAGAATTTTGCAGACTCGTTACTAATTATGCTTCTACTGATTTTTCATTCAGGGACCAAAAGCCAAATTGGCATCAGGAACTTCTGAAGCTGACTAGTGCATTCACAAACTCAAAAGAGGAGAAGCAATGTATCAGTTAATTTATCCAGTATGAGATGCTTATCAAGTACTTTTTCAGGGGGATTTTGTTCACATATGCTGCAGGGCTTATCTTGCATCAAATCCAGACAACAGCATCAATTCCAGACTTAGCCCAATATGAGCACACATTTAACTGAAACCTTTTAAAAATAAATTAAAGGCTTTATTGCTCTTGCAGGCAGCTTCTTCCTCACCCACTTTATATGCATTTCATATAATGAACTCGTGAGTTTTGCAGCATGAATGCGCACAACATCCACTTTCAATAAATAAGGTGCAAGAGCATTCCCAAGTCAAACAATAAGTATGTACACTCAAACATGAATGTACACATTACATGAGCTTCCAGGACTAATGCAACGCTAGCAAGCTTTTCATTCCAGAGCTCAAGTCACCACCTTGGTCTGAAATACCTAGCCATTTCAACAACTAATTAAGCTCAAGTAGGGTTGCCAGCAAGTTTGGAAAACTCAGCAATGGCCAGAGGATTGGAGAAGATCAGTGTACATCCCAATCCCAAAGAAGGGCAGTGCCATATAATGCTTCAACTACCGCACAATTGCACTCATTTCACACACTAGCAAGGTTATGCTTAAAATTCTACAAGGCAGGCTTAAGCAGTATTGTGGACTGAGAACTCCCAGAAGTGCAAGCTGGATTTCGAAGGGGCAGAGGAACCAGAGACCAAATTGCAAACATGTGATGGATTATGGAGAAAGCTAGAGAGCTCCAGAAAAACATCTACTTCTGCTTCATTGACTACGCAAAAGCATTTGACTGTGTCAACCACAGCAAACTATGGCAAGTTCTTAAAGAAATGGGAGTGCCTGATCACCTCATCTGTCTCCTGAGAAATTTCTATGTGAGACAAGAAGCTATAGTTAGAACTGGATATGGAACAACTTGATTGGTTCAAAATTTGGAAAGGAGTACGACAAGGGTGTATATTGTATCCCTGCTTATTTAACTTATATGCAGAATTCATCATGCGAAAGGCTGGACTGGATGAATCCCAAACCGGAATTAAGATTGCCTGGAAGAAATATCAACAACCTCAGATATGCAGATGACACAACCTTGATGGCAGAAAGTGAGGAGGAATTAAAGAACCTTTTAATAAGGGTGAAAGAGGAGAGCACAAAATATGGGATGAAGCTCAACATTAAAAAAACTAAGATCATGGCCACTGGGCCAATCACCCCCTGGCAAATAGAAGGGGAAGAAATGGAGGCAGCAAGAGATTTTACTTTCTTGGGCTCCATGATCACTGCAGATGGTGACAGCAGTCACAAAATTAAAAGACGCCTGCTTCTTGGGAGAAAAGTGATGACAAACCTAGACAGCATCTTAAAAAGCAGAGATATCACCTTGCCAACAAAGGTCCGTATAGTTAAAGCCATGGTTTTACCAGTAGTGATGTATGGAAGTGAGAGCTGGACCATAAAGAAGGCTGATCGCCGAAGAATTGATGCTTTTGAATTATGGTGCTGGAGGAGACTCTTGAGAGTCCCATGGACTGCAAGAAGATCAAACGTATCCATTCTGAAGGAAATCAGCCGTGAGTGCTCACTGGAAGGACAGATCCTGAAGCTGAGGCTCCAATACTTTGGCCACCTCATGAGAAGAGAAGACTCCCTGGAAAAGACCCTGATGTTGGGAAAGATGGAAGGCACAAGGAGAAGGGGACGACAGAGGACGAGATGGTTGGATAGTGTTCGCGAAGCTACAAACATGAGTTTGACCAAAATGTGGGAGGCAGTGGAAGACAGGAGTGCCTGGCGTGCTCTGGTCCATGGGGTCACGAAGAGTCGGACACGACTAAACAACAACAAAGGGTTGCCATATTCCAGGAGGAAAAAATATGGAAACAAAAAGTTGTTGAGCTTTTGCTCCACCTGTGCAAAAAAAAGAAAAAAGAAAATGAAAAAAATCTCCAAAATCACGAACATTTGTCCGAAGCTAAGTATTTCACATGTGCCACTTCAAGGGTGGCAGGATGCAAGGCTACTGCACCTTTAATTGCTAGGCCAAAGAAGGAATTTTGGCAGATGTGGTGCAAGGCCTCTGGCAACCTTAAAAACTTCAAGTGCTTTTCAGCATCTCTTCCTGCCTGCTGGAGTGTGCATATGCCAAAGACAGAAATGCACATTTAAAGGTATTATTAATGTATTTTTAAATGAATTATTATAATTATATGTACAATACAAGACCGTCAACATATAGCATCGCTTCATAGAATACAAAAGATGCAAGTGCAAAACCCAAAAAATATTAGTACCATTAGAAATATTAAGAACACCAACAGGGTAGAAGCAAGGTATTAAGAACATTTACGGTCCAGATAAGAACACTATAAATGTATGATTAGTAACACAGCAGACATATTAGGAATGTGAGACTCTGGAAGGATGAAACAAAATTAACACGCACTGCAACTTCCTCTTTGCCTTACTACATAGCATCTCCTTATTTAATTACACACTAATGCTAAATGGGTTTCCATTAATCAGAAGGAAAGGAAAAAAGGAAAGGAAAACATCCATCAACACTTTTTCATTACATTTCCTTTCTTATTTATTACTACAATACTTCATAATAACAAAAAGTCTATTTCTGAACCTTTTAATCCAACCTTTTGTCTAATGTACTGAACTGCCAGAACCCAACTATTTATTTTTTTCTTCTAATTCTCAGAATCTTTCACAAGCACAGTCCATTTAATGTCTATCAGCTTCCATATTCTCCCCATCAGTATTGTGATAGAGAAGCTTTCATTACTTTTCAACTGTCTTGCATATTCAATTCCTGCTATAGTAAAAGGTATAAATAATATGGGCATTGGTCTCTTCACTAGTGCACTATTATGAACAAAATTTAACTGGGTCCATTTCTACTTTTGCCTGAAACAACTACTAATTATAGCACCACCTTCCAAAATCTAGCAGCTTTTTAATATTCTTTTTTACACTTCACATGTTGCAGAAACCTCTGGGATTGCTGGCATGCCCAATAGTTTCCTTTTACCTCTTTTTTCCCCACATCTTCCATGTTGTTAAATTCTATTGTTTACTCATTTTCAGGAAATTGTCTAGATCCAGTTAGCACCGAAAAGCACGAGCCTTGTGCACGCAAAAATTCCAATACTTATTTAAGAGCTATTTTCTTTAGATCTTTATCTCACTTCCTCCTATATGCTTTCTCATCCACCTTTTGGCTATTCAACAGCATGTTATACATTCTAGTTAACTTCTCTTCCCATTTTTGTTTCCACTCATTTTTCAAAGGGTAGATTGTAGTAATATCTTTTTGGACAGTCCTGCTGTGGCCTCAGCACATGCAGCTTGCATTGGGGAGGGAAGCTCTCATTCACTCCAGCCTGGATCGGGACTTCAGCAGGGAGCTAAAAGTTTAAGCCCCCAACCCCACCATGCCAGGTTCCTGATTGTTAGTGCAGGGGACTCAATCCATGAAATAAAAACTTTCACTCCAGGGCAAACAAGGTGCTTAGTAATGTCATGTGTAGTTTGGTCCTTAGCCTACTTATAGGGGAGTATGGGCCAGCATCCAGGGGAGGGTCTTCTCCAAACTAACAGCTCAAGGCCCTCCTCCCAACTTTCTGGGCCAACTCAAAACCTGAAGAGCCAAACACCTGTTTCTCTCCAACTTATCTAATGATTTTTGGTAGGGGTGGCACTGGAGAGGAGAGGACTTATCCTCCCCTGTCCAGTTTGGTGGTAGCTGGAAGCTTGCAGGAAAAACAAATGAGTAGATAGCAGGCAAGGACAGGACCTTGGATAGCTCCAGGAGAGCCCGGAAGGCTGAAATGTCTTCCTCCTGAGGTTGCTACAGAAGATGTTGTCTCTGCAGAGAGTTAGAATCAACTGAAGCCTTGTGCAGGCTAACAAGCCCTGGGATGTACATGGAAGGCTCCACCTGCCTAGAGGAGATGACGGGCTGGCTAAAGTAGTCTCACATTATATCATCATTGGCTTTTGCGTGGCTGGAGTCATAATTGTAATGCAGAGGACTAACCCTCTGAGAGGGTTGGGGTGTAGGATTGTAACCCCTGAGTGGTAGAGCTTCCAATAAGAGACTGGTGGTTCTCCCCCTGAAGAAGTAGGCAGTGGGGCTTAACTTCTTCTCTTTGTATGCTGCAATCCTGATTCTTATGTTTATGGCAGATTCATTATTTGCTCCAGACTAAGTTTTCAGCACAAAGCACAGACTATGCCACCTCAGGACCAGAAGAAGGCTAACAGAAAAAGGGCATTTTGGAAGGAAGAACAGAAGCCTTGGTGAAACTTTATACAAGGAAGGTACTCTAGAATAAAACTGCACATCTACTAAACATAGTCTGAACCCAGATTCTTATTTTTAAGAATCCTACCTCTGAACATAACAATGATATCTACTAGTGGTGGTGTCCATAATTAATTTAAGGGGTGAAAGGAAATGCAGCTGCTTGCAATATATTAAGAGTAACATGTTTTTCAACCACTTTGCTATTATTTATCTTAAACACAATCCATATAACACCCTGCATTGTTGTAGTAGTCAAAGAGGAAGGTAGCAGCACTCACCTGACCCACTCAACTCACTGTAACTGGGCACACCAGTCTCTACTCAAATAAACTGTTAAACTTCCAGAACCATGTTCTCAAAAAAAAAAAAAAAATTTCATTCCACAGCCAACTATACTAAGAGGCTTAAGGCAAATAGGTTGATTTGTGTTAGTTTACTGGTAAGTGAAAAGGTAATCCATGGAATACATGGCAACCAATCAGAAATGCTCAAGGTCATTTGAATGACAGTATCAATTGCCATCAGTGGACGTAACAGTCAGCCAAGTGAATATATAAACTCTGGACATGATATTGCTTTGCCACATTTTCACCTTCCATTTGTCAGAGGTAGGAATTGGAAGTAGTATTAAAAAAGAAAAGAGTCCCCTAAAATATGGCTCTTCTCCACTCATAATGTTCAACTGCATTTCAAGTAGGATCCTTCTTTCCTTAGAACCAGGCTAAACTGAATGGGGCTTATGTTCCCCCCTTGCCTGCTTGTTCCATTGAAATTCCCTTGTGTTGGGTAAAATGGATCATGTGGTGGGGGTTATAGAATAGACCGAAACAGGCCCCTCGGAAACAAATTACATGCTCCTTGCCTAACTTTCCACTGGGTGATGGGACTTGACTTTTAAGCTTCATAATCACCATCAAGAAGCGATGCACAGAGCACATCATTGGTCACCAAGGAGAACATCCATATAACCTCTCTTGGCCCAATCTCTGGTCCTCTTCCACTTGGCATCTACCTCCATCAAGTTAGTTTATTCTTTCTTTTTTGGAGATGGGCAGGACTGATAAGAGGAGGAGGGAAGAGGATAGAAGTTTGAGCCCCACTTTGAGTTAGGTTCACCTAAAAAAAGGAAAACTAGAGGTGGCAAGACTTAGAGGGATGTGGAAATGGAATTACTGAAGGTTTCCAGCTGAACATTTGAAAAAATAATAATCAAAAGGTGGTATTGGTGGAGTATTTGACTTGAATGCTTCTGATTTTGGGGACAAGCAAGTGGGTGATCACCCATCTTTATTCAAAAGTCTTCCAGCCTACTCAAGCATGGTATTGTCCTCTTGATGAGCATTAACATCTTGATCCTAAAACAATCATCCTGAAGCACCAAGTGGCATATGGTATCACAGCTGCAGCAACGAACAGCATGAAGAAAAGTAGGGCATATTCATCGATGTATGCTGAATGTCCATTTCAGGGTTATTTTAACACATCACCAGTATGTATACAAGATGCAAAGCAGCACACACAGACAGTAACAAGACAGTAAATAAACATTTTTACTCCAACACACAGAAATTCATTCCCATCCTTACACACCAGGGGTATTGCTAAGTACTTAAAGCAATCAAAATATGGGTATGGCATGACATAAGTTTGCATGTGCTGAGTTATTATGTCTCTGAGGTGCAAATTAAGACAGCAGGTAGTCAGAGGTCTCATTGGCATTAAGCTGTGATACATGCCCAACAGTCTTATAAGCAAAGGGGGGGGTGTCAAAAATTGGGAAGAAGGAGTAGGAAATCTGAGGCCTAGTGCATTAGGATATGAGATTCCTTGGCTGCCCCATCACACACCATCTTTGTGCCACATTAGCATCAACAACATACACAAATTGATAATTTTAATCCATCCTGTTTATTTTCTCTCCTGACATCTACAATGTATGTAAGATACATAAACAGTCCAAACTCACTTGGTCTATATTTATGACAGCTATAATTCCGCTTGCCTTTGCAAAGCTTAATGTCCCTATATTCCACTGTGTTTTTCCATCTAGCAAGGAATTAAGATTAGAGATGAGCAAAACCTTCTCTATAATTCCCACTTCACCAGAAATAACCCTGCATGTTCATGATACTTTCCCAGAAAACCAGATATGCAGTTTCCCTGAAACTTGGGTCCTTGCCCCTGAGTGGTTAGTTTGTACACTTTGGTTTCTGCAGGGGGGCACTTGCCCCCTCAAATCCTAAATGTACTTCTTTGTTTTAATGTAGACAGACACACACAAATCCAGCTAGTCAACAATAGGTTTAGAGTGATCTATGAGAGGTTTGGGGAGCCTACTGAGAGTACCGTATTTTTCGCCCTATAGGACGCACTTTTCCCCTCCAAAAATGAAGGGGAAATGTGTGTGCATCCTATGGGGCGAATGCAGGCTTCAGGAAGCTCTGCGCAACCCTCGGGAGCCCGGCGAGCAGTCGCGCCGGGCTCCCGAGGGTTGCGCAGATCTGCCTGCATTCCAAAGCCTGGGGCGCACTGAAGAGTGCGCCCGGGCTTCGTGCAGCTCTCCGCAAGCCTGGGGGGACCGGCGCGGCTCCCTAGGCTTGCGGACAGCAGGCTGTTCTGGGGGCTGGGGTCAGGGGAAGCTCGGGCTTCCCCCGCGCCAGCCCCGTGCCTGGGGGGGAAATAATTTTTTTCCCTTTATTTCCCCCCCCAAAAAAAACTAGGTACGTCCTATGGGGCGAAAAATACGGTAGCTGCCAGATTTTGTCTCTTTGCAATTTTCTGAAGGAAAACCTTCCTGGGCCAGCAGGCAACTCAGATGAATGCTACCTGTTCAGATCTAATGATGCTGTGGAAATGTTATAAGATCTGAATACCCTAGAAACACAATGATAATATAAAGAGTTGCAGCATCTTTTTATGATCAGTTGAGGAGCTTGCAGGTACTGCTGGACCTGAACCTGCTTTTCGAGGGGTAAGTGGGGATGGGGGTGGCCAGGACTAGAAACCAAAAGTAGCCCAGCAGAATAGAAACCAAAAGTGATGACAAAGCTTTTGGTAAAATCAGTAGCGAAAAAAGCTTTTCTTGGGAAATAAAAAATTAGTGCTACTGTTTTCATTGGTTGAAGGGTAAGAGAACGGCACATGGGATGTCGATATAAGGTTGCCACAGAAAGAAAGGCAAGAAACAGAGCTGTTTCTATTTGTTTAGTTATAGACACCTGCAACAACTTCAAAAAGCAGAAGACAGCTAGTGAACCCCAGACATAAACAGAAGATACTGCTTCATCAGAAATCACAGAAGTAGCAAAAGAGACAAAAAATATTCAGGTACAGGTACAGCCATGGGCAAGGCATGAGAATACCCCAAGAAAAAATCCTGAGGCAGCTACCAGAACTGTACAAACTGAATGACAGGAAAAGCTGGATATAAAGAACCAGGCGTACCAACTTCTAGGGGCCGAGGCCCCCAAAGTATTTTTTAAGGGGGCTGAGCCCCCTCAATATTCAGGAGGTGTTAGGTTCTGCCCCCTGGCATCACACAATGTCAGAGCATCATGTAGTGTTGTGCAGCATTGCACAGCATCACACAAAAGCCCCCTCAATTTCCTTAAGAAGATAGTGCCTCTGTAAGGAACTACATACCAAATGCAAATCCTTTATTTGATGTGTTATAATTTGAGTTGATTGCACCATGCTGGACCTCTACAGAAAGATATTACTTCAAGCAGGATCATGCACAGCTTTCTAAATATTCTCCTTGGTTAACATACCCTTCTGTTTTGAAAGGGCCTGCATGCTATCACTGTATTTTATTTCCGCACAGGTATTGTTTCACAACTCAAACGAAAGCTCGCCTTTTCTCTCTCCAAGCATTCCCATAAAAAATAATAATTCAATAATTCATGATTGCAGAGAAATGCAACTTGTGACAAAGCAACCCATGTGTTTAATTAAGTCTGAGAAGCTATTAAGAATGATAACCCAATTGGAGGGGGAAAGTGGTATGCCATAGAATTAAAACACTAAGTCTGGTTTTCTCCTTTACTCCATTTAGTCTCTAGCAAATACATTCTTAGTACCGGTCTTAGCGCTTGTCAGTCTTCCTTACTGTTCATATGTGCAAAACCTTCCCTTATATATTCTAGCGCTAAAATACATGCTAACTAAGTTTGAACCAAAATTCATGAATCTGGGTTTTATTGTTCTCCAGTGCAAACAACTAGTTCAAAATGAAGAAATGCCAAATGGCTGCAAAAATTGATCATTGACACAGTAAAGAAAATGTTAGGGTTTCAGGAGTTGTTGTTGTTGTTGTTGAGTCAGACACAACTAAACGACTAAACAACAACAACTCCCGAAACCCTAACATTTTCATTACTGTGTCAATGATCAATTTTTGCAGCCATTTGGCATTTCTTCGGGGGAGGGGGTTAAGAGCAACACTCCTGTGGTCACTATCACCTCCTGAATGGGCATAATCACTTCAGTGACTTGCTGAGAAAGCTAATTTTAGAAACTCAGTCTATGCTTTAGAATGAAGCCACATGACATTGCTCACAAAGAGCCACTGGAAGCAAGACACATCGTTTTACACAAATATTTAAGTGTTGTTGTTTTTTTATTTTTTAAAAAACCAATATTTTTTTCCACAATGCAACTTCAATAGAATAAGTTGCATTCCCAGTTAAAAACAGGGAACTAAATATCCCATGGCCTTTTTATACTGTCTGTTGGAATCTTGATCTTCAGTATACTACAATGTAAATATACCATGCAACAAGGAAACATTTTAGCACAATCAGGAGAGCTCACAGTTTATTAAAGTAGCAACACTTGGGTCTATTTTCATATTTGGAAGTGGCAAAAAAAGCCTTTATGCACCCCATACATGAAAATCTGTTCTTGAAGGTGTGGCAGGGCTGTCTTAAGCATATACGGCGCCGGGGTGCAAAAATCTGCCCATCGGGCCCCCCCCCCGGGTTGCCCAGTCCCAGGCGTGCAGGAGGGCAGAGCCAGCTGGCCACCTCAGCACCTTGCTGGCTTGGTCACCTCCAAACTCACAGCACAAAGCTGCCCGCAGAAGAGCCCATTGCAGCGCTTCAACCGATGGACGAGCTCTTCCCTGGACTCAACTCTCAGGCCCTGGACTCTCAGACTGGTGCCCCTGAGAGTCCGGCACCCGGGTGCCCCACACCCCTAGCGCCTATGGGTAAGACGGCTTTGAGGTCTGGTGTCTACATATAAATTCTGTATTATAAATCATAAAAACTCAATGAGTTGGCACACACCCAACAGAAATATTGACTAAACCAACTTTTATTAAGATACAGCATACATAACTCTGTTAAGATAATGACATTTGTAGAACCCAAACCAAAATGAAGTAAGTACATAAAACTACTAGACAGAAGCACCTATTCTAAGACAGTTTCTCCCTGGCTTGTAAAAAGAAGACTGCGAAAAGCAATTATTTGGGCTTGAAATATATATAATTGCTGTAAAATGGCAGACATCATCACACCATATTTCTAGGACTGATGGTCTCCTCTTTGTCAATTTAAACAAAGGATGTGATTTAATAAGCTGAATTCAACCACAGAGTCCAAAAATAAATAAATCCCCACACTTACTTGAGACCCTGAAATCAAAATTAGTTGGTGAAAATTCTGATAGCTTTATACTAGACTGCACAGCAGGATATCACTTGAGTGCAGCTATCCCACTGGCCTCAGTTAGGCTATCCATGTTTGATTGATTTTATTAAATCCATAACTCCATCTCATATTCAGAGGCAAAAAATGAAGAAGGGAAATGATTGTTGAATAATTGTTGGCCTGTTTGAAAGACTAAGGCAGTTCCCATTTCATGCTGTCAGCTGCTAAACCTGGTTTCTGTGAAGGTCATGGGATATCCATAATGATGAAAATTATGGGCTGGCTTCTACCTGAATACATCACTTATGCAGTCTTACACAGAAGAAAGAAAGAAATTGGGGCAGCAAGGAATCAATACGAACTCTGAAGAGTAATGCAACGTAATTCTAACATATTTAGAGTGTATATAACCCTTCTACCTATCCTTTAGAAAGGCTCTAAAGTTAGTCTTTTCCCCTTCTCAGAGAGTCTGAGTAACTTGAAAGGTCACCGATGAACAAGGGTAGGCTCATTTAGAAGCAAACATGCCAACCTCACCTTAAAGAACTGGTTAGGCTTCATTTTACAGGTCATTTCCCTATACAAAATATTTAGAAAACTAAGGTTCATATGGTTTTCTTAATGTACAGACTACTGAAGGAAAAAATAGTATCTACTCAGCGTTTGATGTTCAAAATAACAGAGTCCAGGAGGATGCCATTATCATGAGCAATAAAACAGAGCACAGAAATATGTCTAATATATTTTCCATGACTTTGAATGTTTTTCAGCCTCTTATACTCATTAGCAATGAGTTCTAAATGGCAAATGGAACAGCAGAAAAACATTTGCTTACAGCATTAAAGTCCATATACAAAATGCCTTGGTAACTCCATTTGCCCAAGTATGATCTGAAAAACACAACATAGGTAAAAGGACCAAAATTATGCTTTGAAAATTATTAAGGGACACATTATTACATTTAGAAGTCTAGCATTTGAAACCAAATTATTATCAAAGCAAAAGTGCAGTCATTTACTGATGTACTACAATACTGAGGCACCACTGGTATGAGCTGTAACAAAAAAAAAAAGTTCCCATTACTGTAGGTTTTTTTATACCCATGACTGGACTGCCCAATTGCATCAAAATTTTGGCCCTAACACCTTAAAGCTAGAGTACACATTACTGGTGGCCACTACCCCATATCTTGTGGTTTGTTATTAGAATTGGTGTGGAAGTTTGTTGGAATGATTTCAACCTACCTTTAGCCAGCAAGGCCTCTCTGCTGGGCCTCTTGAGTTGAAGGTGGAGACCCTCGGACCATGATTTTGACTTAGGGAAATGCCTGAAGATCTTGCGTATTCTCTTTGTTACTAATCCAAAGCAAGCTGCAGCCTCTGCTTTCCCTTCTGTCATTCTTCTAACATAAGATCAATAGCCTCCTCTGGCAAACGCAACCCAGGCAGGCAGGCAGGCAGTGCTTGAATGCGGAATGCTATTGGGAGCAGCAAATGCATGTTCACCGGAACTTAAGGTTGCAAAATGAAGAGCTCTCAATATAGTGTTAATTTTTAGCTCCTGCCCTTCACTTTTTTGTTTAGCATTTTCTTAAAAAGCGCACACCACAGTCCTCAAACTTCCACGGCTGCTCCTGTAATGCATGGAAAACTTTCTATTTCTGGGGCTTTTTGCCTGATAAGATAACGCAACCTAACGGAAGAGGCTACAGTAATGAGAGAGAACAGGAACCATCCCTTTCTTTGCAAAGCTTCTTTCAAATATTCTCAGCCCACTGGCTCCTATTTTCTGTCAGCATTTTAGTTTAATCTCAATATTATTTTAGAGTACAATAAAAACAGTAACTTTAATATGCCAAATAACCTATTTCTTCATCTCCAAGATATTAATAAGTTTAAAACAGGTGATTAGCTACAAATACAAGGCCAGCTGTTCTGTGGCAAGAAATATATGTCTTCGCACTGTTCTAGAACTAGCTACATGGCATGATATTCCCCCTTTGTTTTTTTAGTGGATTCCTCAGAAGTAAGTCCTACTGAGTCTAATTAAGTGTACTTAGCTGGAGTGCAGAGCCTCCGACAAAAGGGACAAAAGCAGCCCTGCAGGCTTCTCTGACTAGCTCCCAAACTCTCCCCAGGGGACACCCCACATTGGCCTGCTGTGCCCCCCAAGTGTTTTTCCTTGGTTGGAATGGGTCCTTGAACTCCAGTAATGCCTCATGCATGCCTAGATGGAGGATGCAGAGCGGCGTTTGAATGCATTTAAAAATGAGTTTTCTGTACAAAGAGGCAACATTTCCATTCATTGCTCCACCCATTTTTGCCTCTGGTCTCACCCACCATTGCCATGTGGCCCTTGGAAGGTTGCCCAGAATGGAATGTGGCCCTCAGCCTCAAATTATGTTCCCTACCGGTTGCCCACAAGTTGTTGGAAGTAGCCTAAAAGTTGTCGGGAATAGCTATAAAGAACAAGAATGTCAAAATATTGGTGAGCATTGCTGTAATTGGTATGGACATGTCTAGTGGCATACTCAGGTCTACTCATTGACGGACAGCAGGCCTACCCATTGAGATGCAATGAAAGGTCAGGCCAGTAATACAAGTTTCTCAGGTGACAGATCTACCTAGATCTCACTTCCATTCAACCATCAGATCTACCAGACTTGGTAGACCTGTTCCCAGATGCTAGTTACATTTGACTGGCTTATTTGCTCCCCACCCCCATCGGAAAAACACCTGCAGACACCCATGAAATACATTTAGAATACAATCCTATGCACTAACTCAGTCCCATTAAGTCCAGTGGTGCTTACTGAAGGATTGCAGCCTTAGAACCCTAACTACTACTCCTTTGTAGGACAAAAGGCTCAGCCTCTTGTGGCTTACAAAAGGTTCACTCTCCAGGCAATCACATTCACCCTAACCCCTAGGGGGACATTAAACCTTCTCTGCCCTAGATGAGAATTTCCAATCTCTACTGAACAGCTTGGTCAGAAAATATTAAGCCGTCAAGGACCAATTTATATAATGGTTATGAAGTGATAAGGTTATCTCAATTAAACGTCCTTCCATTGCCTTTTGAAAGTCAAAACAACTATTTGCAATACCTTGATTATGTAAAATCAAATATAAATACACCAATATTTTCTTTTTGTTTCAATGCTCACATTCATTATGGCCTTATGTTTTCAAGCAAGCAATAGACCGAATGGAAGATCTCTGTGCATTTAAATAGCTGGCTTCTTAAAAACTGAATAATGTTTTTTTCTGAACAAACTACAAAAAGGCAGGAACAAAACAAAGCCCTATTTGCCTATAAACATTAACTGGAAGTTTGTTATTAGTATTTAGCAGTGTACTTGAACTTGACACCAATTGTAACAGGAAACAATAAGCCTGAAAAATATTTGCAAGATAAGAATGCCCATATTACATTAAGAGTGCTGAAGGTGTGCATAATTTTAGCAGGGAACCTACTATGGAAAAGTAAGTATTGTAGCCCCCTTCAATCCAAGTGTATAAACTGGGTGCTACAATGCAAAAGACCCTCCTCCATGTTGTCACAAGATGGATCTCAGCAGCCTGAAGGACAATCAGGACCACCTCATCCATGAAGCTTAGCATATGGACAGGTCTGCATGGAAGAAGCCTTCCGGGATCCAGGTCCCAAGGTGTGCAGAAATGGGTAGGATGACACCATGAAGTGTTAGAAACTTGGATACATAAGCAAAATGGCTCCTTAAACCAAGGTTACATTTGCCAAATCAGAATGTCTGGTTGCCTTGAGCTAGGTTAAGAATTTAGAAAACTTAAAGAAAAGTCACTTTATTCAGGGGCAGTCCACATGTACATTGGCCTGTTCCTATCTTTTTATATTAATTGTGACATAGGCCATTCATAACCCAGGAATATTCTTCACAACTGTGAGCAGGGCAGTGGGGTGGGGGAAGTGAAGACAAAAGCGGCTGAAGAAACCCAGCCAGATAGGTGGGGTATAAATAAGTAATTATTAATTATTAGCTACAACATTTAACTATAACATTGTTCATTGCTCCTGCTCAGGCTGCCCAGAAAAAGCATTTTGGTTCCTGAAATTCATTCTGATTGTGCAAATAAAATATAACTGATAGAATTCTATAGGATGTGGTATTAGTGTGTGAAAACAGTCAAGATCCAATGATCCCCAGGCATGTAACTCCAGATGGTGGAAATATCAGGCACCATCCTGGCATCCAGGCATCTTCACTTGGTCACAAGTGGCCGATAGCCAGGTGCAAAATGCCACAGGCGCCTGGCTAATTTCAAACACTGCCAATGCATTAGGACAGAGTGGCTAACCTGTGGCCCTTGTTACACCACAACTCCCATCATCCCTCACCACTGGCTATGCCAGGGGTAGTCTAAAACATCTGGAGGGTCACAGATTGGCTGTTCCTACATAAGTCACGAATGCCTGAGCCAAAGACTACATTTCCCTGGGAACTGGAACCATTTGTGATCAGGATGTCAACTCTTATAGGCTTCCTTGGGTCGGGTGTCTATGCCTAGCAGATGGGTGTCAGGTGGTGAGTAAGGGGAAGCCACATTACTTTGGGGTTGGGACCAGTGGCACAGTCCCATTTACCCCTTCATACACACAAAGTGAGCTTGTGTTCTGGACATACTTTTGGCTACACTTTGTGTCAACCATGAAACCACATTTAACCCTCTCCTCAGAGTAGAGCTGTACACAGTCCTGATTGGCTACGCCTCTCCCTTCCTCAGAGCAGCATTATACACAACCCTGATTGACTGGCCCCTATGTCACTCATGAACAGAGGCGGAGCAGCTAGCTGTGCCCACAGGGGTGGGGCTAGATGTCCATGGGGCGGGGCTAGCTGCCCGCGGGGGCATCGCCCACACAGCAAGCATCCCAGGGGGGCGGCACTGCGATGTCACCCCCCCAAGGGATGACACCCAGGGTGGCCCACACCCACCGCACCCCCTTCTTCCGCCCCTGTTCATGAAGCCGCCACCTCCATTCTCAGAACAGTTTTTAAAAGTGTAAAAAGCCCACAAACCTTAAAAAACCAAGCAGATTAGCATGCCATAAATGAGGAGTAGCAGATATCACATCTGAAACAATGTGAGGAGGAGACCTGGCTGTGTGTGTGTGTGTGTGTGTGTTACTAAAGACAGGAAGATTCAAAAGCAGCCACAGCAGGTAAAAAAAATAAATCTTACCCACTCCTGTTTGAAGGAGCAATGGCAGAACAGAAATTCTCTAATAGCTATTATTTCCTGCATAGTACTGTCAAAAGAATGCCCACACCTACTAAAGGTATGAGCTGCCTAAAACAAACACTTACAAAAGACAAAGGGGTTATTAAAAATTTACACAGTTCCATGAATCATAGGGAAGTGTGACAAGAATTACAGGGCTTGCTTTTAAGGGCAGACAAGAGACAAGGACAGCAACTGATGCAAAGAAGAAGCAGCCACAGCTACCTCTTAAGCCTTGTGGCGAAGCAACTTCCCAATATCCTAAAAACCAAAGCAACTAATTGGACTAAACAGGTTGTTGTTGTTGTTTGTAAGAGAGCCTGCTCAATGGATTTGCTCAATGGAGAAGGAATGTGGTATCATGGTTAGAATGCAAGACTAGGAACTGGGAAGACAGGGCTTGAATCCTCCCTCTGCCATGAAGCTCAGTGGGCCAGTCACCGTCTTTCAAGCCTAACCAACCTCACAGGGTTGTTGTGAGCGTATTATGAATTTAGCTATCCCCAAGAACTAGTTCTAGTGTGGTCCTCTTCTTTTGCAAGCCATCTTAGCTTCTTACTTCAGTGATTTCAAGTTTGGAGATGTTGGCACCTTCCTTTTCAGCAGCTGCCTGCTGCCACAAAGAACCCTCAGCTCGTCTCCTCTCTGGAGAGGAGCTTCGCAGGAGCTTCGCAGCCTCTCTGGAGCTTCAGACTCTCACAGGCTTGCTAAAGGCTTTTCAGAATCTCTTGTTTAGTTCACTGGCAAATCTCTTCAGTCTCCCAAAAGTTGCCCAACTGAGCTTTCAAACAGCAGGAGCCTGCGCTTTTTCTGACTAGAACGTCCACTGAAGGACTTGTAACATCCTGACCAATTTGGATCCTACTGCCAACTCTCATAACTGAAATCTCACAAAGTTACACAGCCAGCCTCAGCCACAGTGCTGGTTTAGCTGCAGCTTCTTGGCAACCTGCCAATTTAGCTCCCACCCAATGTCTTTCTCTGATTTCAGCTAGGGACAAACACACATTTCACTCTTCACACAGTCAACTACAAACAATCCAAAGAGTGTTTGCAACAGAACACACTTATTACATTTGAATTTCTCCCCATAGATGCTGTTATGCAAATTAAAATAAATATACAGTGCTCCAGCAGGGGCTAGATTTCAGGTTGTATAATTGTTGGGAAGAGCATGATTTGCATGCTAAAAACCTCAAGCTCAGGTTCAACCTCAAGAGCCCATGTGGCACAATGGTTTCGAGCAGTGGACCGGGACTGGGGAGATGTGGGTTCAAATCCCTCCTTACCCATCAACACCACAAGGCAACCAGGCAAGTCATCATTTCTCAACCTGAACTACCTTACAGGATTATTGTGAGGATAAAATGGGGTAGGGTGGGGGTGGAGGGACTATGTATGCCCCTTTGAGCTCCTTGGAGGAAACATAGGTTATAAATGTAGTAAATGCAAAAATACTGAAATCCTGGAGAGCCTCTACCAGCCTGTGCAGAGCAGGGACTGTAGGCAATACTGAACTAGATGGACCAATGGTCTAAGGCAGCATCTTATGCTCCAAACACAATTTCGAGGCAGCTTGTTTGGGTAATACCTAACCAGAAAGCAAACTCACTTGCCAAAGGTACAGGTGTAACCAATGCCTGATTCCAATGAAGCATCCCACATGTTATTACATTATTATGAGAGTAAGTTCTAGGCATTATACATTCCATGACTCTCCCCTATCAATAACGGCACACAGATTTCCTTAAAATGAGAGAGAAGAGGATCATTTAGATATCCATGAGGGAGAGCATCTGACACCAAAGGTTTGCTTCTGTCACTTAGAATTATGGCTCCACCGCCTGATCTGACTGAGATTCCAGTGGCACATCAAGTTGTGTTACCAGCTGCTTTGGGTTAGATTGCAAGCAACATGCCACAGACACTCAAGTGGAGCAATCAGCATTTTATGGTCTCTCAAAATGCAATGGTCACACCTGGCTGGCCAGCCATCTGGGTCTGCTGAGGGGGGGAAAGCAAATCACTGCATGCACTAACCAGGAAAGCAGAAGAGGAGAAATGAGGGGTGGGGGAGCCTAGGCGTGCTTTATTTAAAAAAGGAAAGGCTAATAAAATGATAATAGCAAGCCGTTCAATTCTGGAAGTATTCTTTCAAGAGAAATAACAATCATTCTTTCTCCTTTAAAGCCTGGGCAACTGAGAGTGTTATTCAGTAGGCCATAGTGAAGAGTTTTCAACTGCAGAGGTATAGCAGTGATACACATACTTCTACTCAGCAGCACAATACCCTAGAATAATAATAGAGTGTATATATGGAGCAGCTGCAACAACAACTCAAATAACATTAACATGCCCAATACCTCAACTAGTTTTCAGGAGCAGGGCTGTGCTCAACTCCAAGACCCTTTCACCTGAAGGCCTCAGAAGATTCCAAGCTTCTCAAAATGGAGGCCTCCTATTAAATAAGGACATCCCTAGAATATGCTGAGACACTGTAAATTGCTCAGGTGGGAACTTATATTGCCTTGCCAACCCTGTGTAGAACTGTAATTACACAACCACTTTCACAAACAAAGCTGAAGTAGTCCAGTTTACATTACAAGTAACTCACAACTTGCCCACATTTAACTTGTGCCCATTCAGCTTTACACACTTGGCCATTTTAAAAAATGAAAAGGGGTCCAGGAAAAAAGACTTTGGCAATCCCACTCACTTATTGAATCCAATGTGCTTTGACTCTATGAGACCCCAGCATCAAGCTGAGGGTTGCCTGTACTTCACTTGCTGAATAAATTGACAATTTAACATTTGCCAGATCTGTTTCAACTTCCTTTCCATGCATGTCCTGGCATAATAAAAAAAATCCCACCACAAATATTATCTCTTTTTTCCCCAGGGAGTTGTCCCACTCTGGGCCCTTCCCACTGTATCCTAAGGCTTACCCTGTGGACCCTCAGTTCCTTATACCAGCTGTGACAAGGGATTTTCCCTTCCCCTCAGAAGAAAAGCAGAATGGATGTGTCCTGGACATCATCATTGATATTGTTATTTATTTCTATAGTACTTAACATAATCTAAAGAGTATACAGTGGTACCTCGAGTTACGAACTTAATTCGTTCTGGAGGTCCGTTCTTAACCCAAAACCGTTCTTAACCTTAGCAGAGTTCGTAACCCGTAGCATTTGTAACCCGAGGTACCACTGTACAAATTAATAATGAACAAATTCATGCCTGGTGATTCACATTTAAATATCAGTGATGCACAAAAAGGAGCTCATTTTTATTTATTTTTAGGTGCATATTCCTCATACAGGACTCAGCAACTGGTTTTGTGGGGAAAGCCCCTTCTCACACCACAACAGGTGCAAGAGGATGCCAGTTCAAGTGAATGGGAGTTTGCAGGCTGACTATGTGAACCTGAATAGACCAGTTTAACACCTTGCCTGCCAGGACCTACTGCCTTCTGGAGCAAACAACCTTGTCTCAGATGTACCTCTCTGAACTGGTCAGGATTTGAACCAAACATTGACAATGTAAGCAGCCAGCCTCAAAAGCAGTACAGTGGTACCTCGGGTTACATACGCTTCAGGTTACAGACTCTGCTAACCCAGAAATATTACCTCGGGTTAAGAACTTTGCTTCAGGATGAGAACAGAAATCGTGCTCCGGCGGCGCAGCGGCAGCGGGAGGCCCCATTAGCTAAAGTGGTGCTTCAGGTTAAGAACAGTTTCAGGTTAAGAATGGACCTCCAGAATGAATTAAGTTCTTAACCCGAGGTACCACTGTATCTGAAGGAGTTGTTGAAATAGGCTTTGTTCCCCCAAAGCCTACAGAAAGCAAAAAGTCAAAAGGAAACCATGCATTTGCACTTTTGACATGAGTTCTCTCTGATCAGTACACACCCAGGTTTAACTGTAGCACAAAAAGCAAAAGAAGAATCTGCCCAACACCATTCTTTTGGAAAGGGAGTGTCTGCTGAATGAAGAATGGCATCAAGAAGGGATTTTTTGTTATGATGTGCAGATTTGAAGAGAACCGTTTTAGTTCCCATTAAAAAAACCCAAAAACCACCAAGCAAAAACCCCCTTTTAGAGTCAGCACTTGCTGCTGCTGCTTTTCTTCTGTTAAAAAGAGAGCACAATCTAACAATTACTTAGAATTACTTAGAATAATTAGTTAAGATGTTTGGCACTGAATCTTCCCCGGCTTCAGATACAGGCTTTCATCAGTACTTATATATCCAGGATATGGAATTTGTCTATGTAAATATGTTTCTGCATGCAATTGATAAGAAAAAGCAATTATTGACAACACATATACATTCTGCTGCGGATACCACACTGCTCACTATAAAGAGACTATAAATATATATTTGTATATACATAACTCAAAAACTCAGCTGGAATTCCGAAAAACTTTTGCACCAGGTTTATAAGACAGCTGGTTTCTTTTTCAGCAGTTGCAATTTCTTGTTAAGGTTGAAACCTGGCGATCATTAACCATGGTTAATGGTTAAGGAGAACTCATGAAAGAAAGGAAGAAAGGATCTGGGACCATTCAGTTCTATGGGTGAGAGAGACAACCGTACCTCCAAGGAGGAGTTCCACAGCCAGGGTAGCCCCACAGAGGAGACTCTGTCCTTGACAGGAGAGAAGAACCTCCTCGGCCCAGTTCAGGGAATGAATTGGCACATATGGAGAAAGATGCTCCCGGAGAGTTGGTGTTATATGAATCCACATTGCCACACTGCTCAGAACTCTCACAGCCATATTCTGAACCAGCTGCCGTGGCTGGACTGTCTTCAAGGGGCAGCCCCAAGAGTCTAAACAGTAGGTTTAGAGAATGGATTATTGTGGCCAGGGTATCCAAGTCCAGAAAGGGCCAGAGCTGGAAAGATGGGGTGGAATTCATGCTGTTGTGAACATTCCATCTGCACTAAAAATTCAATGGGGAAAAACTGACCAACTGTGACATATTGTTGCAACAAAATCACAGAGCTGTGCATAATGTTGCAGCATTAATATGATGCAGCAGGACCGTATGGTGTCTACTGTCTCTTCCAATCGCCCTTCATTTTCAAGTGGCTCTGAAAGAACAGATTTGAGCCACAGTCACTCTTCTGTGTCTGCGTACATCGCAGAGAGAAATACTAAAATGGAGATTGAAATTGGAGGGAAAGCCAAAAAGTGAAATCAGGATGGCAGCGAAGAGGGGTCAGCACACGAACACTTGGCTACAGGAGCAGGAAAGCTCTCCCGCCATGCAGGGAAACAAACTGCAACGCTGTCAGGCTAGAAGAAGAGATGCTCTGAGGTTTGTGCCAGCTCTATCCCTTGCCAAAATGTTGGACTGCAGAGCTTATTAAGCAGCAACATCCAAGCTGGCAGGCTGCCTCAATGAATTTTTTTTAAAAAAAATAGCTATACATCTTCCTAGTGGGCAACAGCGATAGTCTGACTGCATGTTTTGCTGGAATCCTAAACTCAGAGATGACCGTCACCAAGTCTCTGGTCACGTGTGGATGAAATTCTCAGGTCCACTTATAATGTGTGTGTGTGTGTGTGTGTTGTGTTTTCTTGCCTATGGCTTCCAAGAGATGCATCAGCTCCCTTCATACCCAGACAGAAAGAACCACAATAGCTTGCAACGCAGGATAAACCTGTCTGCTTAAGCTTAGGATACAAGCTGAAAGGGGGAAAGCATTTTGACACATCTTTTTTCATCAAATCCATCTCAGCAATGAATAAAATGGTGCGCCCATGCAGCCACCACAGCAGCACTCAAATGGCTCATTTAGATGCTAAACTGGAGATTAGTGCTGCACTTGAGCAGGGTCACCAACAGGCTGGGTACACATGTACTTGTCCCAAAGCCAACAGTGCTCCTGTTCTCTTAGCTTTTGTTTTTTAAAAAACATGTCAGTCATGGATAGCTCCGTTGGTTAGAGCATGGTGCTGAGAACGAGAAGGTTGGAAGTTCGATCCCCATATGGGACAGCTGTGTATTTGGGTTGGACTAGAACGTAACTAGATGATCCTCAGAGGCCCTTCCAACTCTATGATTCTGTGCACCTCATGACCCCAGTGAATTGATTAAAGATTGCAACCCCACACAGAGAGAAATACTGTACTTAAGGCAAATTAATGGGATTATATTTCTAACATACTCGTTTCTCCACTCACACAGAGATCATGGTCCAGTTCATACTAAGCTAAAGATAAGACAAACCATAGCTAAGCATGATGATATCCTGGATAATTCACAGGAAAGAAATGTGGCTGCTTCTCTCCTCACTCAGTGCTGCTCCAGCAGTGCTACCAAGCCATGGTTTGGCTGTTCTGCATTATCACCAAACCCAGCCCTGTGGTTTGGCAGCTCCAGACCAACCATAAATGGTAAGTCAAGAACAACAGTCTTAGCACAAGTCTAAGCCAAACCATGGCTTAGTTCTGAGTAGCAAGGCAGCTGTGGTTTTCACTGCGAATACACACATGCTGCCACATTCATGCTTAGTTATGGCGTGGAGTATTAAATGCAAACCAAGCCTACAAACCAGCAGTTACTCTTCAACAAATAGTTCTTGTAGTGACTGTGATTAGGTGCATGAAAATACAATTCAAGGCACTGCAGTATTAGAAAGGCAGACAAGCCTAAGGAATTTTAGAAAGAACAGGAAACAGAAACATATCCTATCACATCCTACTCTATAAATCTATGACATGCTAACAATTTAAACACCACACCCAGTTCTGGGCATGAAGATGACGCTGGAAAGATGGGTTTAGTCTTGCCTAATACGGCAAGAAGGTATACTCTTAATTTCTAGGAGCCACCCTTAACTCTAAAAACACTTCTAATAAAGCAGACTCCCCCAAGAAGATTATAGTTATGTCCAGAAAGCAGAGAAAGTTGGATTAATTAGATTAATCCTCATGGGGAGAATGTTATTTAGCAACTGCAGAGATAAGCTTTCAAATGTTAGCAAATGTTGGATCAAACCAAAAGAAGTATTAAAGACTATGCTTGCTGAAAATAATGGTTCGATTATAATCCATTTAAGACTACATTAGCAGCAATGGGCTCCCTTAAACAGAAAACAATAAAAATGACTGCACTGGATCTGGAAGATCAAGCAGGAAACACACAAACACATCGTCAAATGCAGGAATGTAGGGTAGAGCTAGACAATTATGAAATGCACAGTGGAATCCTGTATTGAGATGTGATCAATTTAAATTTAGCACTAGCAACAAGAGTGCAAGATCATAGTCACAACAAACAAGGCAGTCCCCACCCACTAAAAGTGGTAACACAAAAGGAAAATAGATTGAGAGGGAGAAGGAAGAAATGAGCAACCACTGCTACAAGTTCTTCTAATAGCCAGCTGCAGTGGGAAAGTTTGAGGAGGAGAAACTGACAAAGGTTTCTGTTCTCTCAGCTGTGCCAGTGGAGTAGCCCTGTATCCCTTCTCTTCCCTCCTCTGCTGCACTGAGATGTAACGGCTGCTAGGTGCAGATTAATGATTAGGAGACCAGGAGCTGAGAGCTCCTAGTTCAAATCCCAAGTCAGTTTATGGGACAGATTTAGGCAAAACGCACACTCTCAGCTGAAAACCACTAGCAATGTGCTGACCACACACACAAACATGCTTAATGCAAGGAAAATAATGCCCTCTCCAATAGGTGTGTTGAAAGTCTTACTTAGAAGAGGAATCCAAAATACTTCATACATGGGCAAATCCACTGCCCTGCTGTTTTGCTGTGGGCAGAACAGGAGGGGGTGTGTGGACACAGGTTTTTCTTCTTTTCCCTCCCATCAACAATTATTATTTATTTGATTTATATCCTGCCCTTCCTTCCAAAGAAGCCGAGGGCAGCCAGGAGAGGAAGCTAACCACACCAGCCCCAGGGTTGGTGGAGAGTTGCCCCATTTCTGCAGGGGTGCCAGGAAAATGGCGCCTATCCCACCCCTTACACACCCCGTAAATATGCTAAAGTTATTATGACAATTATGACAATCAGAACTTCTGCCAGGGTAAACAAAAGAATGCATCTTATGTCTTCTTTTTAAAAAAACAACAGGAAAATCTTGTTAAACTCACCTGTACCACATACCCAATTTAATTTGTTTAAACTTGGAACATAAAAGACTTTAATCTGACCTATCTATCTCTTCTGATTGCTTTTCTGGAAAAGTGTTATCTTTTAGGCCACTCTTAATGGGTGTCATTTAGGATTAATGAAAGCTAGCCAGCATCCAAAGATGGGGGGGGGGGAACCCCCAAATCATCCTTCCTGAATAATTCATCTTTCTAAATAAAATAAAAAAGTATTCCAAGTGTGCCTGAAAGCACAAAGGGAGGGAAAGTTGACAGATTTCCCCAGGGAGGGGACTCCATCATGGAGATGCCACTGCAGGAAAGGCCCCACCTTCCATAGACAAAAGGTCTCCCACGTCTGCTCTTGTGGATCAGCTACCGGGAACTGAAATGCCTGAAGTGGATCAGCATTGCCAGTGCTTTTTATTCAACTTCTCTCTCTCTCTCTCTCTCTCTCTCTCTCTCTCTCACACACACACACACACACACACACACACACAATAAACCACAACACAAATGCACACAAACAGAATTGCAGCATGAACACAACTAGGAAGTACAGTCAGCCAGACAACATACATCACTCTATTAGCCATTTAAGAAAGCAACACATTTCACTTTTAGGCACTATTCACAGTGCAACCTCCTGTATGTGTACTCAGAAGAAAGTATCATTAAATGCAAAAGGACTCGATCCCAGGTAAGCGTGTACAGAATTTCAGCCTTCATTTTCAACTACTTGGTGGAGTAGAGTCAGTAGCTACCTCTAAGACAAGTGACAATTCAGCACTAAAACAGGAAACGTGTATTAGCCATAGAAGAGGTCTCAGCCAGGAGCAGCACTGCTCGCAGGAAAATGTTCACATGCTCATCCAGCCATCCTAACAAATAAGGAATGGCTTATAAAATGTGCAGAGGCCACTGTCGCAATACTGGGTGCTTTGGTTTTATTTGCAAGTGAAACACAACACATCTGAACAAACCTATTTCAAATCCCTAGATGCCCCATCCAATTAAAAATGTATTTCAGATAACTCTGGGACAGGCAAGGGATACAGCTGTGAAGCAACCTAGGCATCTCTTATGCTGCTCCAGTCTTCGCATGCATATCATGAGCCCGTTTATTCATTCCAGGCATAGGAGCCAACTCCCAGGGGCCGAGGTCCCTTTGGCTTCCCCAGTAAAATATTTGAAGAGCCCCCACAAAGTTAATGGGCATTGCCATTCAAATTGTGTGTGTGTGTGTGTGTGTGTGTGTGTGTGTGTACCATGTCACATGATTGATTGTGTGGGGTGGGGCTTACCTGGTGCCCCCAATATTTTTTTCAAGTTGGCACCCCTGGTTCTAGGCATCTTGAAGGGGCTTACTGGGGTCCTGCCTGCTGGCCCTGCTGCCAACCTCCTCACGTGCAAGTGCAGTGTTTGAATGGAGCCCCTCCCTCATTTTTCAGAGCCCTGGATCACATGACCCTCTGTGCATTCAGGTGTAGACATGCAGCCTCTGTATAAACGAGGAGGCTGGAGATGGGGCCAGGAGGCACAAGCCCAATCATATTCAAATCATACACCAGCAAATTCAGGTTGTGCCATTGTAGTCGATTGTCATGTCTTACACAACACACTTCCCCGAAAGATTGGACTTTTGTGATAAGGGAAGTGACAAGAAAAATGCATTAGAAAGTGTATGGTAATATTTGCTTTGATGCAACGTCATTTACCCTGCCCCCTCCAAAAAAGCAAATTAGAGTTAATGCTTGTGAAATAGCCAATGTCTGACACATGTCCTTGTTATTTTATGAAAGAGCCAAGAATACATTTTCAAATAAAATAAATCAGGAGAAATGCTCAACAAGCAGGTGATCTGAAGAGCCCCCAATGAGGTTACGGGGGGGGGGTTAAAAAATAAAACGCAGACCCTGTTCTGTCTATCCTGGCATTTGCCTACCTAGTAGTACTAGCTATGAATGCACAGGCCTTTTAATTTGTTCACATTTGACTGATATTTTAATTCAATGTTGAACAGTGTTTCATACTTGTACCAGCTGACAAGTAATGGTATTTTATAGCTGGCAGCATGCAACAGCTATTTAGTACTTAACTGTCTTTGTTTGTTAGCATGTAACTGGCTGCACTAGATAGCTTTTGAGATTTTGCATCTAATTCCTGCCAAAGCAATCAGCAGACTCCAAGTTTCAAAGATTCCCATTCTGAAATAAAATTCCACATTCAAATTAAAAATAGAATTGCCATGTAAAACTTCCAGTGGCAAAATTTAATGGCATAAAAGTCATAACTCTGCAAAGGAGAGACAACATCAAAAAGCACAACAGTTCTAACCAAATCATATACAAGTCATGCACAGAACACCCAACTATCATCAAGTGATTTACTGATAGGCTCCTATGGAAAAGGCTGGCAACAGTATGGTAAACAGCAGCAATGGAACAGGTTAGTAAATGATCACACAAGTCAGAGAGCAAGGAAGGGAACCACTTGAAGGTTTAAGAGGCGGAACAGCGAAGTAAAATGGAAAACACAAAAGTAATTTCTCCTCCCTAACAAATAAGCACCTTGGAAGGCAACACAGCTGACATTCATCTGAACAGCTAGGAACCTATCTAAAGTCTGTACATCAAATGTTCAGATCGATCCCGTTGGTGTGTTTACATAGGAATATCCCAATAGGAGACTGAACGGTGAACACGAAGTTGAAAAGATTAAGCATTTTAGATGAACAACGTGCAGATGATAAGAGGGCTTGCAAGACACATCTGCACCAACTTATTAATTGATTGATGTGCTGCAGTTTCAGAATGGAATACTCAAAGGATGTGTAAGCCAATTCGCTAATTAGGATCAAAGAGGGTTGAAATTCTCATAGCGGGAGCTTAAATAGAAGCCCGCAAATAGTCCAACATACCTCATGAAATTTTTAAAAGGGCTCTAGCACTCAGGTCTTGAACATAAATCAGTGCCTGCGCCAGACTTCCCATAAAGCTGCGCTCTCTCCTCCAGGACTTCTAAGTGCTTTGATAGGAATGCAGATCGGATCCAACAAGGTTACAACGTTTATTATCTACCTCGGGACAGTAAATTATCAATGTCTTTTTAAAGGCACGAATATCTCCAGTGTCCTACAAAAGGAGGCTCCTTGGCCCGCCTTTGCGCTATGTACGCAGAGAATCAGCGGTCACTCACCTGCAAAGAGGCGACCCCGGGTGACGGGGTGGGACGGGGGAGAGGAGGCTGGAGAGTCCCTTTGCTCTTAAAGAGACAGTAACAATTCAGGAGGGATTAGGGGAGGATCGACTGTGTACAAATCAGAACGGGCTGGGCCAGCAGAGGTGATCTGCTTGCTCGCCACGAAGGATGGGACCCCTGCAAAGGTGGGGCAAGGAGAAGCTACCCTGGGACGGGGGGGAAGGGGGGTGCCGTCGTTTTAGGAAGGACTGGAGGATCAGCTACCTGCACTGCCTCTTATCACATAGAAGGGGAATATTAGGGGGTCATCTTCAGGTCAGGAGGGAGCAGATCCCCACCAGCGAGCCCTTCCCTCGCCTCCGCCAGCTTGTCTAAAGCGTAAGGCTGCCCTGTCTACGGGGAGAGGGAGGGGAGGGAGCCCTTCGACGTGCAAAGCCGAGCCGAGCCACTTACTCGCGCAGCGCAGCGCCCGCTGCTGCACGGCCTCCCCGCACAGGTCGCACCAGCCCCTCCAGAGCGCGACGGCTTCGAAGCGGTGCCCTTCGCCCTTCTCCTCCCGCACGCGGGGGTCCCGCGGCTGCTCGAAGATGGTGCGCACGTCGGGCAGCAGCCGCGGCGCCGCGGACCTCAGGCGCAGCCGGTGGTGGTGCTGCGGGTGCGGGTGGTGCGGCAGCCCCGAGCGGGCCGGCTTGGCCGCCGTGCCCGGAGACGCCGGGGCCTCGCGGGGGTGGCGGGAGCCCCGAGCGCCGGCCCGTCGTCCGGCGGGGCGAGCGGGACGCCGTCGAGGAACGCGTCGGTCCTGGGCTGCGCCTCGGGGCCAGCGGCTCTTCCGAGGTGCTGCCTCCAGACGGCGGCGGGGGCGCACGTCCCGTCGTCGCCCCACTGCGCCATGCTGCCCCCCTGGGCGGGGGGCTGCTCCTGCTGCGCGGGCTCCGGAGGGTTCCTGCGCCGGGGCTGCGGCAGCGGCTTCAGGTCATTGGCAGCGGAGCGCTTGAGGATCTTCTTCCTCTCGTTGGCGCTGAGGCTCTGCAGGAAGCGCTGCTGCTCCTTCTCCAGCAGCAGCGGGTAAGGGTACTGCCCGATGGCCGGGGAAGCCATGGCCATGGCGAGCGGGCGGGCGGGCGGGCGGCCCAAGCAGCTCCGACCTGCCGGAGGGTGGCCGGCAGCGCAGGCGCTCTTAAGAGGGACCTGCAGAGGCGGCGGAGAGGGTGGAGCGAGCGGCAGGCAGAGGGCGGGCGGGCGGCCTGTCTCCAGCCGCGGCTCTCAGCTGGGCTCCTCCGGCTGCACACGCCCTTTGCGCCGCCGCCGCCGCGCAGTCCGGCGCTCACCTCGAAATCCTCGCCAGCTGCGTGGGAAGGAGAGCGGATCACAGCTAGAGCCCGCGGCAAGGGAGACAAGAGAGCTGGCCGCCCGAGAAAAAGACTCGCTCGGTTGTTTTAAAACCCTAGAAGAGCAAGGAACTCTTCTTCGTACAGAACGGCAGCGCCCGTTTTCTGCGGATGTGTAAAATAGCAGTAATAAAATAAGGGCGCCTCTGTGCATGTGCAGAGTGCACACACACACACACACACACACACACACACACACACCCTTGCCGTCTGCGGTAACAAGGGAAGCTTTCCGGAGCGCACTGGAAGCTGGTCCGTTAGGGCGAATAGGGCATTGCCCCACCAGTCCGAGTCCACCCCCACCTGCCAGCCCTCTCAGTTACAGCCAGTGAGTGGCTCTGCCTGTCATTGTAGATCTTCCTGCCTTCCACCCGACCAGTCCTGGTGGGCAGCAGTCATCACTGGAACAGGTGAGGCTATGAGTTCTCAGAAATTCTGAGCCCCATCCTGTCTCCCTTTGGAAAGTAAGCTTAGCTCCCATTCTCCTGAAAGGCATAGGCTCTGCAAGGAGTGTGGAGGGCATTTCAGGACAGAGACATCAAGGGACACTTGACTTACGCAATTCTAGCCCAGGTGGCAGAAAATGCATTATGGAGGAGCCAGGCATAGTTGCGCTCAGACCCTTTCACCTTCATGCCTAGTGAACCTGCTTATTCACTTCCAGATCAGGGTCTCCCTCCTTCGCAGAATGTGCTGCTTGCTCCACAGAAGTGTAAGCAGGTCCCACATCCTCCAGAAATTGGTCAGAGGCACAGCGCTGAACATTGTGGTGCTGATAGGCATTCCCAAGGTAACTAACCCCCAGCATGGGCAGCAGTTAGCACCTACACACAGGCCACTCCTGACACCTGCCCTGGCCCCTCTTTGGAAAATGCATTAGGGAGCTACCATTTTTAATTTCCCACAATGCCCTGGAGGGATGTTACACCCAGGGCATTGTGGGAAATTAAAACAGCAGCCCCTGGTCCCAACCATACTGGAGTTGACCCTGCTACCACTGATCCTTTTGACTGTCTGCATTTGTCTTCTAACAGCTCGTTTGTGTTCTAACAGCACTAGCAGGCAAGTTTGGCTTAATCAGCCAAGCCAGGATAGACATTCTCTTACAAACTCTAGCTTGTGCTGCCTCTGGATCATGTAAACTTTATGCAGACCTAATTGCTTACTCGGCTCAGCTAATTTTGAGGATTTAAGCGAGCCCTTTCAGGGAAATTCCAGGCTGTGTAAACACCAAGATAAAGAATCTGCCTCTTAGAGCTAACATGCTGGATCTGCCTTTCCACCCAAAAGTGAAAGTTTGCAGAGGAAAGTAGATATCACAAAATGAGAGTGACAGCAATCACACCTATAATGCTCCCTACTCTCAGGGAAAGAGAACCAACAGTTCTGGACACACCACACTCAGTAACCTCTCACTGCACAACCTTAACCCCCCACCTCCAAATAATGCCGCATGTCAGTATTACTTACAACAATTGCATTTCCCCTCTGCTCCCCCAATACACAACAGGCCCTCCACGAATAGTCATGGATACAGAATTCCCACAGAATGAGTAGGATCACATCATATACAATTTGTACATATAAAACAGTCAATAAGGGATCAAACATGTCCTATGAAAAAAGGTTTGGGAGTTTTTAGTTTAGAGAAAAGGTAAGGGGTAACATGATAGAAATTTATAAAATTCTGCACTGTGTGGAGAAAGTAATAATAATAATAATTTTATCATTTATACCCTGCCTACCTGGCTGGGTTTCCCCAGCCACTCTGGATGGCTCCCAACAGAGGACTAGAAACAGAATAAAACTTCAAACATCAAAAACTTCCCTGAACAGGGCTGCCTTCAGATGTCTTCTAAAAGTCAGATAGTTGTTTATTTCCTTGACATCTGATGGGAGGGCAATCCACAGGGCGGGCGCCACTACCGAGAAGGCCCTCTCTCATAACACTAGAACTTGTAGATATCCAAAGAAATTGATTGTTGGAAGATTCAGGACAGATAAAAGAAAGCACTTTTTCAGACAGCACAGCTCAACTATGAAACTCGTTCCCAAAGGAGGCAGTAATGGCCACCAACTTGTTGTTGTTGTTTAGTCGTTTAGTCATGTCCGACTCTTTCTGACCCCCTGGACCAGAGCACGCCAGGCTTTGATCTTCTTGCAGTCCATGGGACTCTCAAGAGTCTCCTCCAGCACCATAATTCAAAAGCATCAATTCTTCGGCAATCAGCCTTCTTTATGGTCCAGCTCTCACTTCCATATATCACTACTGGGAAAACCATGGCTTTAACTATATGGACCTTTGTTGGCAAGGTGATGTCTCTGCTTTTTAAAATGCTGTCTAGGTTTGCCATCACCTTTCTCCCAAGGAGCAGGTGTCTTTTAATTTCGTGACTGCTGTCACCATCTGCAGTGATCAGGGAGCCCAAGAAAGTAAAATCTCTCACTGCCTCCATTTCTTCCCCTTCTATTTGCCAGGAGGTGATGGGCCCAGTGGCCATGATCTTCGTTTTTTTGATGTTGAGCTTCATCCCATATTTTGTGCTCTCCTCTTTCACCCTCACTAAAAGGTTCTTTAATTCCTCCTCACTTTCTACCATGGGCCACCAACTTGGATGGCTTTAAAAGAGAGTTAGACAAATTCACAGAAGACCAGGCTATCGATGACTACTAGCTGTGATGGCTATGCTCTGTCTCCTTAATGCTTCTGAATATTCGTTTCTGGAAACCACAGGAGGGAAGAGTGCTGTTGTGCTTGGGGCCACTTGTGGGTTTCCCATAGGCATCTGGCTGGCCCCTATGAGAACAGGATGCTGGACTAGATGGCCGATTGGCCTGATCCAGCAGGCTCGTCTTACGTTCTTATGTTTACTTGTTGAGAGCATCTTAGGGGAACAATTCAAGCCCAGTGCAGGGAGATCCTATGGTCATAGATACCACATAGTACAGCGCAAGTATTCATTTAATTCTGAAGGCTAGCAATTAAATGAAATAGTGTCAAAATGAAGAATATATACTCTGCTTTATTGGCGTCTCTTCCTTCTCTAGCCATGCATTGTGCTTCTGTAGAGTTTGCCAGAGGGAAAGGAAGAACCATTAGATTAGAACCATGCTGAAGGAGTTTCCTCAAGTAAGGCACTCTCTGAACAAACAGCAGATACTCAAATCACCATTGTTGGGTCCTGCAATAAATATGATTGTTTTAAAGAAAAGGTTTAAAACATATATATTTGGGTCCCAGAGGTTGCACTTTACATTGTGTTCATGTTTTCAACTACTGTGAGAACTAAACGATGAGCACAATTTCAATGTATTAGCTGCAGGACATAGAGATGTATCAAATACAAAAAAAAAGAGGGGAGCATAAGCAGAAATAAAAGCAAACTTCATAGGAATAGCAGAGCAATACAACTGAGACCATTTAAGCAAGTTTAAAGAGACGCAAAATAGGTTGGGGTTGGACCAAATGAGTACATTTGGAATTTTGAGAGGGTGCTCTCCTCTGGCTGCTTCCTTCATCTCTCCCCCTGGGACACCTCCTCCCAGACAGGCAGAGAGAAACATGCACAGAGAGATTATTTGCTTTTCCATGGGATCTGGGGAACAGTCTGATATTCTGTAAAATACAAATTCATGATTTTACACAGGGACCCCCCAAAATTAAATTAAGGTTTACATTAGTAGACTGCAGGTGGGGTGGGGGGAAATCACAGATCTGGTGCTGGCCAGCGCCAAAAAGACACAGGTCCTCATGGATCTTCATGACTTTTACATATGATGACAAAGGAAACACTTGACACATCACAGAACATATAAGTAAGCACAGAGGTGGCCTATGATTTGATGGTGGTTTTTTAGGGAAGTCTTGGGGGAAATGATGACAATCCATAAGAGTCCATGCCTCAAATCCATGTTTTTGTGCAACGGCCAGATCCATGATTTTTATAGTTTATAGTTTAGTAGCTGGAGACAGACAGATGTGATTTGCTGGTGACTGGACCCATGGGGAAAATAGGCAATTTCAAGAGGCTCTGTTTTGCTGGATCAGACTTGGGTGTGCATGCATGCACATGGTTTCTCTCTCTTTCTCTCTCGGGCAACTACATTTTCCCTGTTCCCCAACTCCTACAACACTCCTCTTTCTCCTCCCCCCCCCGCCTCCGTTTCTGTGTTTCCCCAATAGCTGCCTTTTCCTTCCTTACCTCCTCATTTGCTTCACTTTCTGTTGACTGCTGAGCCTTCACAAGCTGGAAGAGGAAGTAGGAGACAGCATCACACTTCCAGCCTCTTCATTCAGTGTTCTGTACACTTTTCAAGTGAGGGGGCAATGAGTGGGGCAGGGGAACTGAAAGGCTTGGAAGGCACATGGGGATGTCCTCAAAGACACCACTGCTCTCATGGTTGCCACAATGACAACCCCATAAATTAATTAAATAACAAAATTGGTCTTTCAGTTTTGACTAAACACACATAGGACAGATGGGTACATTGATTTTATTGTCTAACTAGATGCTTCATTTACACTTACAGCCAGCCTATGTCTGATTTTTTGCCACTCATTATCATTTCAGAACACTTCTAGCCCAGCACGATGGATATTATCATTGAGAAGAGTTGGAAAGGTCAGCTCAGAATGGGATCTAACCTCTTAGACCTGCCTTTCACATAAACTGGGTAAAGTACGGAATAGCGAGATGAATTCTCCATTTCCCCCAT